TACAAGATTAGAACGAAGGTTCTTGAAATCACATTCCTTGGAGGTATGTTTTGGTATAATTTGTAATACTTCTCTACTTTCCTTAACCAGATCATGTTTAGCCTTTTCGTCGGCCTCGAACACCAAAGCCTAATTATTAACCATTAAAACTTGACGTCGAATCTGCCAAACCTTCGAAGATCAAAATAACTTCGTCTACCACTTGATAAAGAGGTGATGTTAAAGTTAACATAAAATAGAGTTTTTGTTGCACCACTCCGATTTGATGTAACACCTGAAACTTATTATGTGGTTTTCAAGTTGATAGCACTCAATTGTCAAATCAAACCAAATATGTTTTAATTATTGTTTACTGTACGACGTATCAGTCACCACAGTGGTGTTTTTCAAGCACAATGATAGTTAATGAAAATATATTTTGTTTATGTGTCACCTCGAAGACAGTATTTCCAGGTCTCAAAAAGCTCAGATGCATTCGGGTTCAATACAAAAATAATAACAACTACAGCCAACTTAATTATCATTTTTTTGACTAAACTGTTTAATATGTTCATTAGGAATAATATATTTCCCGACAATTTTAAAAACTGTAAAAGTTGTTCCCATTTTCAAGCAAGGTGATAAAGTCTATGCAACAAGCTATTGGCCCATAAGGATCAAATCTTTGAATACTTTTAATCCAATAATTTATTTGAATCTTGCCAGTTCAGCTTCAGAAATAATGACTCAACTTCACAAGCTATCAATATGCTTGAAACTATAATCCAAGCTTTTGAGATATGTACTGAAATCAGCTGGATACATTTCTTCGATTTAACATACTATTGGGGAACTTCCGAACTTAGTGGAGCAGCCCACGCAAAACCATGTGGCGGGCCGGATTGACAAGCCCGAAGGGTCGCACTTGACCCGCGGGCCGTTGTTCGCCCTTGACTGGTCTAAGTACTCTTACAGGGTCGACATCAAGCCGGAACCGGGGCATAAGCCAAGTCATAATAGTTATCAGAAAAATATACTGTACTTTTCAAAATATAGGATTTAAAAAAATCGGAAAAATCTACACCCTGTGATGATCTTTTAGTTTCCATTGCTACTAGTTTCATTTTTTTCTTAGACAGAATGACGGATAGTGTCATACTACGTAACAGCAATGCGAATTTGATATTTTTAAAATGATTGGCAATGGCTATTATGTAAATAACGACAAAAAAACTGACGAAATGTCATCTTGCAAACTAGGTAATTGTTGGTGTGCAAATAGTTCATTCCACGTTTGGTTACTATGATCGCTGGTCTCTGAGGTTTCAGCAACACGTACAGCTACAAAACGAATTCACAACAAGTGTACAACAGCTTGTGCTAATTTAACATTTTGTATAACAACCTACGGAATATCAACAAAAAAATTGACGAAATGTCACTTTTCAAGATACGTAATACCCGTGCGGTTATCTTCCGTTATTAACAAATTGGGCTGCTTCCGTTATTGAGTATACTTTTTCTTTCACCGCTCCCCAGTAACAAATCGAGTGATTCGAGTCAGATGAACTCGCTGGCCACGAAATTGTATCAGACCTCCCTATCTATCTGCTCGGGAATTCCTCATCAACATATTCTCCAACTTAACGCGCATAATGCTTAGTTGCACGTCTTCTAATAAATCTTGTAATGATTTTGTCTAAATAAATTGCGCCATTCAAGAATTCTGGCAGCTCAAAGGATTCAATGATTCTCTCATTTGAATTCCCGGTCCACATGTTTACTTTAAAACGATACCGAGATCTATCTTGTCTCATCAAATGTGGATTTTCTACATGCCACTTGTATACGTTGTGTAGATTCATTTAAATCTCTACTAATCGATCCATAAAATTTTCTCTAAAAATCGCGGATCTTCCCGGTGCATCAACATTGACAAAACTCAACTCTTGGAAGATAAATAATCCCGGAGTTTTAAAGATTGTACTCGCTGTACGTAGTACGGGTGGAGCTCGTTATTTCGCAAGATTCGGTGGGTCTTCATCGACTGCTTGTAGTACGACGTCCTCAAAGGAAAGGAAATTCTTCCTTCACCATGTGCTTGATTTGGGAATTGTCCCTCTGAGAGTAAACGGTGCATATTCACAAAAACTCTGTGATCGGCATTTGGATACCTTTCACGATAAAGCCTAGTTGCCGCACTAGCATTGTATCTACATACCCCATAAATCAGGTGCGTGTTGGCGTATTCCTGCATGTTCTACACAGTCATGGTGGCACTACACATTCTTGAATTACATCAATTGATAGTAGCGGCGTGACTATCTGTCTTATCACTATGTGGAAATGACACTGTTCATTACTCTGTTTAAGAAAAATTGAAACTTGTATTCAGAACTAAAAGATCATCACAGGGTGTAGATTTTTCCGATTTTTTTAAAGCCTATAATTTGAAAGTTCACGAGTTGGATTTTTTTATTGGCCTATCCCCGTTTCCGGTTTGACGTCGACTTCTGGGACACCCTGGTATATTTGTCATTTATTTTTAGGCTGTCTTCTACTTCGTGTTCTGCCATCCAAATGCCCCTGATTCCTTCGAAATAATGACGAACTTCCCCAGACGGGTGCTTAACTGTCGCCCTGACACAGCTAAAGTTATCACACTGGAACAAGCAGGGTTGAAAAATAAAGAGGTGCTTTTCGTGAACGATTTGGATGCATAGGAAGCGGCATTTTGGAAGAAACAATGTTATCTCTTAATGAATATCTTGTAATTGGTTGTTCGATGGAATATACATACTGTTACGAAATTCATTTCATCCGTGTTCCTAAAGACTGTTCTACAATATGCAATTGCTTGGATACGATTTGGTTGGCTCATGTTTACAATTCTGATGGTACTAGGAAACCTTTTTGAAGAATTGTATTTTTTATAATAAAGATTTGTTTTTTGAGAGATTTGGAATGTGTGTAATATACAGGACGTTTCAGAAAATGTGACAATATTTCTAGGGTAGAAAGTACTCCCAAAAATAACAAAAAAGTCCCTACAAACATAGGTCCCATTACCAAGGTCCATAGGATGTTCTAAATTTCTACGCCACTAATAAGACTGAAAGGACACAACATGGATATTATTCATATTTATGGTGAGCTAGGATTATTCTTATACACTGGATACAAGATGTAATGTCTTCACTAACTTCAGCGGGCTTCCAAAAAAAACGCGTTCTAGCTTTTTATATCGATTTAACGTCAAATATTCAAACCAATTTTTCCCAAAAGGGAGTAGCCTGACAAAAATTTATCAGTAGAGGAGATTCCTGTAAAATCAAGTACCTTCTTCAAGAAAATGCAATAGATGTTCCAAAAAAGATTGTTGCGTAGAAAATAATTTTCTTCTGTAGTAGTCAAAATATCCCAATTTCTACGCCATTGGTATCGTCTCAGCACGAAAATTATTCTATTGGCCAGTATTACTTGCACAAAATTTTAAGGAAATATTTCAATAAACTCAGAAGATATATATTTTTTAGATTTCAAATTTATAATTTCAACACCTAGGTAAAGTGGCGTTTTGGACTAATGCTTATATGAACATTCCATATAATTTTTTTATATACTTTATGGCCTAGAAATATTGGCACGTTTTTCTGAAACACCCTGTAAACGAAGTTCTACAAGTCGCAAAAAAGTTGGACCAAACCGCAGTCGAGAAATTGTGTAGTTTAGAACAATCTCAAACTGCCTCTTCACATTTTTTTTTCTGCTTCCAAGAGCTGGGTATAAATCTTTGACGAAAACTAAAGTGTAATTATTGAATAGTGTTTGTGATGTAACAGTTCTGATAGTGAAATACTCAATCTTTATTAATTGGTAAATGTTAACTGTAAATTAATGAAATTTATCTATATGATAGTTATCCTGACTAAAACTTCAAATTTCCTTGGAAAGTGGTTTTTCGAGTATCCCTATACTATGTAGACCTGGTTGTTCCCAGCTCTTAGTAGCAAATAATTGGTACCTTAGGGTACTATATTTTTGAGCATTTTCCTCGTCATGGAAGGCTTCGGCGTTAATTTACTATTTACAGAGTTAGGGGAAATATGTTGTAGAATGGTTTTATTATTTTTTTATGTTATAAAATTCTATAGTGATGGCGGAACGAGATGCAGCGTGCAATATTTTAATTTTGGCAATAAATGTTGAGGCAGTGAAAAAGTATAAAGCAACTTAAGGTACAGCTTTATAAAATTCTGTAATTACAAAATATTCAATCATTGATTATCAACATATTCTACCTGAAGATAGCCAACCATACACTGTATTCCAGCATAGACAAAGGGATCTGAAAGATACTAGCGTCATCTATGAGACAGTAGCAGAACACAAAAAATAAATTTAAGAATCCACTTAATTGGGTATCTTCAGGAATTGATTAACATATCCCACCTGCAAATACCCAATTAAAATAGGCATTAGGAAAGGCTTAACAAAGGTTTGAAGATCCTAGCGCTATCTATGAGATTTTTAAAATCATTTTTGTTTTCTGTTTCTCATGGATGGCGCGTTCAGTATATGGTTGGCTGTCAAAAGGTAGAATAAGTTAATCAATGATTTAACTCATTGCGGGTTGTGGCAGAAATGGTGTCAGGAGAGTCAAAAAATATTTTTTTTGTCATCTTTGAAGTCCTCTATCAGAAAAAAAGGGTTCACATTTTTGTCTTTGTATATTGCAAGTTGTACTGCCCAAGAAGATATAGTAATTTAAAATAGATTATTAATTTACAGAAGGTAATTTAAGATATTAAATAAAAAACGTACATGGTCTGACCATAAAAAATTGCACATGGTGCATATTTTTCTTCATGATTATTGATGTGTCATCAGTGTATCAGTGTAGTACACAAGTGTTGATAGAATCAGTTTATACAAGATTCCGGATACATCAAAAATGATATAACAAAAGATATAACTAGTTTCCAGTCACTATAAACCAATTAGCATTTCACAGAAAAATACATGAAATGTGATTAAGTAGTAGTTTTAGTCAGTAATCAAGCATTTACATTATAACAATGTGATTTTTGTAAGTAAACCTATATTTTTTAGGAATACGAGGTTTATATGTATTTTGAATAAACACTTCTTTTTGTTTCCATATGTAAATATGTAAAAAATACATAATTTTGTTGTTAGTCGTCGCATTTTACTTTTTTGATCCCACAACATTTCTCTTGGGTATCTTAATCATGGTTGAGGTGAAATGAAAAACAATATTCACGAAAAATACATATTAATTCAATTACTACAATTGTACTTAAAATGACTTATGGAATCTGAAAGTGCATACAACTTTTTGGAAGATCTCCGTCATATTTCATGTTACTTTTATGCATACTAACATCATAAAAGAGAAAAGGCTTTAACAATCTAGAAAAGATAAAACCTTGGCTCATAAAATGACAAAAATCAGAACCAAATGAAAAGCCATACATTCTTTTAATCTATTTCACCCAGATATATCTGTTTGTCACTTCCACCTGAAGCAATTATTGGTTCATTAGGATGAAACTTGACATCATTGACGTTACCATTATGCCCAGGCAACTTATACAATATTCTTCTCGAATTCGTGTCCCAAACATAAACAAAACGATCTGCAGATCCGGCACTAATCTTGCTATCATCTGGTGACCATGCACATCTTAGAAGATTCTTTTCGAAATTGTGTTGATGGCCGCTGAAGATTTTTACACAACGTTCTTGTCTCAGTGGTCGGACGTCCCAGATTCTCAAGGTATTGTCCATGGCATTGCTGAGCAGGTAGTTGCCATCTGAACTCAGTGCAAGTCCTGTGATTGTGTCAGTATGACCTCTGAGGACGTACAGGATTTCTTTAGTTCTAAGGTCCCAAACCTGAAATTGAGGAAGATGCTGTATCTCAAAGTTGATACAACAGTTATAAAACAATATTTTTCAGGATTGGGGATCTCCTGACTTGGCCAGACTGTGCCTACCTATTTTGAACCCCCATGGGTCTTACCATTAAATTGACATCTAATTTGTCCTGATTGCAGAATCTTATATGTTTTTGAAATTGTTTAGTTAATCTCGAAATGTTATTGACAATTTATAACAAAATTTGCAATAAAAACATTGTTGGTAGAGGCTCCATGAGAAACGAGTTTCCGTCATCCAATATCCTTGTAGGATACTTAGAAAAATATTATAGTAGTTTGTCGCCTCAGTAGCTCGGTGGTTAGCGCGTTGGGCTAGCAGTCGGTCGACCCGAGGGTCGCTGTTTCGAATCTCCGCCTCGGAAATAAATTCCAAGAAATGGATGTTGTGTGGTGTTGTCAAAATCACCCACCAAATTGGTGCAAGATTAACGATACGTACATCTGATCGCTGAAGCTAGTTTATTTAATGATCGAATGCCAATAGATGGCTTTTTTATTTTTATTTTTTTTTTGTTTTAGGACCAAGCCATGCAGCCAGAAACTAGGTTGGTATTTTTATATATCTAATTATGTACAAACACACGACGTCACAACATCCATGGCGAAGACGAGATTCGAACTCGCGGCCCGGCCGGCCGGCTGATCAGTAGCACGACACTCTGACCCACGCGGCCAACCGAGGTCCCCAATAGATGGCTTGTGAAGTCATAATACCTTCATTACCATTTGACTTAAAAAGCATCAGCAAATTTTCAAAGAACATAAAATGAAAAAATACTTGCAAAGTTGTGATTCAGTCGATACTAATATCAAAGCTACAATACATCAAATAATTCAAACATAATGTACAAAAATATCAATATTAACAAACTGATTAAAGAGAAATGAATAAATAACAACAAAAAAATTACACAGGTTGAAAACAGGTTAAAAATAAATTATATGCAATTATTCAATTCACAAGTCTTATGATGTATTCTTCAATGTTGTAAAAAGGGTTTTCAATGAATAGACTTTTAACCCAGCGTTATAAAACGTTTAAATTGGTGACAGCTCTGATAACTATTGGCAACTTGTTTAAAAATCTGATAGGCATTATGAGGGGAACCTTTGCTGATAAAGCAAGGCTATCGGTTCTCGTACACATAATCCGTTATTGGCCGAAGCATAGTTATGCTCGGCCGAAATTCGCAGATATAATCAAACATGTAGAATAAAGAGAGCGCGTACACCACTACAACCGTTGGCGACCGATAAACGCAACGTCCGCACTTGTTGGGATTTCTCGACAATGCATCGGCAATTACAAGTGATGAATGAGCGTCTTAAGTATGGATATTGGAAAATTAATTGAATAAAAGTTACAATAATCGAGATACTTGGAAAACGGCTATGGGCTGAAGTTGCATTGGAAATGGATATAGCCATTGCAGGTCTAAAAAAATGGAGCAACTTAAGACACCAATTTCGCAAAGAATGTAACAGATGTAATGAACCAGGTAAATCTGGTGCTGGCGGTAAGAATTTTCTAGAAGATACATCTCTTCGAAATCTTCCATTTTAAAAACACGTCTTCACTCTGTTAATCTGTATTCTCCTATTACACCCGGGGCAACGTTCGACGATGTACGCAGACAGTATGTATTCTTCATATTGTAACCACTCTCCACATTGCTTCACGACTGATATTTATCAGTTTTTTTCTAACATCGCATACACAATTAAAAATATAAAGTGAGTGTATCATCATGATGTGGAGAGTTTTGAATAGCTCCCAACAAGATGTGAGCTTATTACTAACAGTCATAGTATGAATCACTTTCCTTTGCACAAGGAGCAATTGCTACATATGTGAGCTGTTACCACTGCAAATGATACAGGAATTCATAGCGGACTGTACATGAGCAAAATAGTTCATTCTAAGTACTTCAGTCTCCACAACACAAAACAATGCTTTGATATCTTATTGACTAAAGAGTCACTATGACCCCTCCAAGTGCGCCTTGAATCCATCATAACACCAAGAATCTAGTGACCTGAACCTTGTTACCATTCCATATACAGCAGACGCTCGATAATGTAAACTAATTTAATCCAAGTGTGGTTCACATTATCGAAATGTTTACATTAGCGAACGTGATTTATATAATATTTGATTTATTAAAAGAAACGTTTAATACATACTATTTATAACAAAATAAACAAATATTCTAACAGTGATAAGTATTTTTTTAATTAGAAGAAAAATAATTAACAATTTTTGTCTGCGTAAATTTGCGCTTAGCATTGTCTTTTTTTATTTTATTTGCGGTTAGTACACTGCTCGAACAGATGACTCCATTTAACGAACAATGCCTGCGCCCGTAATTTACGAAGAACTAAAATATCCGTGTATGAAACTTCTTTTCTTTCAGCCCAATCTAAAGCTTGGTTAAAAACTTGTATAGCTTGCGCGTCAGTCACTACACTTCTGACTTCAATGGGATCGTTCTCATCATCCTCACTGTCCATATCCTCCTCCTTATCAGCATCATTCGTCTGCTTATCTTCGTTCCATAAATTAATATCAGCAGGAGTACAAACAATGTTCGGATTCACTGTTTTCATTAAATCAACAACATCCAATGACACACTAATAACATTATCATCATTGGATCGCAAACGTTCTCTAATTATGCTTAAGGGGACATCGTCGTCTTCATCATCTTCATTATTGGTACAAAAGCGATTGTTACAACATTTTTGAATAGTTTGCTGGTTAAGTTCATTCCAGGTCATATGTAAATCTAAAACAGCTTCTCGTAATGTTACTTTTTTTAAAGCCTCAGATAAGTTTTCAGGATTCTTTGCTAAGACAGACGAAAGTAGAAACTTCCTATAGTATAGTTTAGTGAGTCTTATTATATTCTGGTCCATCGGTTGAATTAACGGTGCTACGTTGGGCGGCATGTACATGACGAAAATTGACCCATCCCTGCTCCTCAGTTGTTGCTCGGGAGGATGACTTGGTGCATTATCCAATAGTAACAACGCTTTTATTGGAAGCTTCTGTTGTTTTAGGAAACCTTTTACCTACAAACACATCTTCAAATTATGAATAGAGCATTTGTGATAATTGATTGTCATACCTGAGGGACAAAGCACCTGTGGAACCATTTCAGGAATATACTGCTAGTCATCCAAGCGGTTTTTGAAGAGTCATAATCAACAGGGATATTAACATTTTTAAATGAGCGCGGATTTTTTGCGGTAGCCAGCCATCACTAGCTACGAAATTTTCAGTTTCTTTCAGTTTTTCATTTTAGAGTCTCGCTCTCTGTTTAGGTACTTCGCCACTAACTGGGACATCATTTTCCCGTTGTTTTAAAAACCACTTACACAGGGAATTTTCCATTTTAGGTGCCTTCCCAATTTTTAAAGTTTTTCTTTTTCCCGGACCACCAAATGTATTGCATGTTCTTTGTAAAATTTGAGTTTTCATATGCTTAATTTTACAGATTGTTGTGTTTCGATACTCCATATTTTTTTGCTGTGTCACTCCCGCACCTAGTGCAACTTCTTCTATGATTTTCACTTTCTGACTCAACTTTAAACACTTTCTTTTATAGGATGTGGTTGCCATAGTCGTAAAATATATTAACGCGTGCAATGTATTCACTTAAGTTCAAAAATGAACTACATACGTACATATAAACCTATCCTGAACGATCATACGACTGACCGAGTTTGTCGTATTTTATCGCAGAGGTGAATCCCCTACACTACATCATAAATCGGAGACTCCCCGACGCCTGACATAAATCATCGAGGCTTCAGCATTTTACCGTCGCGCTGTTTCTGTGCGCCGAGAGTTGTTTACGTTATCGCGCGTTCCGTTTGATCCCATAGAACGAAGTTTGTGTTTACATTAGCGCAAGTTTTCATTATCCCGTGTTTACGTTATCGAGCGTCTGCTGTAATATGATGGAACTGACAACTCGGTACTGAGCTGAGTTGGATCTTTAGTTTTAACCATCACCATGGAATCATCAGCAAATAATGAAGATAATTTACATCTACCGCTTATTAATTGCTATATAATTTAAAGCAGTTCCTCTGATTCCATAGTTATTAAGCCTTCAGAGCAAAAGAGCTTGTTTGACAGTGTCGGAAGCATGGCTTAAATCTATAAAGAGAACAAATGTTTTTTGTTTCTTTCAAGGGCAGCTTAAGACAAAATCACACAAAGACAATACTACATCTTTTGTTTTTGGAATCAAAATTGGTGCCTGTTGATGATATTGAGTTTGACAGCTAAGTCAATTAGATAATTGAATTGCTTTTTCAAAGAATTTTGCTATTACAAATAACAATGAAATGTCCCTATAATTAACCTTTTTTATAGATTGGAATAACAAGTGATTCTTTCAGCTTATGAGGAAATATGCCTTGGTCATAAAACAGATTTATCAGTGCTGTCAGAGGTTTTACAATTAACTCTATAGGATTTAATAGGAATGAGCAAGGTACTTAATCAAAACCAGCAGAATTTTTTTTTGTGACATGTTTTAACACTTCAACAGCTTCAGTGACTGAACTAAGAGACATGGAATTTCAGCTGATGGGGGTTGGTAGATGCTGCTCACTCAAAATCATAGATTTGGACAGTTCCAATACAGATCTGATAAATTATTAAATGTGTCAGCAGCTTCCTTGGATGATGTAGGGAAACATATCCAGCATTATCAGAAATCAGCTCAGGAACATGCCCCTATAAAAAATACGTCTGTTTCTTGAAATAAACATTTTGAAGATTTCAATAACTTGAGGTTTATCGAAATTGTGATATAGGACTTGTAAGCTAGACCACATACCTTGATGTCATTATCAATGCCTCCACTGAAAATCTGATCAGCCACATCATTAAAACTAACAGCTGTGGTTTGATAAGTAGTATTCATAGTTGCCACATTTTGCTTTTTCCTTGTATCCCACAACCTGAGTGTGCTATCATCACCCCCTGAACACAATAATTGAGGACCACGTCTTGCCCCTTGGACACAGTTTACAAATGTGGTATGCCCCTTGTACTTCTTCACCCTCTGTGCAGTTACAATATCCCACAGGCCTAGGGTGTGATCAGTGCTTGATGTGAATACATGTGAACCATCAGTGGTGAAGTGCAGTTCTGTTACAGCTCCTGTGTGCCCAGTCATTACTGAGATGTTTTCACATTCTCCATACACACTCCATAAGACTGAAAAAAGACATGATAACTCAGTTCACAGAGTTAATATTTTTTCTCAGTAGCTGTATACATGTTGAGCAAGGCCTGCTTAAATAATTTACAGGATAGGAAGCTCAGAGTTTGCAGTTGAAGGGGCTCCTGGCTAGAGTAACATCCAGGGCACTATGTTGATGGTGTGCCCATACAGTAAAAATCAAATAGTATATAAGCAATATCTAGTATACTTACATATTTTCCTGTCAAATCCTGAAGAAACCAAATATTGACCTTCTGGATGAAAATCTACTGTGAATATTTCTCCCTCATGTCCCTCAAGCAGCATGATAGGAGCAAACAAGTTTGAGGTCCTTGCTGGTACCTTAAAATTATACAATTCTTATTAAATATATATTCCATTACAATTATCTACCCAGTTATTGAATAACATTCAATGAAAGGCAAATACTCAGGCAATCGAAATCATCACTTCAAAGATATGTAGTTCAGTAACTGGCAGAATATTACACTAGAACTTATAATAATTACCGGTTGTAAGGCAGTGCTATTATTACTTTTATTAGCAACTTCATTTCGAGGCTTTTTACTCGGCACCAAAGCAAAGTCGCTTGCTTTTCTTTTTTGCTCTACAACCATTTTAATGTTTTATAATTAAGATTTACTTCCTAATCAAGTACAGTAACATAACTTAAATTCACTGAGAAAATCTTCAAGAAAACTTTTATGTTTGAATTCCTAAAACATATACACTCAAAAAAGCTGTTTTCAAAACGTAACTAAACATAACCTCTTTGCAGTATTTTGGGTCGGTAATACTAGTCCAAGTAGTACAAAATGGGAAGTATGATTCAAACATATGGCAACAGAGTAACAATTCTCATCTCTAGCACCAAAGTACTACTCATAGCCATTAGATGGCTGGAAAGTTTAAGGAAATTGGCATTGGTTTTGTATCAGCAAAGAAAATGACAAATTGACGTTTGTCAAACACGTCGAATGCAAAATATCCGAAATTCCAGAATACAAACTAGTTTACGTGGCTAGAATTCAAATATCTTTATTTTTATTATCCTTATTGCCGTATATGACAATAACATAGAAGAATTAAGGGTAGGCCCCCAACTATGTTAACAAAATTCGAGACAAAATCCGCAAGGGTAAAAGGGCTGTCTTTCCACCCGAAAAGGCCCTGGATCTTGGTGAGCCTTCACAACGGATGTATCCAGCTATGGGACTACCGTATGTGCACCCTGCTTGAGAAATTTGATGAACACGATGGACCTGTGAGAGGTATCTGTTTCCACAACCAACAACCTTTATTCGTTTCGGGAGGTGATGATTATAAAATTAAGGTGTGGAACTACAAGCAAAAAAGGTGAGAACCTGACGGATACTAGATCTACTTTTAAAAAGTGTCTAGGCATTTCCTACATTAATGCGGTACAGTTAGTAGTTGCAAACATCTGATATATCTCACCAGTTTAGGAATGATTTCCTATACTGATATTCTGACACCCATCTTTCTAAGCCCTGCTAGATGCACTAGAGTACTGCTTCTTATTTTAATATCTATTCAATCATGCACATTTTTATCATCTTTCTCCTCTCTTTGCAATTTGCATCCCTTATCTTGATATAGAAAACTAGATTGAAAAAACATGTATTTTCTCTATAAAACATACATATAAAGATTAGGGTATCCAAGAGGCATCAATAAACTTTATTTTCAGCATAAAGTACTACTGAGGATGACCCAAAAAACTGGATAAACATTTTTGGAATTGGTTTTCATAAATAATTCCAACAAGTTTTGATGCAATTTGTAATTTAAATTTATTATTCAAAATAAATAGGCTACTGGTAATTAACGGCATTAGATTTGTTGTAAAAATCTAATAGGTTGGTATAAAGTATGGTGATACAATTACAAGCAATGTAACATTATTTTTTTTATAAAAACAAAGTTACACAGACTTCCAGAATAATAACTTACATATATATATATATATATATATATATCAAACCACATTCCGTTACTGTGTATGGTATTATATTCACAAGTGATTTACGACAAATGCACGTCAGGTGATAAGTTGAATAGCGGACATTTGCAATTGAAAGCTGAATTATCCATAAATCTAACTTCAACAGTCAGTGAAAGTGCTTTGCAGGAAGTTTTGGGACAAAATCACAGAATAGGCTTGCAGATCGTTCTCTTAACACATTGATATTTCTGGAATCTTATTTATTTATTTAGTCAACTTACGGGCAAACCCATTATACATGTGTATTATAAATAGAAAAATGCATTTCATTAATAAATCTGATATTAATTAAGGTTAACTTTCATTGATCTCCTGGATTGTTTAAAATTATCCTATGCATTAAAATGAACAACCATTTGCTGTAAAGAAGATTATTTTTTTATCAATGTTTGTTAGAATTCTGTATGCATGATTTTTTATGATATATGACAAGGACATTGTGTTTCAATTATTGTGCCAAGAAGAATTTTTGTATTTATAAATATTTGAATGGACCAAACTGTTGAAAATACCCAGGTATGACCTAAGCACCCAGGTATCATGAAAAAAATTCTCTATATACTCAGGTATCAAAAAAGTCTGGGTATGCGAAAACCCTCATAAGGATACAGGAATTGAGCATCTATTCTTTTTTTAAAATCAACCTAAAGCCTTTATCAGAAATCAGTATTCATTTTTTAATATCTACACTTTTTGAAAAAGTAGCATGCCTTTTAAAAAAACAGGAACACATTTTATAAAATCAGCTTGTGTCCACCATTTTCAAAAAGCAGGATCGCATGATTATGATTTTAATAAAATCAGCATGCATTACCATTTTTTGAAAAATTGGCATGCCAACACCGTTTTCGAGAATAACTGCTTTTTACAATGTAGCAGCATGCCTTCACGATTTTTTGAAAAAGTATGAACCCGTTTTTTTGGAAAAATCAGCATACATCCCAAGCATCATGCATTCGCCTTTTTTTTATCAGACTGCATACACCATTTCTTGAAATATCAGCATGCATCCACTTTTTTCAAAAAGCATTATGTATCCACCAATTTTTGTACAATCAGCCTACTTCCACCATTTTTTGACAAGTGTACTATATGCTTCAACAATTTTTTGAAAGAAATCATTCAACAACATTCACCATTTTTTGGAAAATCAGCCTGCATCTACCATTTTTTTAAAAAGCAGCATGCTGCCACCATTTTTTGAAAAATGATCATTCTTCCACTATTTTTCAAAAACATGGCCTAGATCCACTGTTCAGAAAAAAAAAACTGCTTGCATTCACCATTTTTTGAAGTGGTTGAAAGCTGTTATCAACCAAGAATTTAACTTTAAGTACTTAAAAACCTGATATATATGAAATAAAATAAATTAAAACATCTGTTTATCTGAATGTATGTGATCCAACTGTAATAACACCCCCAGATGTATTTTCACACTACTTGGACACTTGGACTACATCCGAACAACAATGTTCCACCATGAATATCCATGGATAGTATCAGCATCTGATGACCAGACTATCAGAATTTGGAACTGGCAAAGTCGTACTTGCATCTGTGTCCTCACTGGACACAATCACTATGTGATGTGTGCTCAGTTCCATCCCAGTGAGGATTTGCTGGTTTCTGCTTCACTAGATTCCACAGTTAGAGTCTGGGATATTTCTGGGTTGAGGAAGAAAAATGTTGCTCCTGGACCTGCTGGTTTAGAGGTAGGTACATTTTTTGTCCAATAATTATAATCCTTTGTCACTTTTCACATAGTCAAGAATATGCTGCTTAGAAAAAAGTTATAGTCAAGAATATGCTGCTTTGAAAAAAGTTATTTTATTTTGTTGTTCTTCTTTTCCTTAAAAATAGTAATCCCCAATTATTTTATGATTTACGCCCAGTCAGCATTCTACCAGTACCTTCAAAGATTTTAGAAAAAGATGTATAGGCAGCTAACCTCACATTTAACTGAAAATAACATTTTACCTCTGAAATAATCATCTAAATAACCCAAGCAGATTGTTGTATGCAAATAAACAACTACTGTACTTTGTCTAGAGTCTAGAGAATATTCTGTGAGCCTTGCATACTGCCTTTTAGTATACTTTCCTCTCTTGAATTGTGAAACCGTAAGAAAACTCCAAACAGTCCAAAATACCTACTGTAGATTGACTCAGAATCTCAGAACGTTTCACCATATCAGTACTGATTTCTAAGATATATATCTGTGATCCTATTTTTGAGAGAGAAACTGATTGCGCGCCTATATATACATTCCCGAAATATAATATATAATAATACCTTAACAATGCCACATCACGGGGCTGCTTTCTTTCAAAATAGTTTTACATACAATGCCATTAAGTTGTATAACTCTCTGCCAGATAGTTATAAGTCAGTGTCAGTTAATAAATAATGTAAACCAGATGTTAAGATGTATGTATTGAGCCATGGAAATGCTGATATAAATTAATACTCTTTTGGGTCACCTTTACCTCGTTAAGCAATTTGCATTATCAATGGAGAGTATCTGAAATTTCTAACCAAGTATACATGATCCTATTATTATTTTTATATTTCTCTACAACAGGGCGAACCCTGCAAATTGTAGGTAAAGTTTTTTAAACTTTACCTTACTGAAAAAAGACTGTCTATAAACTTTATTCTGATTTGTTGTCGTTTTTATCAATTTGTCAATGTAGATTATAAGCTTTTGATCGTATTTTAGGAAAAATAGAAGGTTTAATTGTTTGTGTTAAATTGGGTTGTAAAAAGCAAAACGTTGGATGAGGTGATCAATCAAAGCAGTTTCTTAGAAATTATCCAAATTTCTGAAGCTTCTAGGATCGTAGTGTTAGGCCAGAAAGTGACATGAGCGAAAGTTTTGGGTCAGGCGATCAATGCGGATTTGACGAAAACGGAACTTTAGTTGGTGTTAAACACGTTCCAGACACATGAAACGTGCAACACAACCGCCTGTAAACTGTATAGGGCTATAGGTATCAGTGGACTTTAGTAAACCAGTGCCATGTATCACTGATACTACAATAATTTTTGAAGCTGGTAAAAAATTATATTCGTTCTACAATGAACCAAGATCGATTGGTTAATTTATTAATTAGTAGTTGATAATCAATTGAAAGGAAGCTTTCAAAACAAATAGATTTCAAGTTATTGAAAAGTTTAGCAAAATGAACTGATATTATTTGATTATATACAAATATATGGACACATTTGCTTTGATTATTTTTTAACGTCGTTTTCACTACATTTCACTAATTCTCTTTAATCAACTTTAATCTTACCTATTATTATTAAGTATGCCAAATCTTGTAGCGCGTGTTATGAGAATAAAACAAACATACATTAGAAATGATTTTTTTCGTCCTTTTTGGGCTACTAATTTTTTATCTATTATAAAATTATTATTTTTTAACAAATGCTTCTTAGTTTCTCCGCCCCGGGCCTCCGATAGGCTTAGTCCGCCACTGTTACACAGACTAAGAATAAGTTTTTTTGGTCTGTCCTGGACTTTGTTTTGAAGTATCCTCAAAATGGAGTGTTTTCCAGAATTTTTATTTTGATGGAATATCAATATTTAGCCTCAAAAAAAGTAGATATATTCAGAGCGTTTCACTTTTTCATGAACTAAAAGTGGCAAAATTATCTTTAAAATTCAAACGTAAAATTTCGCGAAAGAGCTGTAACAAGTTCTAAGCATGGCATAAATGTTCTTCCATCTCTTGCTCTGACCCTACTTCTGCAATGAAGGTTAGGCTACCACTCTATTTTCTGACGTTGGCAGTAATACTATTGGTAACCTGTATAGAAATCAAATCCTATTGGTTCCAGTACAGAAAAATTAAATCAGTGCGCTTGCTAGTCATGCATTTCAAATATATTTTTACATACAAGTAAAAAATTATGAGGATGACAAGGACGTAAATTAAATTATGAAAAATGATTGTTTGTCTAAATGTGGAATATCTCATTACATAAAGGATTTAACACAGTGCAAAATGTGCACACCCTTCAGATTCACAAAAAAAGCTTTTATCCTAAACCTAAACATTCAAAATGTGCATTTTCAGAATTCCTGGTGACGTTTCCGTGGTATCTAGATATTGTGATATAGAATGTTTATAATGTTTCCTAGTGGTTGAGAGGATATTAACGTTTTTTTCAGGACCATTTGAAGAACCCAGGCAGCACAGACCTGTTTGGGCAGGCAGATGCTGTGGTGAAGCATGTGTTAGAAGGCCATGATAGGGGTGTCAACTGGGCTGCTTTTCACCCCACTTTACCTCTTATTGTCTCAGGGGCTGATGACAGACAGGTAGTACAACTAGCATTTGGCACGTTCATTTGCTGAGCTACGGGTTTTGAAAGCGAAGTCGCATTTGGGATTTATTCAAAGAATTTTTTCGAATTGAAAACTAATATATTGGGATATGAAACATCGCGTTATGTATATAGGAAATTTGGACATTTTTGATGAAAAACAAAATTCATTTTTCAGCTCTAATCATTTTGTATATACAGTAGCAGCCAAAAGTTTTCAAACATACAAAATCTAGTGATTTTATCTGAATCAAACCTTATACCAAAAAAAAGCTTATAAAAAATTGAATCCAAACTTGAACAAATATACAGGGTGATGCATTTGAAATTTTTGAGAAAAGCTACAATTTGCGTTTTTGACCACCCTGTATGAGCAGAAATTAAAATTCGAAAAAGTAAGAAACAAGATAAAAGCTGAGGTGTGTAATTTTGTTTTGGTACAAAATTCAGCACTCCAAATTTCAAAATGGCGGATTGAGGGGTTGCCGAAGTAGACGGTTTTTCTGGACAAAACACCTTGCATCTCAATAGCTAATTACCAAAAGTCCATAGTATCTTATATCAATCTTCTTCTTTTGAATTGGTTTATCCAAATATGCAATAAAATTTGAGGCATTCTATTTGAAAAATCACAACTTTGATATGTAGGTCGAAATTGGGACACCCTGTATAATGGCCAATATTTTAGAAATGTGCCCTCAAATGTCATGTATAACATCCCATAAATAGATTTTCCCAAAATGTATTTGTTCATGAGTAATATTCCGTCCACACATGGGTGGGCCACCCTGTATATGTATATATATACAGGGTGATTTTGAAGTTGAACCATTAATTTTCAGATAATGATTGTAGAAGGAAGATAAACCAAAATATGTGTGTAAAAATAAAAAAAAATTTACCTTGTTTTATAAAGTATCCTCCCGACAAGTATTTCAGTGCGGACCTGTATTTGATCGTGCGGTCTTGGAGCACCGGCATGCCCTTCCCTGTGAGGTCTTAAGTCACCTGATTCACGAGCCCTTTGTACTACATTAACAAAGGCACGAGGGGTTGGTTGCACTCGATTGGGAAACCGATTCGCACAAATCCGTGATGCCGCGGCAGCATTTTGTAAAGACTCCCCCCCGTAAATAAGAATCATGTCCACAAGTTCAGCTTTTTCGTAAACATGTGCCATTTTTTATTTCGTTTGAGCCACGCAACAAACACCACTATTCACTCACGCGTTACCGACTGACACTGACTGTATACAAATGAATAAAGTGATTGTAAAGACATCGTTCCAAATTCTTTCGCTTTTTTGTTTCCGATGCGATGAACCGATAAGGCGGATTATATCCGTTGTTGCCAAACACGAGCACATAATATTATTATTGAGACAGGGCGGTACTCAAACTTCTAAAGGGCTATAACTTTGTTACTTAAGTTTTACCAGAAAAATGTTAAAGGAAAAAAACATTTCTGTTGATCATATCTACTCACTGTTAAAATAAATGACTCAACTTCGAAGTCACCCTGTGTATAGGGTGTCCCGCAAGGTAAGAGAGAAAATTTTTCTGCGTGTTCGTCAGGTCAATTCGAGTCGAAAAAGTCGTATGAACATGAGTCCGCAAATGCTTCCCTATCGAGATATGATTTTATTTTTAGTGGGCGTAAACCATAATATTGTTGGAAAATTGATTTTATTTAACAAAAAATTTATTTCTCTTCGTATGAAAACAACTGTTTACAATAATTAAAGTCCACATTCACGTTGTACTGCCCGATTAATACGCTGGTGTTTGTTGACGGAGTAGTTGTGTCAGTTTGATTGAACTTTGCAAAAGTTACTGTCATGTTTGTTTTTACAAGCGAGGAATACGGTGAGATGATGTTTGTCTACGGATATTGCAACGAAAATGGCAGAGCATCAGTGAACGAATACCGCCGCCGGTATCCAAATCGAAGAATATCTGACAGAAGGGTATTTGGAAGAGTTTTGGCACATGTAAAAGCAACAGGATGGGTTCCAAATGTTACTGTAACACGCCCATCAGAAGCTTAATACTGGATAGCATTGAACGGTCACCATCAACCAGCGTCCGCAGAATATCACGTCGCACTGGTATTAGCCAAATGACTGTGTGGAGAACAATGCATAACTTTGGTTTGTACCCATTTCATCTGCAACCTGTCCAAGCTCGTCTTCAGCATCGCAATAATTTTGCTCAGCAAATTCTGAGCTACATTCACTTTTTCTGAATCCAGCTTTGCCAAAAGTTTTTAATTGTAGAGGAATTTACTTTATTCCATGCTGTTTTTATAAAATACAAAGCTTCTAACACATTGATAGACTTTGTAAGCTCAGATAAGCTTTGACCATCGTCAATTTTTGTTAAAATATGTTTTAAAATCAAGTGCCGATAATAAAATTTAAAGTTCTGTATGACACCTTGATCCATGGGCTGACAAACAGAAGTTGTGTTTGGCGGTAAAAATATAATTTTCACATTTTTCATTTTCATATCACGAGGATGAGAGCATGCATTGTCTAAAAATAAAAGAACTTGCCTTTTTTGGATTCTCATTTTCCGGTCGAATTCGACTAACCACTCAGACATGATTTCTCGGGTCATCCATGCCTTTTTGTTGGATTTCCAAGTCGCTGGTAGATCCTTAATAGCAACGTTTTTTAAAGCACGGGGACGAGCCGCTTTCCCGATCACAATCAAATCGCATTTTTCACCGGCCATATTTGCACAGAATAAAATGGTTAGTCTATCTTTAGACAACTTTCCACCCACACATGTTTCTCCTTTAACACGTTCAGTGCGAACAGCGTCAAAAGACGCCCTCTGCTCCTGTGGTGGGAGGCGAACGGCGTCTTTCGACGCTCTCTGCCGTCTTCCAAAAAAGTATTTCAGTTTCTGAGGTGGGTATCCTGTTCCCAGTTCGCAGTCAATGTGTTAAAGGACAGAGTTTTGTCGGGCAATGCGCGAAAAAAAAGTCCACTCTCATCTGCGTTGTACACATCTTCTGGTTTGTAGCCAAGCAACATGGACGGAAGTTTCTCCAAAAATTGTGACACATCAACTTGATCTACTGCAGCAGCTTCGCCAGATATGCATTTGAAACTCACACTATGTCTCTTGCGCCACTTTTGCAGCCACCCGTCGGACGCACTGAAATTATTATAGCCCAAAGTAGTAGCGATTTCTTTAGCTTTCATTTTCACTAACGGCCCTGAGATTGGCATGTTCTGACTTCTAGCTTTCACAAACCACTCAAAACATGTTTTGTCTATAGCAAAACCTTCCTTTTTTAAAAAATCCTTCTTTTGATTTATATTAGTTCCTGATTGCCATTTACTCCTGATATCTTCCTTATTTTTGGTAATTTCAGCTGCTTGCGTTTTCCCAATATTAAACCTCTTTGCCAAATGACGAACTGAAACACTTTCTCTGTCTAATACGTTAACAACTTCCATCTTTTCCTTTAACGAGAGCATCCTTTTTTTTGGTGCCATTTTACAGTTACAATAATAAAATACGTAACTCAATCAACTACGAATTTGCCTGAACTGAAGACAAGCCACAAGATTACATACAGGCTACCCAACGAAATGCGTAAATGGGGAATCACCTAATATAAATCGGGGAATTACCGAATTTTATGTATGTAGATATGTGCATTGCAATAAGCGGAACTAAAAAATCGTCCGGGTATTAGAGATTCGCGTCCGCTTATGGGAGATTTTTTGATCACATACAGGAAAATCTAGTGTCCGCGTCCGTTTATAAGAGCGTCCGTTTATCGGAATGCATTTAACATTGAAAATTGATGGCTGAAATTCGGTTCCAGGAACTTTGTCCGGTTAAAAGAGATGTCCGCTTATAGGAGCTGTCCGCAAGGAGAGCTTTCACTGTATATACATATATAAAGTGACATATAAATCCGAACACCCAGTTTAAATGGTTTGATTTTAATAAAATTTTGTATATGTACTTAATGAAGCATAACAAGTAAATGATACAAATTTCAAAATGATTGCACTGCTTTAAAGCCCTTTGACCTTTAATAATGTGTGGATGCACCCTGATGTGCTACGCATTCTCCAACGCGCCTAGGCATGCTTCTGATCAGGTGGTCAATGTCCTCCTGTGGTATCTCATTCCAGGCAACCACCAACTCCTCTCGAAGTGCTTCTAGAGTCTGAGGAGGACGTTGCAAATTGAGCAATCTCCTACCCATCATATCCCACACGTGCTCAATTGGGGATAAGTCGGGAGATCTTGGTGGCCATGGTAACAATGTGAAAGAAGTCTATTGTGACTCTTGCAACATGTGGTCGGGCATTATCTTGTTGGAAAGTTGGATCTGCCAGGGTGTCAAGATAGGGTTAAAGATGGGGTTCTAGAACTTCGTGGATATAACGCTGCCCGTGGAACCATAAGCTAGTAGCACCCCAAACCATAACTCCAACAGTGTGATGAACATGTCTTTCAACAAAAAACTGTGGATTCCTCCTTTCACCACGTCGCCTTCTAACTCTGGCACGACCATCGTGCATGCCTAAACAAAATCGAGACTCGTCACTAAAGACAATACTGTTCCATTCCTGATCCCAGAGTGACCGTTGTGTGCACCACTCAAGGCGATTACGTCGGTGTTCTCGAGTTAAAGAGAGGACCCAGTGTGGCCGGTATGAAAACAAGCCAAAACTTCTCATTCGTCGGTAAACACTTCGCATGCCAATAGGTCTTCCGTGTTCTGCAAACCATTCATTTGCAATGGACCTGGTAGTGGAGCGTAAACGGTCCCTTAAGGCCAATAATCGTAGGCGGCGATCTTCACGGTCTGTTGTTCTACGGCGCCGTCCAGTGCCACTTGCTCTTTGCGTACGGCCTTCTCGAAGCCATGCCTGACAACACCTAACCACAGTGTCTACACTTCTTTGCACTCTAACTGCAATTGCCCGAAAAGAAAGTCCAGCTTCCCGAAGTCCCACTATACGGCCCCTATCAAACTCACTAAGTTGACGAAATCGTACAGGTCTCCGTACTCTAGGCATCGTAACCGATCGTAAAGGATGTCAAGAACCAAAATCCGCCAACGTTGATTCTTTACTGCGGCTGAAATATTCATTTTTAGAGCGTTAGTGAATTAAAAAAAGCAGTATAAAATCCGGAATGTCCAACTGATAAGGCTGAAAAATTTTTCACTTGTTATTTACAGTAAGATAAATACATTCACCAACTTTTATTAAAATAAAACCATTTAACCTGGGTGTTCGGATTTAGTTTAGTATATAACAACAAGTAGGAAAATAATGGGCAAAATCCGCAAAAAGTGGATTCGAGCAGAAAATAGGATAGGTAACCCGAGCGATACGTATTTCTGCTGGTTGGCTTCATCAGGCCCGAAATGAATGCACATATGAAACTGAAAAAGTAGATACACATGCCCACACATCCGGATACGGGTCTAACCTGAGGAAACGAAGTTGGAGGAAAAAAAACGACACACGAAGTCCACAACAGGAGCCAACCTACACATTGTAGTATAAAATGGCTATACGACCTCGAATTTTCAAGGAGACGTCTAACCACCACCACGCGGCCGGTTATAGCCACTTGCTGTGGTACTTCAAGCCCAAAGGATCTACAAAGAGAATTTTTTATTTTCCTACTTCTTGTTATATACCTTTCTCCGCATGATCATATTCTCTCTCTCTCTCTCTATATATAATTTTGCAAGTAACTTTTTCTACAAGATGCCCGTGTAACAGTTTTTGGTAATCATAGAAGCTGTAAAAATATTTTTGAAACATAGTACTACCACAACAATTTCTGTTCAAATGAAAGTATATCTTGAAAATACAGGTGTAGTAGTGTATTGATGCGATAACTTGAAAACCAATCGACATAAGCAATCGCTTAACGTCATATGCACATAAAATTCCTACCTCCTTAATACGCGTACAGTTTCAAAACTCCTGATCTATTTCAAGCACACTTTAGGCTGTATTTTTCACTAAAAAAATCGAAAATAAAAAATGCGAAGTTGCCCAAATTTTGGCTTGAAATGGTTACATTCGGTTTAGCACTTTACGTTTTTTTAATTTCAAATTTGTTTTTTTTTTCATCAAAAAGTACATACCAATTTCCTATAAATAAATTTATATCCCCATATAATACTTCTCAATTCGAATTTTTTTTTCTAATAAACCCCAATTTGCAATGCTGATTCTCTTTAGCAAATACGCGTGTCACGAAAAAAAAAATTATGTCCTTTCTTTCACACCTACTAGATATATAAACAGGTCCAATATGAACGAATTTTAAAAACTCACTTTTTTCGCTATCCGCTTCACGTGAAATGCCACATATAACAGTATCATTATCAAAGTAATTCTTGCTCGCTTGTACTTAGTTTTTGAAATCATAAACCTATTTTTCTAGATAAAACTACTTTGCTTCATTGTTTTCTCGTACGCATGATAAAAAGATTTTTTACTTTTATTGACTCATTTAATAGTCATTGTGGTTCTAGGTGAAACTATGGCGTATGAATGATTCTAAAGCCTGGGAAGTAGACACTTGTCGCGGCCATTACAACAATGTTTCTTGTGTGCTGTTCCATCCTAGACAGGAGTTGATTCTATCCAATGGTGAAGATAAAAGTATCAGAGTGTGGGATATGACCAAGAGGACTTGCTTACACACATTTAGGTACGATTCTAATGAATACTGAAATTACTATAAACTTAGTGCAGTAAACTTTATCGCGTGATTCAATTATTCATTTTAAAACCTGCATCCAAGTGACTCAGCTTTCTACCTCAAACTGGCCTCAAGGATGCTTTGACATTTGGCGCGCACATTCGAATTCAGCGACTCAAATTACCTGAATATAAAAAAGATTTACGGTTTGCAACATTGCGAGACGACAATCAAAATTTTTCCTGCAAAATCATAAATACGTTGAGGTTTCCTATGAAAAAGTTTTTCAAAAATCTCTGGGTATCTATGACCTAAACAAAAAAAATCGCTTCCTGATTAAATCGAGAGCGTAGATTCTGGATTTCACATCAGTTTGACACTAATACCAATGGGAGGTCTCAAGTGACACATTTTATACTTCATACTGGACCCCAGACATTTTTTTGTAGTCATATTCGAATTTGGTGGCACAAATTACATAGATGTTTTATTTGCGTATAAAAATGGAAATGTTGCAATACAATTCCTATAAGAAAATTTTTAAAATCCTCTGCATATGTTTCCTCGGTTTCTCAGCATGTGTGCCCTTATGTTCAGAAAAGCATCGTTATTCCTTTCCTTCATATTTTCCGGGGTAGATGGTGGATATCTATAAACCTCTTGTTTAACGTATCCCCATAGAAAGAAGTCCATCGGTGTCATATCTGGTGATCTAGGATTCCAAGATATAGGCCCATCACGACCGCTCCAACGATTGTTACTCCAGGTGTCCAAATAGTTACGCACACGATTATGATAATGCGCAGGTGCGCCGTGATTTTGGAAGTACATATGCATCCGAGTTTGCAGGTTGACATCCTCTAAAAGCAAAGGCAAATGCTCGATCAAAAAGTTCAAGTATTCTGTACCTGTTAACCTGTTGTCGAGAAAGAAAGGCCCGATAACTTGTCTTCCAATAACTCCTCTCCAAACCCAGTAACGGTTTTCTCTCGCATAATAGTGCATGTTATGCATATTGACGACACATATGCTGTTAAAAGTTGCCTCATCGCTAAAAAGAACCTTATCCAGGAAAGTAGTGTCTTCACTCACTTTATTTAGTTCTACTGAACTCCATTCGAGCTGCGAAATCCTGAGGACGAAGGCCTTGAAGCAAGCATAGGTGATATGGATGGTACCTATGCTTGTGAATAATCCTTTGGACAGAAGTTCTGCATACCTGTGTTCTGCTCCAATTTGCCGTGCACTTAAATGGGGATTTTCCTGCAACTTTAATAGAACCTCCAACTGGTTCCCCTCATTGGTGACACTTAGATTATTTATACATGTTTTACTATATTCCACTGCTCCATTTGATTCAAAACGTTCTCGTAGTGTGGAAAATGTTTCCGGCCTTGGATATCTCATATTACTGTACCGTTGCTTATAAATGCGAGATGCTAGGAAACTATTTCTTTGGGCTTCGCCCAAAACGAACATCATATTCACCATTTCTTCTTTAGAAAAATTCATTTTCAAACACGTTTTTATTATAAAATTAGCGGACAGACATGACGGAAATGAGTGACATGTTTTTTTGTGATGAACATGTCCTATAACATCCAAAAAACATAATATCTCAAACATTTTTCGCGATTACAATAGTTCCTCGACAGTTTTGGCATAGGAAGTAAAATGGGATCTGAAAGATAATAGCACTACCTATGATACAGTAGCAGAACATTCAAATGAATTTAAAAATCTGCTTTGAGAAGAGTTAGTGTTTGGTTCGGCTGTGGTCTCGTAGATAATAGTGGGATCTTGAACCTATTTTGGGCGCCTCTTCAATGCCTTTTTAATTGGGTATCTTCTGGTGGAATATGGTAATCAGTGCCAGAAGATACCCAATTAAAATGGGCGTTAGGGAGGGAAAAAGGAATTGAAGATCCCAGCGCCATACATAAGTTTTTCCTCTTTTCGGCAACCGTTCGACCAAAGTCGCCGATGGCACTGCATCCTCTAGGGCATATTGTGTCTTGCTGCTCGAGTTTACACTACACAATCCAGTGGTCTAGTGTTCTGAACCAGTTGGTACAGTTTTCCTTCCTCGGTTCAAGTTTTGGTTTCCCGGAAAGTTTTGTGATCGAGCGTCTCGCACTCACATAAGATATATAGGGCTGATTCTGTTCCTTTTCCGCATTCTCTGCAGCTAAGGTATCCTGTTAGAAGCCCTGTAACTGCACGGAGTTGGGAGCAGTTCCGTAGTCTTGTTTGGACATGGTCCCGAGATGAATTATTTCCCATGTCTACCCATACAGTAGTTGAACCACCTACCTGTTATCAAAGTAGGCTTGAATATTTGTTTATATTCTGCTACTACCTCATAGATGGCGATATAAAGTATACAGAATACTGTATATGGTAGAATACGTTAATCAATGCTGGAACATATAAAAATATCGGCCACTACTATGAATTGTGATGAAACACAAGTACTACCCGAAGCATGTGACATATTTACCTCTGTTTTTTAAATATTCTCCTCTATGAATTCTTTGTATGAAAACATTTGTTTACAGGAGGGAGCACGATCGTTTCTGGATTATGACCTCCCACCCCACCCTAAACCTCTTCGCCGCTGGCCACGACGGAGGCATGGTCATTTTCAAGCTAGAGCGTGAACGTCCCGCATACACCGTCCATGGCAACTTACTGTACTACGTCAAGGAGCGCCATCTGCGGAAGCTGGACTTCAATACGTCCAAGGACGTATCTGTGATTCAGATTCGAGGTGGCGGGAAGATACCCATCTACAGGATGTCATTTAATCCGGCCGAGAATGCTGTCATCCTGTGCACCAGAACGTCGAATTTGGATAATAGCACGTACGATTTGTATGTAATTCCCAAGGAACAGGTCAGTTTGACGGACGTAGTCATATAATATTTTTCAGCTGACGCAAATGTGTCAACATCTTCCAATTTGCGTTCTACAGTTTCTCGTTCTTTATAAACGTTCTTCTATACAAAAAAATCAGCAGTTTTGAATTATCCTTTTCATACGCCTTATTCTGGTATAAACTTTTTGGTGGGTTAAATGGTCAAATTGCTTAGTTATTTGCAATTTCCCAGAAATTCACAAAATTAATAAAGGGAGGAAAGTAAAAAAGGGAGGATTTTCAGTGGATAAAAGGTAGTTTCAGCCTCTAAAAATCATCCCGTTCCACGAGTTATGTGGTATTTATCTGTTTTGAATTGCCATTTCTGGGAAACTGCAAATAACTAAACAATTTAGAAACCGATCCCCAAAAATTTTACACTAAAATAAAGCTTATAAAAATGATTATACAGAACTGTAAAAGTATTCAGTATGCTCCATTTTAATTTTTTGAAACCAGGTTATTTCGCGTTTATAGATAATACACAAAATTTAAGAAACGTTTAAATGAAAATGAACTATGGGATATGGAGCTCATTATGAGAAATAGTTTGTTACTCTTATCTGCAAAGTTGAAAGTTTTTTTTTCAGATAAAATATCCCGCAGCTACATAAGTAGCGTCCATAGTACGCTATATTGAACTTTTCTACATTAATTATTTTATTTAAAAAATGTATATCTGTGTTTCAATGTAGTGGTGAATCACCTCATAGAGAGCGGCATATTTTCAAATTTACCATTAATTTTTCAAAATTCAAATTACTTGATTGTCGACTAAATCTTAACAACTGACATATCATCATCAAAGCATATATGTCCACAAAGGTAGCGGAATTATAAAAATAAATAGCTTATTTATATATCTTTCATAATAACGGAGCTACCGCGCGATTACACGTAAAAATCCTCAATCTATGAAATTGTTTCAATCTTAGTATATTTACACGCTGTCAACCCTGTTAATTCTACGCACCTATTAGATATATTTCACACCCCATAGATTTCCCCGTACATTTGCCTTTAAAACTTGGTATGATAGAGAAATGATTTCGATGCGGTACTCCTGCTATCTAAGCTCATCGGCCGGCGAACCGGTCAGGCTGAATAATCTATCCGTATTGCAGCGCAAAAAACAACATAGACGGACCATGCACGAAATGAAGGATAATACGCTGCAGCGATGCCGCGCTGGGCGCTGCAGTGCAGATGTGGATAGGGACAACGTTGCCAGATGGAAAGTAACTACCGGTAGTGCAGGGAAATAATGTCTATGGACTAATTATTGTATGTTCCTGTTTGACTGACTTAATCCGTTTAATTTCCGTGTTATACATGTTCGTTACTAATTTTTTTCTCAGAGGATTTAAATTGCGGTGAAGTTAGTCGTATATGAACTGATGACGGCGTTGCGAAGGAAGTGAATATACCAGTTATTTATTATATCTATAGCTAATACTTTCTCTCGTTTAGGGAGACGATCATGTTCCAGAGGCAGAAAGCAAGAGATCTCCAGGATTAGCAGCACTTTGGGTAGCGAGAAATAGATTTGCTGTATTGGACAGAGGTCATCAACTGATCATAAAGAATTTGAAGAACGAGGTGACCAAAAAGGTTCAAACGCCTAGCTGTGATGAGATTTTCTATGCTGGAACAGGTTAGGATCCATCGAGATATGTTTTTTCCAATAATTCTTGCCTACTGTTTAACTTAAAAAGTACTGCTCGAATTTTTATGAAATTCTGATATAGATACCATGTCAAGGATAAACATGTTTTGCGGGTTTGAAAATCGATCTAGAAGTGGAAAAGTTATGAACGAAACATTGAAAAATGTTCCTAAATTTATTTGTTCTTGATGTTCTTCGAGTTTCAATTTGGGGAGCCGTCTGAAACATTTTTTAGAGGAATCAAAAATTTTAAAACACCCAAAACTTTGGTTTAAATGTTCTTCAACATTTTGTTCAGTTTTGGGTACATTTCAGGAGGTTCAAAATTTAAAAAATCAGAGATGCCTGATACTTTACTTATAATTCTAACGACAATAAAAAATGAATTATTTTTTTTGTTAAATAATTACTTACCAGCTGTAGCCTGTCATGTTATCTTTAATTTTTTTTTTTACTTGATGTGTATTTCTCTCTCTGTAACGAATCTAACTAATCACTACAACACATTCTCGTTTTCTCACAGGCATGCTGCTGTTACGTGACGCCGATAACGTAACTCTTTTTGATGTACAACAAAAACGGACTTTGGCCCAGGTGAAAATCAGCAAATGCCGGTACGTGGTGTGGTCTTCTGACATGTCGCATCTAGCTCTTTTGTCCAAACACAACGTCACCATTTGCAACAGGAAATTGGACGTACTGTGTACTCTTCATGAAAATACGAGGGTCAAATCAGGCGCCTGGGATGATTCTGGGGTTTTCATATACACCACTAGCAACCATATCAAGTAAGTATCTTTAAGAACTTTAAGTCGTAGAGTTAATGTGTAAATCTCAAAATAATGACTGTCGCATCATTGTTCATTTTAGAACACTTATTTTTGAAAATACATCTGCATTTAAAACCTTAAATATAAATTACAATATTACATGTTAAAAAAATATAGTAGTACCTAAATCAACATTTTTAAAGGACTCAATAATTTATAATGGTCTGAAAATTTACATGTGTCTCCATGATGCTATCAAAGGTACTAACAATTTAAAGATATTCCGCTGTGAACTTAAATTATATTTTAATATGTAAACCATATCATGTGTGAGTTCTACAATTCACCTACCTATAATCCACATAGATAATTAGTTATAGTTTGGTTTCAAGTTAGCTTTGTCATTAAGAATTCTCCACACAATAAAGCAAATGTAACTATCTATATATATACAGGGTGTCCGCAAAGTTGGGGTTTCCCTTTACACGACGTGTAGATCTTGAAAACATAAGCAATTTTTCTTAGTACCATATACACCAATGTCTTAAGGGAACCGAGATAAAGGGCTCTGCAACATCAAAAATATCTGAATACCGTCCTGTAGCCGCGACATCCCCAAGTGGTATTAGGACACTAGCTCAACCCGACGACAGAACTGGGTCGGGGTCAGTGTGTCAGGTCAGTATGCAACCTTCAACCGACGGTTACGGTCACGCGTGTAGAGGTAAACGAACCCGTATAATCGATTGCGTTTCAAAAAACAACAAGCGCTAGAGGCGTGGCTAGAGAAGTGCAAGTATCAAAAACTAAAGTGTGGCAAACGCTGCGTGAAGAGGGGCTGTATCCGTTTTACGTCCAACGTGTACAAGCCCTTCAACCCGACGATTTTCCAGCAAGAGTGCGGTTTTGTGAGTGGTTGTTGCATCAACACGACAATAATCCGGACTTTTTGAAGTGCATATTGGTGACAGACGAATCTACGTTCACGCGTAATGGGGTGAATAACTTTCGCAACACTCATGTTCTCCCAAATCGATTGGACGCGATGCAATACTTAGACTTTTTACGCAACATTTTGCCTCCCTTGTTTGCCTGCGTCTGCTCGGTAGTGCATCAGCTGATTTCATTTTCGGTTGGAGCGGTATGATTTCGGGCAGAGGCGTACTTAGCCCTTCTCGTCAACTGGAGAGTGAGTACTTTTTCCTTTATTTTTTTTTACTTGTTCGCCCTCGTTTCACTACACATTACCTTTGTTATTTCAAGGGTAGTTGTTTCTGAAAAGGAAAACCCCAACTTTGCGGACACCGACTATATATATATACGCTTATATCTTTTTCTTTTTTTTTTTTTGTTCAAAGGTACACTCTGACCAATGGTGACCACGGTATTATTCGTACTCTTGACCTGCCCATCTACATTACAAGAGTGAAGGGAAGTCAAGTATTTTGCTTAGATAGAGAGTGCAAACCCAGGATTTTGACGGTCGATCCGACAGAGTATAAGTTCAAATTGGCTTTGATCAACCACAAGTATGAAGAAGTTCTGTACATGGTCCGAAACTCCAGGTAAGTAATGAAATCATAATATACCCGTATTCAACATTGGTCAATGGCTGTTAATGGTTATACAAGCTTTTTTTACTCTGAGTGCCTAAAAAAGCTTTGAACATCATCGTAAACATATGAAGCCCCTAAAGTAATACAGCTAGATTTTGATGTTTTTTGTTGTAAAAAGCGAATTTTCAAAACTTTTTTACTTTTTAGGTTGGTTGGGCAATCGATAATTTCATATCTCCAGCAAAAAGGCTACCCTGAAGTCGCGCTACATTTCGTTAAAGACGATAAAACGAGGTTCACTTTGGCTCTTGAATGTGGTAATATAGAAATTGCGCTTGAAGCTGCCAAGGCTTTGAACGATAACGCATGTTGGGATCAACTAGCACAAACTGCATTGTGGCAAGGCAATCATCAGGTAAGCATTTTGATCTATATTTCTGTCATTATTAGTAAGCGTTGCGCGAAGAATGGCTTAGCTCAGCTGCTAAATACTGCTCAATGTCGATTGAATGTGCTCACAAATAGTACAGCACAGCATAAGTGGTCCATCCAGATGACAAATAGTAGACTAGGTTGGGTCTTCCTTTATGCAGCGCCAGCTCGTAGCAGCAACGTGCTACTGAACGTAACCAATGGCTGGATGCTCAACTTTGTGCTGTATTTGGAATCCATTTTCCGTTTAAAGAATTGTTTATTCCTAAAGATGGTCAATAGGAATGTAGTTGTAAGTTTAAGTGGTTTGGCTGCGCCACGGTAACGTATGCTTATTTTCGCGTAGGCAATGCTTTTCAATTGCTTCTGCTGAAATATGTTAATCAACCGCATTACTCTATAACTTAATCTTGATTTTCTATTCAGGTCGTAGAAATGTGTTATCAGCGTACGAAGAGCTTCGAAAAACTGTCGTTTTTGTATCTTATCACTGGAAATCTAGATAAACTGAGGAAAATGATGAAGATCGCAGAAATCAGAAAAGCTAGATCTTCTCAGTATCATAGTGCTCTTTTGTTAGGAGACTTGGAAGAACGAGTGAAGGTTCTTAAAGCATCTAAGCAAATGTCTCTTGCGTATTTAACAGGTATGCACTCCAATCCTAGATTTTTTCAATTCTACAATTGACGCTTCCAGAACGGTAATAAATATACAGATTGTATTTTTTTGTGTATCCTTATTTCCAGATTAATGTACCACTACTGATATTCAACAACTTCAATGTTCTGTATATTAATATATGTATACACTATGTAGTGAATCACTGCTTATAATATTGTTTCTTCCTTTCAAGTCTCTAATCAGCTCTTCTTTTTCGAATTCCTCACTGAAGCCTACAAGTTTAATCATTAGTAACTTCCTAAATAAATTCTAAATAGATTTTCAACAAACAAACAAAAATCTAATGGTGGAAGACCAAAGGAATTTTTAACGCAAAGCATCTCTATTTATTTCCTGAAATACAAATTGCGGGCAAGTTTAAGTCAATTCTCCGAAACCAATCTCCTTCACACCAATGTGAAACGAATGGCGTATACCACTACTTTCACGCAAGCGGATCCGCGGGTTAGTCTATTTTGATAATAAATATGATTTTTAAAATAGCATGTCATAATGAATCACCCATTATTGATGTCAGGGGTTACCTTTCGACCTCACCGTTTTTTTTTTTTAGCCGTGACCCATGGTATGACCGAAACAGCAGAGCAAATCAAAGAAGCCTGTGGCGGCGACAAACAACTGCCCGAGGCAGATCCAAACGCCAAGTTCCTGAAACCGCCACCGCCAGTCCAACAGGCAGAATCGAATTGGCCTTTGTTGACGGTTAGTCGAAGCTTCTTCGAGAACACTGCACTCACTAGCGCAGCGTCAACGAATATGAAGTCGTTGATGGTGGAACCCAGTGCGGAGCAGGCCATGGAAGAGGCCACAGGGTGGGGTGACGATGAGGAGATTGACGTTGAGGGTGAGTAGAGTAATGCATTATATAAAAACGGATTTTTTACGACTACTGTCGTTTCCCGCTTCTCCAACACCACATCTTCCTGTTTATTTGGTCTCTCTCATGAGGTCCCCAAGATGCCATGGCACTTTCAACATATTTCTTCCAACTTCTTGGAGGCCTACCACACTTGCGACGCTCTGTATCTGTATCCACTTAAACTTAAACTTTTTTGCCATCTGGAGTTGTCCATACTTTGGACGTGGCCATACCAAAGTAATCGCTTGGATTCAATCGTATCTATGACGTTCATAATTTCTTTAATCCTTTCATTTCCGACAATTTAACCTAGAAATATGACAACTCGTTCTAACCTAGAAATATGACAACTCGTTCTCCAGTAATCAATTTCTAGGGATATCAACCTATACTTATTTCTTTTAGACATCTCCCATATTTCTGAGCCATAAGTACTTTCCACGATCCTGTGATATATAATTTTTATTGAGGACTTATAGTCTAGCCATATTTTATATATACAGTGCGTTACAAAATTCGAGTAGATTCAGCATGTTAAATTGTAAAAAAAAGTTCATAAAAACTTTAAGCTCGGAAATTCTTCGTTTCGTTGTTCGTGTGTCACCTTACATATGAAGACAGTGTGAGATATTGAGATGAGTTTTGATACATTGGTTTATTATCAAAAGTCACAGTACCATGTAGAAAATTGTTTGTTCCGCAGGTTTATTACGTAAAAACCTATATAATGTCAAATAACCGATAAAATGTCAACGTGTTGACTAAGTGTGGAAATAGTCCATTCCGCGCATGCTACAAGTGAGCAGGAAGTGAACGACAGCTAATTCAAAGTTCACGTCTTGTAGGAAAACCTACATAATGTCAAAAAACCGACATAATGTCACTGTTTAAGTTATGTAATACCCCTGCCTGTTAAATGAATAAATAGTATGCCACTAGATCGTTATCTTACAGCCACATTGAATATATTTAAAAAACACCTTTTGGATGTTACCGGTCAGATGCATCGTTTTCGGATTAAGCTTTTTATTACCGAGTTCTTCAATTTGTTTACCTTTATTAAAAAACAGTAATCGAGCTGGCACTTTTCTAACGAACAAAAGGAAAAATTCCAAGAGATATTTTTCGAAACAGAATCAATATAGCTTTGAGCAAAACGATGCTTATTTTTGCAAAAATTAGAAGCGCACATTTTTTCGCTATACAATCTACACAAGGAAAGTTTTTAGACCTATACTTGCATACACTTTTCTAACGTGTGGTTACGTGAGTGAAGATACTACTTTCTGGATAAGGTTCTTTTTAGCGATGAGGCAACTTTTAACATCATAGGTGTTGTCAACAGGCATAAAACATGCACTATTATGCGACAGAAAACTCTTACTGGGTTAGGCAAATAGATTTCCAAAATAAATGGAGCTTGAATGTTTGGGGAGGAGTTATTGGCAGACAAGTTATCGGACCTTTCTTTTTCGACAACAGATTAACAGGTGCACAATACTTGACTTTTTTGATCGAGGATTTGCGTTTGCTTTTCGAGGATGTCAACCTGCAAACTCGGATGCGTATGTACTTCCAACATGACGTCACACCTGCCCATTATCTTAATCGTGTGCGTAACTATTTGGACACCTGGAGTAACAATCGTTGGATCGGTCGTGATGGGCCTATATCTTGGCCTCCTAGATCACCAGATATGATGCCGATGGACTTCTTTCGATGGGGCTACGTTAAGCAAAAGGTTTATAGATATACCCCGGAAAATATGAAAGAAAGGATTAAGGATGGATTTCTGAACATAAGGGAACACATGCTGAGGGATATGCAACGGTCATTTATCCAAAGACTACGGCTGTGTTCAACATGGTGGAGATATTTTCGAGCAGTTTTTGTAGATTAGGTGTTGAGTAGTGGTAGTTGTTTGTTTATGTTGTTGTTATAGTTGTTTTTCTCTATTACTCTTGAAGCTAATTTATACTGTTCTGATAAGTTTTTACGTCAAATCTGTACTCTTAATGGCAATATGGAACTAGCCCACTGTTTGTCTTTTGTTTCCATGGATGATGTGATTTTTTTTCCTTAATTTTGGTGTTTTTCACGTTTTTGACCACCCAGTATGAGCAAAAATGAAAATTTGAAAAAGTAACAAATAAGATAAAAGCTGAGGTGTGTAAGTTTTTTGATACTAAATTCAGCACTCCAAAATTCAAAATGGCGGATTTAGGGGTTGCCGAAGTGGACGGTTTTTCTGGACAAAACACCTTACATCTCAATAGCTAAGTAGCAAAACCTCATAGTGTGTTATATCAATCTTCTTGTTTTGAATTGGTTTATCCAAATATGCAATAAAATGTGAGGCATTCCATTTGAAATATCACAACTTTGATATGTAGGTCAAAATTGGGACACCCTGTATATTGGCCAATATTTTAGAAATGTGCCCTCAACTGTCGTGTATAACATGGCATAAATCAATTTTCCCAAAATGTATTTGTTTATGAGTAATATTCCGTCCACACATGGATGGGTCACCCTGTATATATATATATATATATAATTATATTGTCGGAATTGTCAAATGTACTTGAAAAAGTATGTTATAATTTCAACAAATACATCCTGATATTTGATTACCACTTCTCAGCGTTGACGTTTCCCCCAATGTCCCAACAACCACCAATCATAAGGTAGCATTGAACCATCAGAAACGTCTGATCAATATAATATAATATAAAATATAAAATAATATAAAATAATTTTAGCCTCTATGATTTTCTGTTTCCTAATTTATATTATTTATTGTAGGTGAAGAAAAACGAGTTCCTGACGCCGCAGCAGCTGGTGACGGAGAAGCAGGCTGGGACGTGGAAGATGCAGACTTGGAAATTCCAGACTTGGGACCAAGCCAACCTTCAGAATCTAATGATAGTTATATTCATCTAGCGCCTCCAGGACCTTCTCCTACACTTAACTGGACTAAACTGTCACAGTTGCCTGTAGATCATGTTGCTGCTGGATCCTTTGAATCTGCGGCTAGGTATGTAAAGCATGTCCAAATAAGTACTTTCGGACGAATCCGAACAAAAAAATGGCGTCAAGTAGGTTGACTCTGCACATTATGTTCAGAAAAAGTTAGACCCTATCGAAATAAGACAGCGCCATAAGATGGATAGAGGATAGTTGCTATGCTTTCGTTTGTTGTCCCAGAGACCAAGCTTAAACCATGCTGATGAGTTGCTGTTTTTGATCGGACGGATGAGAGCAACATGTTTAATTTAGACCCTCTGAAAAAAAGCTAAGTTCGCATATGTATAACAGAGAAATTAAATGGATTAAGTCCGTCAAACAGTCCATAGACAACTTTTATCCTACCTGCACCCATATTACGTAACTTTTTTATGACATGTAGGTTTTCCTATAAAATGTCACTTTAAACTAGCTAACATTCACTTGTAGTAGGCGCGGAATAAACTAGCGGCAGACTAGCGGCCACCTAGTACACAAGTTGACATTTTACCGATTTTTTTGACATATGGGTTTTTTACGTAATAACCTTGCCATAGGACCACCCATCTAGCAACGTCGCCTCTCCTCAATACCGCGATACAGACGTGGCAGCGCGACAGAGCAGACCGCAGACAAAGGGACGCATGGCAAAAACATTTCTCTGTCGTTCTGTTTTAAGGGCAAATGTAGGGGAACATGTGTTATTTTTTACACCGAAGCAGCCACGCAGGCAAAGCCTAAATGCCAGGGTACCGCGACTGCTATGATGAGCTTAAAACAATTCTCTTAATCCGATTTTTGAACTGCGCAATGTTAGTCGAACTGTCAAACGCCTCCTCATGTTGATTGTTCCACAGTCTCGATACCTTAGAGGTAAAGGAGCGGTCGTAACCAACACTTCTGGATGTTCGAAGTTCGACACGATTTGGATAGGAGGTCGAAGAAAGGCGGATCTTTCTTTCAAGCACATTGCTCGGAGTCATCACGGAGTAGAGTTTCAAAGTGCAAAGCCCATAGGCGCCGATGCGAAAGGGTCCCGAGACTGTCTGTTAGAGAAGAGTCATCGATCAGTCGAACAACCCTCCTATGAAAAGCATCGAGCGTGGATAATGTAGCACCCCAAACATGTGAGCAGTACTCGAGGCTAGGTCTTATCTGAGCCTTGTACAGAGTGGGGAGGTCATGTGGAGAAAAGTTCTTGTTAGCCCTAAACAAATAGCCTAGCTTCTTACGAGCAGCTGCCGCTATTGACGAGATATTTGAGCCAGATGAGCAAACCGTACTGTGTTTTGTAAGCATTAGTATCATTGTATCAAAACTTCATCCAAATCCATGCGGTACTTTCCAAGTTATGGACGGGCCAAGGATTAGCAGACAGACAGACCGACGGAAGTGAGTGACATGGTTTTTCGTGATGCACATTACATTTCCGAAATATTTCGCAATTAGAACACTTCGAAACCCGTAGGCGTAGGAAGTAAAAGACATGCAGAGCTTCACTCCAGTGATGATTTTTATCTAATACTAAATTTATGTCATCACTAAGTCTATCATGGTCTTATCACCAAGTCGGATGGCAAATGACGCCTTATGGTTAGCTCATTATTATGCACATTTTATTGAAGTGTTTTATTGCTCCCTACTGCAACTATTGTTGGGGTGCAGCTCCGTTGATATTCTTGGAGGATAACAGATTTTCCAGTGGCAAATATTTTTTCGGCCAATACAGCGAAGAATTTTGATATCAATCATCTAGACTAGAAGAAACTGATACAACCATACTGGGTATTCCATGAATAAGAAAAAAAGAAAACTGATGAGATTACTTCAGCTAAGTCTGAGAGTGCTAAAATGGTGGTAACTTGTGAACGAGAACACTAGATTTCAAGATCAGTTGAATTTATTGTCGACAAATATTACTGAAAAAGAAACTGTAGTTGACGCGCTCAAGAAAATGAATGACGCAAATTGCAAAAAAGACCTATGCTACAAAAAGCAAGGAAATCCCATTGAAAAGCATAGTGATTATACCAAGCCAGCAACAGACAAGCCTCAAGACGCGTAAGATCTAGACAAAAACTTAAGCTTGTCTAAACCGCAAATCAAAATTAACGACGTGAAGAATTTTAGAAACGGTGGTGTGGAAATTAAGATCCACGAAAGTAATCATGCCCAGTTAAAGGAAGAAATTCAGAAAAAAATGCGAGCATCGTACCAGGTTTCTGAACCGAAAATGTTTAGACCTAAAACCAAAATCGCGGGCTACTATACAGATGAACGAATTACCGAAGAAGAGGTAGTAGAAGACATCACAAGACAGAACCATTTCATAGAAAAATACGATATTAAGATAAATTTTATTAAGCATATTGCACAAAAAAAAATTATATTATTTACGCAGAGGTCACAGGTAATTTATTTAAACAGATTTTTGAAGATTATAATGGAAAAATTCTATTTTTTTAAATTCTACTTTCGATGTAATGAACCAAATCTGTTTGTGGATAGTGTATTCTTTTGAACATCTGCCAGAGACTATATGTTTAAGTGTAAGAGTAGAGTAGCAGCATGCTAAACTTCGCCGTCTAAGTCTGACATTTGGCTATACTTCAATGTAATTGTGGATAAATAAAGACGTATATTATTATTATTATTATTACTAACAAATAAATTCTTTCACCGTACCTAACACTGACTTCCTTGATGATTCCATTATTCAGCGACATCGGCTAGAAATGTTGTATTGCAGTTATACGTATACATAGTTTTAGAACGGAGAAACGCATCAGAAATAATTCTGCAAACGTATTCAACTCGCTTTTTCTCATTGTATGATTTTTCAAACTGAAGGCGATTTTTAGTCAAATTTGACAACACTACATTTTTTTGCTATAATGGAAATGAGTATGTAACGTTTTTTGTTTTCAGGTTATTGCATACTCAGGTGGGAGTAGCAAATTTTTCACCATATGAACAATTGTTTTCGGAAGTATTTGGAGCTTCAAAAACGGTATACACTCGACAGCATAATGTACCTACAGCATTCGCTTATCCTAGCAGACCGCTCAAAGATAATAAGGGAGCCTTACCAGTTGTTGCTGTCAAACTGAATGATCTTGTGCAGAAACTACAGGTAATTATTCACATAGTTTATAATCAATGTATAAACATAATTGTTTCCACATCACCTATCTACAATACAAAATTACAGTATTATATTGATATTGTATTGCTTTTCTCTAGCCCTTATTAGTCCCATGGAACATTTATTGTTACTACTGTATTATGTGTTGTATTGAGAGCCTGTTTATAGTTGGTGTGAATAATTATTATTATTAATATTAATACACAAAAGAATATTTTCGGCGGAACGGCATGTCATATAAGTATATTTTAATAAAAATGTATTTCGTAACTGACCTTTTAATAGGTCCTTTAAGCGAATGTCACACGATCAGTATTTACTGTGATCCGTCAGTTATTCACCATGAAATGTGACATCTATTGACCGTTGAGCCAACACACCCGTTATTATTGATGCATAAGGTTATGAATCCAGTGATTTAGAGTTCGTAATTGTTTGACGTACCTGTTTCATACGTTTGGAAATAGAATAAGTAATCCTTCTGGAACGTTAAAAATAGGCTTTACTTCCCGTGCTCAAAACCTTGGGAATAAAAGTTGTCACTTGTTATTCTTATTCTCATGATTTATTGTTTTCTTTATTTGGTTATCAAAATATATATTTTCACGATAAGTGGATTACCTTGTGTCCATAAAATTTCTTATAATATATATAATGAGCAGAAAACGTAGTTAGAAATTAGTCGGCTGTCATCAATTGCCATTCCATGACGATGTAATAATTTAGATGTGCTGAAGACGAAGATTCACAGTATTCCAGAGTAAAATTTTATCTGTCATTATACATTCCATTACTGTGTACGATATTACATTACCATTACAAAAGAAAGAGTAAATACTGATTGTGTGACATTCGCCATAAACTTTGAATTGGAATTGAATACAAAAACGACATCATTATTTTCTACATCTTAGAAGATTACTTGTACTCGCAAGCATATCCCAATTTCTTAGCATCACTCATCAATAAGGGTGTTAATGAATCCCACTTTTCAGGTGTGCTACCAGTTAACAACGGGTGGTAAATTCTCGGAAGCCATCGAAAAATTCCAGAACCTCCTTCTCTCCGTAACTTTATTAGTTGTCGACACCAAACAAGAGATCTCCGAAGCTCAACAGTTGCTGAAAATCTGCGGCGAGTACATCTGCGGCCTTCAAATGGAAACACTTAGGAAAAATCTGCCGAAAAACACTCAAGAAGAGCAGATACGTCAGTGTGAAATGGCTGCTTACTTCACGCACTGTAAATTGCAGCCTATCCATCAGATCCTCACATTGAGAACGGCACTGAATATGTTTTTCAAACTAAAGAATTACAAGACTGCAGCGTCTTTCGCCAAGAGATTGTTGGAGCTAGGACCAAGACCTGAGGTGAGCCTTAAATTTGATTCCCTAATTTTGCCGGGAGTGAAGTTCATAGTGACGGGAGGAGAAACTCAATCGATCGCCGGGCAGGCTTTGGATAAAAAAAAAACATCATCGGCCCAAAATAAGCGTGAAATATGGTATTTATCCTGAGCAACTGAGAACATAAAGGCAATTTGTCATCTTTTGATAGCTTATTATCAGTTTTTTCGAAAATATTTGAGATGGTAATGAATAACAAATATTGAGTTTTTCAACTCTAAATGATCTGAAATGAAACTCGACATGGTTATATTAAAGGTAAAACAACTCTACAGCTGCTCATAAGGTTATTCACAATATTGACTTGGACAGCAATAAGAGTGTACTGGGTTTCTTTCTTGACCTAGATTACCAATATATTATTACAAACATTAGAAAGATCAGAGGTGCATCACTTTCTTGGATAGAATCATATCTCAGCAATCATAAGCAAAAAGTAAAGCTATTGGGATTGTAATGGAACGGATATTTGGAATGAACTTAATGTTAAAACAGGGGTGCTTGGGGTCCCACATTGTAGTTTTTTAAATGACATTGACACCTGTATCAAACCTGATGCGTGATATAATATGGACAATGCAAAAACCTGTTTTTTAAGGGTAAGACTTGTTCTATGTTTTTTTGAACAACTCGCTGTAAAGGATATTTTCAAAATTCAATTTGTCTTAATGGTTCACAGTGTCTGACAATACTAGGATTCTTGGTATTGAATTAGATAGTTACCTTGGGTGGGACAATCTTATAAGTTATTTAAGAAATACGCTCAATAAGGTATGTTATTCTATAAGAATTGTTGATAAATATTTGGATACAAAACTTTGACAGTTGTGTATCACTGAAATTTTGAATCTAAATTAAGGTATGGAATTGTCTATTTGGAAACTGTAGTCACTTTAATGAAATTTTTGTATTACAAAAGAAAACATCGAGAAACATTTTGGGTTTAAAGTTAAATTAATCATGTAGAAGCAAATTCAAGCAATTCGATATTTTAACAGTTTTTAACTACATATATTTATCCCAAGTATAGTTTAGCGTTACTTGAAAAAGGATCTCTTCACAATTGTCTAATGATTTACAACCATTTACCAGGAGTTGTGAAAAATATTGTAAAATAAGTCAATTTAAAAAATATATAAAATATAACTAAATCTAGCACCATATACAATCGATGACTTTTTCAAGACAGATTTGAATAATATAGCTAGATTTTGTCGGTACTTTTGTTTGGTTGATACTATTTGTATCACAAGTGGTTTACAGTGTTTCTATAACATTTGTATTTTCAAATAAAGATTACTGTTATTATTATTGATGCATCTATGGTGGAATCGATATCATGTGAGGCCTGGTAAAAGTTCAAATATTTTGCTATCATAATTTGTGATCACTATTCATTATCTCCACAAGTGCAGATATTTCAGTCCGCTATGCTAGGTGGCACTATCATCGCGAATAGTCATTTTTCATTTCTGCAATCTACAAGTGCTGAAGCATTAGCTGCGTTCAATAACTCTAAGCAGTGTTGTCTGGATTATGCATTAGTAGGTTATGCTCATTGTCAGCTCATAGATGAGACTTAGCAGGCTAATGCTAGACAGCGCAAAGATTCAGCTGCAACTGTCGCAGTCATTTGTGGCTGAAAATTCTATTCCTGCAGTTTAGCAGACATTAGTCACTCTGAATAGTTTTCCTAGATCATGATGCCCTTTATTTTCGAATATTGTCTAAGGACCAAATCGTCTTAGAATAGTCCAAAGAATTTATCCTTATTAAGAAAACACCCTGTTATATTCTAATTTTCTTTCAGGTGGCTCAACAAGCAAGGAAGATTCTCCAAGCATGCGACTCGAACTTGACAGACGAACTGCAGTTGAACTATGATGAACACAACCCGTTTTCGCTATGCGGTCATTCCTACACGCCGATCTACAGGGGAAAACCTGAAGAAAAATGCCCTCTTTGCAGTACTTCCTATTTGACAAAGTACAAAGGAAATCTGTGTAACGTCTGCGGTGTTGCCGAGATAGGAAGGGATTGTATTGGATTAAGGATCAGTCTGCATCAGTTTAGATAAATTTCGAATATTCAAAATAATTCGTGATATATGATACCGATTTACTTGGGTTCCAATATTGATAGAGTCAACTAATGATCATATGACTGTGTATTGAAATATGCAAGCTGTTATAATTTGGAAACATGTAGGGTAATCCCAAAATTCATATAAATCTATTGTATGAGAGCCTTATACATTATGCTTATTCAAAAGACGATACTAGTTTCAAAAAAGTTATCTATTTAATTTAAAAGTATGTTAAATGTACTATTTCTTTTTACGTACTTTAAATTTAATTTTATTTTGAATAAAAGTGTTAATAGAAACGATTTTTGTTTTATTTACCACAGGTGAAACCTTATTAGCCTTAGAAGAAATGCATATTGGGTTACAGGATACTTCCTACGCGCACCTTGGAGGTTTCAAAGGCAAGGGAGTCAAATCGTTTCAAAAGGCGAAATCGAATCGCGATTTGGTAGGTTCACTTAGGTACGCTGAATTTTCGACCTCTGCATATCAAACTATATAAAGCAAATCTATTGCATAGTATGACAGATCAGTAGCTTCTTAATAATAGGTCTTTAACCGACACCAAATATCCAATAATTTTCTACAACTTTCATACCTTCAAACAATGTCTGAAAATGAGCAGGAATCTGTGAAACGTTATAACACTGCTCCACCGATTTTATTTCCGCCGCCCCTGAATGAATTTTCAAAATTGAAGTATTGAACCCGCGATAATATTGGAACTTCGGGTTCGCAATTTTCTGTTGCTTAAGGATCTTTGCTGATCTAAATACAGTGGAGTCCCGATTTAGTGAACTTATTCTGCCAAAGCTATTTTACTATATAGGGGTATTCATTTTTGCGAGGTGTAATATTGAAGGCACATATTCAAAGAAATAGTATATATTCTGCAAAAAAATAATACTATCATTGTATTCAAATGAACTAAATGCATACTAAATATGGGTTTATACAAAAATATGAAGACAACATTCAAAACAATCTTTTATTTATTATTATGCAACACGAGCAATCTGCTGTATTCTACTGCATCGCCGTTTTCCTCAGACCATTGGATAATGCGATTAACAGATCGCAAAGCTTGGTCTGTTGAAATAAGTTTGTCTTCTATGTTTGACATATTAGTAATATTGCCATCATCTTCTTCCGAATCGGAATCAAGTCTTATGTCATTCTCCAAATGATTTAAGTTTACTGGTTCATCTTCATTCCAGTCGATAATGTTGTTTGTTTCACATACTACCTGCAATATGTACACAGAATTCAGAATTACATAAATATAAAATATTTTTTCAATTTAACTCACATTTGGATTAATATTTTGTAAGAGATCCATAGTACATATTACAAGACGTGCGTCGCAGTTCACTATATCGGGTTTAGCGCTGTTCTCTGTATCGCGAAGCAATAAAAAGATTTGTGTGTTCACGGTACGGGGTAGTTCACTCGAAGCGGAGTTCACTAAATCGCGACTCTACTGTATTGCTAAAAATATTTCTATAGCGGTGTGTCAGTGATGACACCACCCCAGCCCAGTTGAAGTTTGTTACCCATTGCACCGTCGCCGAAATCGCCCTGTATAGGGCACTGATAGCAGCTGTCCCGTAATTTCGATCCGGAAGAGCGAGGCAACTGAGGTATTTACTATGGAAACTGAAAATGGCGCTTCCACCATGGCAATCGAGACGGTGTCGACGGAGTAGTCCGTAGAGGAGTTGAGAGTCGAATTGGAGATGGTTCGCAGAAGCTGTCAAAAAGACGACCATTGAAAGATTGATGATGATCGAAGCCCAGCAGCGGACAATTAACGACCTAAGAGTTGAATTAGACCTCCTACTGAAAACTCAGGTACCTTCCCATCTAAATATTACACATTCTTCAGAAAAATCTCAGCAGCTGTTCAACGAACATGAGCTGCTAGGTTTGGCTATCCGAGTCGAAGGTTCAAAAGAACTCAAGACTCATCGGGCAGAGTCACCGCTGCAAAAAATATGGGCATGCGCAATTTTACTGCACTGCACCACCTAAGTGTCTAAAATGTGCTTCTGACCTCATGACCCACTTATGCCCTCAAACAGAACAAGAGGAACGGAAGTGCGCGAACTGTGGAGGGGGCACCCAGCGAATAGCCGAAATTGCAGACTTGCCCCTAGGAAAAATCTGCAAGTGATAGCGCAAAGACGCAATGTAAGTTACGCGGATGCAGCTAGGTATGCAACCCGGGCTGCCCCCTCTGTGGGATCTTTGCAAACACGCAAAATGTGGACCTGGCAACCGCGCTAAGGACCTTACAGCAGATCATAAGTCCTCTGATTAACGCATAGCTACGTACAATAGACGACAGCCTTCATTTATCAAAATTCTTTTTTGGAATTGTTTGGGTCTAAGGGACATTCCCAAAAAACGGGAATTTCATCAAGCTCTTGTGGACGAAAGTACAGATGTGGCCTTGCTGCAGGAAACATTACTTAGTCCGCGAGATCGTCTAGCTTTCCCTAATTACGATGTTATCCGAGCTGATAGATTGGCTGGACGATGTGGAGGCTTGGCAGTGCTAGTGAAACGCAGTATTGACTACCACAGAAGCACAAACGCTGAGATGCAGAGCATCGAAGCGGCTTCCGTGGTGGTCAATATGACGGGAGGTGTACCGTTAAAAATAACATCGGTTTTATGTCAGGTGTGGTATCAGAGGCTGAAAGAGGCGGATCTGGAAGTCCTTTTAGACTGCTCGGGTCCACTTATTGTGGCAGGGGACTTCAACTGCAAACATCGAGCATGGCATTCTAGGTTGAATTCCACCAGTGGGATCCGACTGTACAACCATGTGATGTGAAATGGCTACCTCATACATAGTACTGAGGAGCCGACGCACCACCCATTTAATCACCTTCAGGCACCTGATGTTCTTGATTTTGCAATATCCAAAAACTGTAGTTACAGTATCACTTCTCGAATCATGTATGACATCTCAAGCGATCAACTTCCCGTCGTTTTGGAAGTGGGTAATGAGCAGATCTTGGAGGATGAAACCCCTCCAAGGAAACGCATTGATTGGGTGCTATACAAGTTGCTCCTCAGAGAGTTCCCCAATATTCCAATCATAGATGATGAGAACGGTATAGATGCGGCTCAAGCGGAGTGGACAAGTTTTGTTCAGCAAGCTCTGCAGCGTGCCAGCAGACAGTTTCAGATAAAAGGGCTGCAATTAAGCAAGCGAAAAGGTCTTGTCATCCTGATGACATTCGCAGAGCGACGAATCTTGTTCATGAAGTAAGAAATGCTCTTCATGAATTCTGCAATGAGCAGTGGAACGAGTTTCTGGCGGGGATGCTTGACTCAAGCAGTCCTCTCTGGAAGGTGGCGAAGTCGCTCAAAAACGGAAAGCGTGAACAAATCCCACACATCCACGGTCCTGGAGACATCGTCTTCAGAACAGAGGAAAAGGTTGAGGTTTTCGCCGGTGCGATGGAAAGACAGTTCTCTCCCAACTATGATCTTGATATTGACCTCGACGAGGAGCAACACATCGTAAGATCTGTCAGGAGATATTTTAGGGCCAACGGCATCAGTGACAGTCGCGCTACCGTTGGTGACTTTTTTTCATCAGAAGCTTCTTCAACCGAAGATCTGCTTAGCACATCAGCGGAATCTCCCGAGATCCCGCATTACACACCAGCAGAAATTCAAGGTCTTATTAAAGACCTTAAAGTGCGTAAAGCACCTGGGGAGGATCAAATCACTAAAAAGGCGCTGAATCTGCTTTCGTGGAAGTCCTTAACTTATCTCGTGGCAATAGTCAATGTCATGCTAAGGACCCAGTACTTCCAATCCGCGTGGAAGACCGCTGAAGTTATAATGATTCCAAAGAAGGTGGGTTCGATATTTCCCCAGGATTATCGTCCCATTAGCCTGCTGCCAGCTCCGTCTAAGCTCGCTGAAAAGAACCTTGAGAATTTCTCGTCAGATCACCATGTGATTCCTGACGTGCAATTCGGTTTTCGGTCTGAACATAGTACGCAGCTACAGGCGGTTAGGCTGGTGGAACGAGTAACCACAGGATTCACCCTTAACGAAAGTACTGGCATCTTGCTTTTGGATGTCTCAAAAGCATTTGACAAGGTGTGGCACGCGGGCCTCCTGTATAAACTAATTCAAAAGGGCTTCCCTTTTTGGCTTCTAAATCTACTGAAATCTTTTCTTGAAGGTAGAAAATTTCGGATCAAAATTGACAATGTCCTGTCGACAACACGGCTGATTACAGCCGGCGTCCCTCAGGGTTTGGTCCTTGGACCTATCCTTTACTCACTGTACATCCATAACGTCCCTAGCCCCAGCACCTGTGAAGTCTATCTCGATGCTGACGATACTGCATTGGTGGCTCAGTCACAGTCTGGTGACCTAGTCCATGACAGGCTGCAAAGTGCGGTGGAGGAAGTATTAGATTGGGCGGATCGGTGGCTAATTAAAATTAACCATTCGAAAACGCAGGCAATCTACTGTACAAAAAGATGTCGCGGAGTTCCGTCTAGTATCTCGGTGTCATTCTGGACAAAACTAAATTCCAAATTACGTTTCGACAGCTTTACCAATTATTATGTAATCAAAATTAAGTTTGATTAACAAGGTTCGACTCTATAAGGTGGTCATAAGACCGGCAATGACTTACGCATGTGCGGCTTCGTGTTTTATTGCTAAAACACACATGCGAAATCTGCAGGTTCGGCAAAGCAGGACGTTGCGCACTATTGCTGACGCCCCATGGAATGTCTCTACTCTACTTAGAAACCTCGATGTCGCTTACCTAAAAGGACTACATTAGGCAACATGCGCAGCGGCGCTATAGTCTAGCGGAATTGCACAGCAACACTCTGTTGCGTGAGTCAGTGGACTACACAGTCGAGCAAGTTCGCAAGCACAAAAGGCCGCGGCTCGCACTGTAATCAAAATTAATTCGTGAACTTAGAACAACCAAAATTGGAGGATTTTGACAAAATCTTTAGAAAAAAATCGAATATCTTTAGACCATATCAAAATGTGTAAAGTGATTTTACCAATGGCTAAACGCTACCTATCCTAAAAGATCCTCTTCTTTCCCTTTGCTCTCGTTCTTCCTCCTTTGCTTTCCTTAAAATTGTCTGGTTTCTGGGTTACCAGACCTGACAGACTTACAAACTGACACTGTGACTCAAGAGCTAAGGTCCCACGGACCGCTCTGACAACCAACGATGACTTGACCGTCGACGATTGCAAAGTTAATTTCGAATTATGAGCACCTTATACATCGGGCTTTTATCATTTAACTTTTCCATTGATACAGAGATCAGAATCTTTTTAATGCTAGGACATCTTGAATACAAGACGTTACATTTACAACCTCCAACTTTCAACCACTACAAAAAAATTTCAGAAAATGATCAGGAGCCTGTGAAATGCGAAAAAACGAATTTTAAGCGACTTTTATTTTTTCGTATTTTTGCCTGTAGCTGTGCCACCATTGCGCCGATTTTCAAAAACTACAAAGCTTTTTCATCCTTGGTAGTAGTAACCTTGTGTGAAAGTTTCATCAAAATCTGAACGGTACTTCCCAAGTTATATGCGGTTATAAAAATAGCGGACTCATCGACGGATTTTGTTTCATGATGTACATGTTATATAACATCCAAAAAACATAGTATCTCAATTTCGAAAATTTCGCGAATACAATACTTCCTCGCCAGTATGACGTGGGAAGTAAAAAGGTGCCTGTATTGAAGGTTATGTTTCAAATAAATTATAACAAAGAAAAAAATAAATCTGTATTGATGAATATCACTGAACAAAAAATGGTAACAAAAAGCATACGTCTATAAATAAATACATATATCAAAATCACATAGCTTTCACGTCGATTTATAATCTCTGATGTTTCGCACCACTGCCGCAACGCAGAACTTGAATCATGCGTTTGACGTTACACTGTGCATAAACAGGAATTCGGCAACGTGAGTTAGAGTCAACTAATGAAAGGGAACCTGCCAATCACGTGTTTGTTGCGACAAATTAGATGATTTTTTCGGTCTGTTTGATATGACATACGATTTGTTTTGAATTTGTAATCGGCGAGACTTTCTTTGAGAATAATATGAATCATCAGGAGATGTGCATAAAAGGTGATGGAGACACTGCATTTGATCTGCAACAAGTTTTGTTTCAAATATACGAAATGCAATTTTGGGTAGATTATGCGTCACGCGCTATAACGTTAGCAAGCATATAAATTGATTTTAACAGCCAGCGGCAGCATTACTGTAGCAGTACGGAAATATCAGAGTTTTAGACCTTTAGACATTGTCTAAACTAGACACCACAATTAGCTAGAAACTACAAACCATAACTTGAGAAAATTAAATAAATTATTTGTATTGATTATTAGAAAAGTGAAGATAAGAAAATACTCTTATTCAATAATATAAGCTAGATGTTTATTAATTACTAAAAAATGGATACCAGCAAGGACTTGAAATAAACCTGTCTTTGGTTCCCACAATTTTATGACCAAGTAATAAAAAATGAATTTGCAACATACATTGTAAAGCTTGTACATACATAGCATATGAATTAAGTATTAGCAAAGTTGCAATGCTTCAGCAGCTGTTCTGTGACATCCAGAGGAACATAGCAGATATGTACAAAAATAAGCGACCCAAGTTGCACATACCTCTTTCATTTTCTGCCCTCCAAAAATACCGAATTGCATCGTCGCGTTAAGGTGGTTCAAAGCCACTACCAAAGTGGCGAAATGATATGGACTATAAAAGAATAGCGTCTCTTAATCGTTAAAACAGTTTTTGGCGAGTTGTCTGGAATTATATTGTGGTATCCCAAAACCTTCAAACAGTTTAACTGGAGTGTCTGTGATAAAACAGGTAGTGAGGAAGAAGGTAAACATCCACGTAATGAACGCCACATGCAGATAGTTGACCGCAGAACACAGCCAGGAGTGTTTTACGTGTCGCCAAGAGGTGGGGGTGCTTATATTTCGATGCTCCGCAAATGATGTAACGGCGAGTATTGTTATTCAAATATATTTGGAATTTGAGACATAGTTGCTTAAGTTGTAACACCACGCAACTCTAAAAAATACCTTGTTTTTTCTTAAAAAAAAGCCACCGTGATTACTAGAACGTCATCAGTAGGCACTATTAGCATATGAGGTTTCATTTGCGACTAGACAAACATGGAGGATTGTAAGATCATTCAATAGCGAATCCAAAGACCCACCGTTCTTTTTGCTCTCCTAAAAAGATATTAGTTTTGGAACTCTTTTTATTGAACAACTAAATTTTTGCGATTCATGAGTGGGTAGTACGAAAAATAACAAAATACGATACAAATGTGTTATTTAGTTTTACATCCTTCGTCAATGAGCAATGGCAAAAATTTCCAAAGTATTTTGAGTTTTATATTTTTATGACAATTCATGATGAAAAAAGTTTCGATTCCTTGTTCCAACATGGGCTGTAAATTGTTCAAGTATGTTGCGAGAAAACATATGTCATGTTCCGTTTTTTTTTATTTAATTTTATACTATTCAGTCTACATTATTCATGTCCACTGAAAAATAAATAAGAACAGTTAAAAAACAATGTGAATGTTTTCATTTAAACTGAAAAGTTTTCAGGATGTAAGCACAAAGTTTGGAGAATCTGCTTTTTTTCTGGTTTCTAACTTTAGTGCCCTTACACCCATTTTCAAATCTGTGACCGTACAATAATCCATTCCAAGCTCTGTTAGAATCAGTATAGCAGTTACTGAGATTGCCCGGTGTCAAGGAAACCAGTACGAAAAGTGGGTTATCGTCAATGGGTGGAACGCTAAAGCACTATATTTTTCAAGCCTATTTTTCCGAAAATGCTATTTATCATATATCGTTTAGACAGTAAAAATAATATGGATTACCCTGTATAAACACAATTACTCTATGACATGCCAAACTAGGCATTACTATGTAGATATCAGTTAAAAGTAGGGAATCCAATCAGATGAACCAGCCACCAGTAACCATTCTTCTCTTCATTCGTATATCTTGGTAGCCTTCAGACAGTAAATCACAAACAAAAAACGCCTATTGTATAGCGGCATGTATGTCGGTGTATCTATCCAGCTGCGGGCTGTATGTAAAGCTGGAAATACACGATAATAATATGCATTGCAGCCTGGTTTACTAGCTACTATGGATATTCAGATTCATGATTCCACCACTGTATGATCTGTATGAATATTTTGGTGAACAAATCACAGTCAATTGTCCCTCTGTGTCTCCACCCACACTGCGCCGATACACGACGCGAATCCGTACCGAAAGTCTCCCAGCGTTTGAAAAGCTTCATTGCAGCCAGGGACTTTGATCTTTTACCTTTCGACCATCACCCATAATCTATGAAATGCTCAAGTTGGTGATTCCTTTATTACCAACGGCAGATTTGAGGGTGTAAGAAGCTGCGGCGGTTTTTAATATAATGATATATCATCTTTCCTATTTTTAAATCATCACAAGAGATGAAAATATGAAATGTAAAATTTCTCTAAAAACTCTTATTGTTATTGTAACCTGTTTATCGCATGTCCTTCCGATAAATATTGGCTTGTATGTTTAGCTTTTGCTTGGACTGATCCACCAGACAGCGGTAGCACTTTCAGGTGGTTAATCGAATGCTCAGATAACGGCCAAAGGAGGTGAAAGAAATAAACCGGCCATAAATTATACTAGAAATAAAGAGTGACGCTCTAAATACGGACAGGTCGCAGGTCGAAGTGTGTCTGCTCCCCTGATCACTCATGACTGGTCAGATCCCAAACAGAGATTGAGATTTGAATTTTTCTATGGTATGTCGAATATTTGGTATCCAATATACCAGTCAAAAAGGTAAGTTGCGCAAACAATAAATTATAATACACCAGTTCACAGTTAAAATAAGGTAGTGGTTCAATAAAAATGCATTTTCTTTCTTCTCCAATACGAGTGCTCTCTAAAACACTCAAACAACAACTGATTATCCATGCTAAACACACTAAACGTAAGGGTTAAATAGAAAAATCCGACTTTTTTTCTAGCTACTGTCAATTTCCTTGTGAGCCAAAAACACAAAACATAGCTTTTACGTTTGAGGTGCGGCGTCACCGACTGCATAAGCGTACCCGCTGGTTGTTCCACTTCCACATTCATAAGAAAAAAATGCATGGATTACTCTTAATACCTAAAATTTGAAAGATTATTTTGTATCTCAAATGCCTGGTAATATTTTATGACTAAACAGGATCGTGGCCGCCGCTGGATCTGTGCAGGCCCAAAGATATTAGAGAGAAGAATTGAAGTCTTTGAACTAGGCCCACAGACCCCACGCCTCTATTCCTATTCTGGTATGGGAACACTGGCGTATATCATGGGAATGCTGTGGGGCTCCCCTTCCTAAGTGCAACAGCTTACTACGCTTCTCCTACATATAACAGCTTGTTATACCTTCTGCGAAGTGAGTCCTGCCTGCTATTCAATATTCAATCTCCAAGACACCCGTCCCTCGCGAGACGGAATTTTTTCTGATCCTGGCTCCTGAGCCTCTCCCCAGATTTTTTTCTGGATAACACTACTGGTTGAGCAGTATCTCAATCTAGGGGAAACAATTACCATCGCAAAATCAGCCACAACAGTGGCACGCCTACAAATCACTTTTATTAGCACGTTTCAAAATTCCGTCATCGGACTCAACTAGGCAGTCCCAGATGAATAAAGTTAACAAATCATGACTGTTTGTATTAGCATTGGGAGTATTACTGGAACAACAAAAATTCTATATACTTGGATTTCTGCTTAAAGAGGCTGAACCTACTAGTTTGTCTACAAAGTAAGAAGCATGTAGACCAGAATTCAGTTTTGTATAGACACGGAAAGTGGTTAAACTAAATACTTCCCATATCTAATCAAATTAGTTGCAAGAAGGATATATAGCCCGCATTAATTTCGTAATCTAAATGTTTTTCATATTTACATTTTAGATTAGACTGTTCATTTTCCATATGTTCTGTAGCCTAGCACTTACGGCTTGTCTATTCAATACCAAACATCCGACCTACGATCTACCATATCAGAATTAGTCAAACAACCTGCTTCTCCCTGAATACTGAAATTTGAAAGGAATATTTTGCTTTTCAAAAGCCTGGAGCTATTTTACAAATAAAAATCTCATCTGCTTTGAAAATCACACCGTATTAATTAAGCCTGCACCTCATCAACAGCAATAGCCCCTGGAAACAACCCAACCAAGCCGCGCGCCCCTATGAGTGCGGTTCCTTTTATAATTTATTGCTTGGACATTACCTTTCAGTATCAATAATGCTTTTTAGACTGTCTTCGGCGCTAATACAACATTGCGATTCGGTATGTTTGGAGGCCAGAAAATAAAAGAGGTATGTGCAACGTGAATCGCTTATTTTTGTACATAGTATAAAAAATAATAAATATATATATATATATATATAAATAAAAATTCAAGTAGTATAATATAGTATACTTGGAGCAGATTTTCACAGTATTACTATTTACATTATTTTTGAGCTCTTAGAAACTATTTTCATTGAAAGCAACAGACAATCGCAACTTGACTCAGCATACAGAGTGAAATCCATATACCACTGATGTTGTAATGTGTTTGAGAAAGAGATAGACAGACTGCATTGCCTAGCAACCCAAGTGAAGAGGCCACTGAAGCAGCTGCGGCTTGCCGCGTCGCCATCGGCGCACTCTTTCTAACATACATATAGGGCGCTTCTCTCTCATGTACATTACCACGTCCTCCAAATTTCACCATATTATGTTCACACCATGGTTGAGGGCACTGTCATTACTAGTCAGTTTGGAGTTCCCCATCTCATGATGAAAGATGTCATATGCTGATGTTATTGTGACACATCGCAATATTTGATGGCCTAACCATGTCAATACAAGACTGCCAGTTGTTTTAGTTTGAATCTAAAAGCAAGTCATTTGACATTGAAATCTGGTTAAACTTGAGTTTCTGTCAGGTTTATTTTGATGAAAAAAGTGTCATGTTTATTCAGTCTGTCTAAGGTTTACATTCAGTCTCCTCACTTTTTTAACAACCCTTACAATAGCCTCATGTTCTGAAGATGACCATACTAACTAGACCCAATACATAACATAGCGCAAACTTAAAATAAACACTGATATGCAAATACTTTGGCATGCTAGAAATAGGAGGGGGCACTTCTTGCTGAGTTGGCAATAGGAGCATCACTATACACACTAGTCCTATCACTATTATGTAGTTTGTTGAGCGAGTAACAGGTACATTCCTAAAAAATAATTATAAAATCACAAGTTAATTTAAAATGAGCTACAAACTGTTCATTTTTCTCAAATAAATCATTGACTAGGTCCTAGATTTCCTTATGCTAAGGTACAAGCTTATCTCAACATCACCCTGACAGTTGCAAAATTGGAGTCAAGAAAAAACCCAACTCTCAAGCTCTCAACCATACTCTGTGAACCAACAAGTTGGGTCTTTCAGCATTTTTGATGAAGGTCAAGCTTTTATATTTTATCTGATAAATAAAATAAGATATAACAATATTTTAGAAAAGTGTAGCTTTATAATGTAGATAGAAAATAGTTGATTTGGAGCCACAATTTCCTGAGCATTTTTGACATCCATATGGATACTACAGGTTCAAAGAAAAGAGAAAAGCATTATTTATGAAAATTGTGCTATAAAAATGTTGACCCATCTATTACCTTCTCCACATTACTGATACACAATTCAAAATAATTGTATTATATATAGTATCAATTTAATTAATTTTATTACATAAGATTCACTCAACAGAATATTTTCCTTTTGTGGAATAACTCAGTCACAAACTGTAATTAACTTGAATAATTATACTTATTTCAAATATTACAAACCTGTTAGTTTGAAGAATCCTGTGTTCTTCTGAAGTTATGCTACCTCGGTCAGTAAATCCAACATTCTGGAAGTCACCATCATTTGATATATTATCTTTTTCGCCTTGCATTAAAATGGCTTCTATGTCCCTTTTACCAAGAAGCTATAAAAAATAAACAACTGCATCTCTAGAATTCTTGTATGTGTATTACATAAAAAAGAAATTATTACAAATTTTAATAAATGATGGCAAAATGATTGATCATTGGAAAAGCTGTAACAACTATATAGCGCAAATAAGTCCTATGACCATTATAAAAGCCATAATACACGATTCTTACTGAATATAAATATAATTTCAAGCAAAATAAAGCTATAATATTCAATAAAAAAATGTTTGTTTATGAGATAAAAATATGTGCCTAAAACAGAGATATTTAAATGAGTTATGTGAAGGTAAACAAAGCATACCAATGAGAATAGGTTAGAAATGTAAAATAAAAAATACTTATTACCTGCTTGGTAGTATGATCTTGCATGGATATCCTGAATTTATCTGTGATATTGCAATTTGCTGGTGTAGGAATGGTGTGCCTTATCACAATATCTACTAACATGCGGGGGCCAATGCTACCTTCAGGGTCTATAACTGCATACTTGTTTGGCGCTGTACACAGCACTGTAAAACAAAAACGTCTAGTAATTGCAGTCGTTATTAATATTTAACTCATTACCTTTAAATTTCACTGGAAAGTCGTAGGGATTATACAACGTTAAAAGCTGCTTGTGTGTAGTTTTGGAGCCCACATAAAATTTTAGAGAGTTTGGGAACACAAAAACTGGTATCTTTTTAATGCTCAGGCTCATTATGACGAATTTTTTTTGGAAATTATGAGCCCATGCGCTTAAATACTACCAGCTGGATAGCAAAATGTTATTGAACTTTTCACAAAATGACAGGACGTTAAAAATAATGTCATATTTGTTGCAAACAATTGCAAAATTAACATAGACAGTGCGTCTTTTCTTTGTCACTCTTCTACACACAAAACATATACACTTCTAACTTCTACAGTCTACGAGTCTAGAGCACTCTGCCTAGTGGTGTTGAAAAAGTAATTATACGGTACTCGAGTATTCGTTAGTCATAGATACCCGAAGTAACGAGTACCAATCCGAACACGAAATGATTACTTTGATTACTCTGTTTTCCGTATCCCTGTCCGGCACCCGTACATTCGGGTGAAAACCTGGAAACTAATTTTTTTTTTTTGATTAGCGGACATAGAATTAGGTAATTGTTTTTAAATCTGAAATTTACCTATTTACACCGTGACTCAAATTCGCTTTTATTGTTGTGATCTTGGGAACCTGAAAAGGAATAAGAAGTCGATTGGATTAAAGCAAAGTTCGGCAGTACTATGAGGTAGAAAAGCGACAACAAGGTAACGCCACCGTTCAGGAAAACCACAATAATAAAAATTATGTCAATTTGACTTGTGTTTACTTGTACTGTTCTGCTAAAAAAAAATATAATTCAGTATGACCACCAATAGTATGTGTAGACTAAGTTCCACGTACAATTTTTTATACTGGTATAGTGGTATATGCTTAATTGAAATGTTACTTGCCATTCCGAAATACCTTAAGCCCATATACAGATCATTTTTCTGACTAAAAGACATGTTTTTAAGCGTTTCTAGTAAATACAAAGTATTTTCAGTTTGTAGGCTCATATGACACTCTATCCTATAATAACCCATCTCGATTAGCATAAAGTTTGAAGATACAATGTTTGCATTAAGCACGACAGATTTGAATAAACTATGCTTATAACATTTTGCAAATTTTAAGGTTGTATATTTTCTTACAAGATTCGCTTCCATTGAACTTGCTGTAATTCGACATTAATTACACGACGCACGTTGCCAAATCGTTATACTCTTCTACTCATAGTAATCAAAGTAACGAATACAATAAATGATTACTTTGTAGAAGAGTAACGATTAGTAACGAGTTCTCGTAAGTAACGAGAATCAACACTTCTCTATCTCTACAGTTCTACCACAGCTTAGATAACAGCACATGACCACATGATAACAGTCAGCTATACAACTCTCCTGTCAGTGTCAAAACGATGAAAAAGGTTTTAGTGCTCAGTAGCAGCCGGTGCTGCCTCGTGTTTGCGAGCGACCGCAGATATTCTTTGCAATCTAAAAATGATAATATTTCGGTATGATATACCGGCTGCTGCTGAGCACTCAAAACTCTTTCATATTTGTACTAGGGAATTTACATTCGAGCATTCGACTTTCTCCGCCAAAATGGCGGCCGTTTTTGACACTGACAGGAGAGTTTCATAGCTGATTGTGATCTAATACGGGTCCCACACGATACTTCCAACGTTGTTTACATCCATCGACACCCTACAATTGGCAAGTGTGTCTCCTACACGATGGGATGAACTGTTACTCGGACGTCTATTATCGGTGTCAGTGTCGCGTTTGAACCTTTACAACTGAAGGACAAATTATACAAAATAAACCATGAAACAATTTTTTCGGGCACCCAAAAATAATTTCAGATCTGTCTTCAGCGACCAAAACTTAAGTCTGTCAGAAGCCTCAAAAATGCCGAAAACGCCACTGTACCGATTTTCAAAATCTGCTTTTCATAGTAGTAACCTAGGGTCAAAATCGTGATAGTACTTTCAGAGTTATCATTTATTTAATGTTTTTCGTTAGTTATGAAACGGAACTCAATATATTTCTTAATTAGTCTTGCAGTGCATCAGGACATTATAATGAAACTACTGTAAGCACTTGATAATTTATAATTTACTAAAATACATATCCTTAGGCCATCCATAACTCACATGCGGAACACAAAATATTAGCAAATATGAAAAAAGTGTTGTTATGTCAGCCTATGCTTTGTATGTTTACCAATTTAATCCTTTCTCCTCAAAAGTTAGTTACGGAAGATACATTATTATGAATAGGTAGGTATTCAAATCAATATACTTCCCACATACCACTACTTCACCACAATCACAGCAAACAAATAAATGTTTGTCGCCGCTACTGGTTCTAACCTAAGACCATCAAACACGTGACACCTCGTGTGTGAGCGTTGTTTGAATGAAGTGTGAACGCACCCTAACGTGTGTAATAGGCTTAAGATATTATATGTCATATAGAATGTAGAGTACATCACTTGTCACTTGTCCATCGACCGACGCGTGAAATGTATCAATAATCTACATGCATCCCTTGTTTTAATAAATAAAACACCAATATAAAACAAGCGTAATGAACCATGCTTCCAACGTTGTAACTTCCTTTAACGCGGGTCAAATTTGCCGACAAAAGCCCGAACGTGCCATGTGGCGAACGTTGGACACATACAATCCGTCAGCGCTCTCCCACACGATATGGCCATTGGCCATGTGTCCAACACTGTAATGCATTCGCTACATCGTGTGGGAGCGGTTAAAGCTGAGGTTCTACACCATTTCTACACTACTACCTACCAACTAAGATACTAGTACATAATTTTCTCATCTCTAGTATTAATTATTTATCCTCCACGGCCAAGGTGAACTATAATCAAATATTGACGATTTTGACGGTTGATGCCTCCGTGTTCCGTGTATTTTTTGTGGTTTATACCCAGTGGTGCCGGTTGCCGGATGCTGCGCTCCGCTCCACTGTTCGATTTTCGTCCGCCCGCGGGCCGGCGCGCATGAAGTCACGCTGAGAGTGATTATCATTTCGGTTGATATGGATAAAGTGCATATTTTTACCTACAGGCCAAACGGCTGGACGGATTTTCACATATGAAGGTCGTTGGATTCGTTTTAGCGGTGCGAGTGATACTAGATGCATTAAAATTTTATACAAACAAAATGGCGGACTTTACTAAAAGATTTCAACCTTGTAATTCCTATCTCATAGGCTATAGCTTAAACGAATTTCCAGCTCCACAATAGAGGGTGTATCGCCACTTTTTTGTAAAATCAAAATTTTTCTACATGACCTATATTTTAGTATGTTCTGTGGAGCAGGATTAACATGCTCATGACGTTAATACTGCACTAGATTTATTCATCCTTATTTCACAAAACATCCTAAGTACTAACTACATGCAAGTGTGAAAATGTACGCAACTCGAAAAGTAGAAAAATGGAGTTATCATCTTTTTGCAGTATGCTGGCAGTATAACAATAAATGGCAATGACTTAGTCTAAGCCACAATTTTTCTCCATTTCCTTTCACGATTTTTCTGGTCTTTCAAACTTTTACTCAGTTCTTTAATCCGGAAGAACATCCTTGACCTGAAAAATACTTTCTTAGCTTTTTCAGGGCAGTCAATGTTGCTGCTCTTCAACAGCAGTTCACCTATAAAATTTTGCTTTTCTGTCACTATTCCATCCCCATTGAATGTAGTAAACACCTTATTAAACTTCTCAATTTGATTCATGAAAGTTGTGGAAGATTTTGATAATCAACTCTAAGATAGTCTATCCAGGAGTAAGTTTCATTTGAGTAACTTTTCAACCTCTCATCCTGCAATTTATGGCAAACAAAGCCGGCCAAATTTTTCAGCCCATCATACTCGAGCTCATCTATTTCTTCCACTAAAGCTTCCTCTTATACTCAGCTGATACTTCAGGTACATTCAGTTAATGATGCAGTTCGTGGAATCTCCGGAGTATCCTCTTCCTCTACGCTGCAATACTCTGAGTATGCGCCTTTGTTTTGCCCCAAAATATATGACCTTAATCTATACTTAAACTCTAGGACAGACCTCTCCAACTCGAGCACTTGGTGCTGGTGCGCTCTAGTGGTGTTGAAAAAGTAATCATACGAAACTCGAGTACTCGTTACTCATAGATACCCGAAGTAACGAGTACCAATCCGAGCACGAAATGATTACTTTGATTACTCTGTTTTCCGTAACCCTACCCGGTACCTGTACAATCGTTGATCGTTGAGTGGTAAAGCTGGTTAGACTGTAGCACTACCGCTCATGCACCAGGGTTGCCAGACATCCCACATTCAGATGGAAACCTGGAAACTCATTTTTTTTATTGGCGGACATAGAATTTGGTAATTGTTTTTAAATCTGAAGTTTGCCTATTTACACCGTGACACAAATTCGCTTTTATTGTTGTGATCTTGGGAACCTGAAAAGGAATAAGTAGTCTATTGGATTGGATCAAAGTTCGGAAGTATTATGAGGCAGAAAAGCGAGAACAAGGTAACACCACCGTTCAGGAAAACCACAATAATAAAAGTTATGTCAATTTGACTCGTGTTTCCATGCACTGTTTTGATAAAAAAAATATAATTCAGTATGACCACCAATAGGATGTGTAGACCAAGCTCAACGTAGAATTTTTTATACTGGTATATTATGCTTAATTGAAATGCTTCTAAAAGTCACATGCCATTCCGAATTTCCTTAAGCCCATATACAGATCATCTTTCTGACTAAAAGACATGTTTTTAAGTATTTCTAGTAAATAAAACGTATTTTTACTTTTAGTTATGAGTCATATGACACTCCATCCTATGATAACTCATCTCGATAAGCATACAGTTTGAAGACACAATGTTTGCATTAAACACGATAGTCTTGAATAAACTATGCTTATAACATTTTGCAAATTTTAAGGTCTTCTATTTTCTTACAAGATTCGGTTCCATTCAACTTGTTTAAATTCGACATTAATCACACGACGCACATTGCCAAATCGTTATACTCATACTACTCATAGTAATCAAAGTAACGAATATAATAAACGATTACTTTGTAGAAGAGTAACGATTAGTAACGAGTACTCGAAAGTAACGATAACCAACACCACTAGTGCGCTCCGGTGCTGAACCCAGCGGCACCGGTGCCGTTCCCCCTCCACCTCGACCGCACAGCCGTCACGACAGAGAGAAACATAATTAGCCGACTGTCTCTCGGGCGCGGGCCATTTCTTAATAGGACAAGACAAAGGGGATTGGTTTTTTAGCGTCTTAACCTGCATCTTTTTTTAAACGATGTCATTCAATCCTGCATGGAAGAAGCCTATTTTTTGTAAATACTGATGGAAAAGTAAAGCCGCGTATACATTTGAGCACAATGCGAACGGAACGAGCATTCTGATGTGGACTGGAATCCGAAGCGAACCGAACGTGCACGCTTTGTTCGGCGAATACGCTCAGACCGATCCGCGCGCCGTCGGTCCATCAAAGAAATTTCGTGCTCAATGTGGACGGTGTTTAGGCGGTAGTACATTTAAGTACATGCTGGAAACATTTTTGCTTGAAAATAAGAGTGTTAGAAATGGAATGGACACAGGAGAAGTGTTTAGAAATTATAAGTTATTACCAAAAACGGGAAATATTGTGGAATCCCCGCCATCCACAAAATTATAATAATATTAAAAAGGAAGATGCATGGCGCGAAATAGCTAACGAAAGTAATGTCAACATAAATGAATTAAAGAAGTTTGAAAGCCTGAAGGGATCATATCGACGGGAGAAGGCAAAAGAAAAAAAAAGTATGGCCACGGGTAAAGGTAAGATAAGATATACTTAGTTAATGATGTAAATATACTGACTGCTGAAAAAAAAATTTTAGGACGAGACGATATTTATCCTTCAAAATGGTTTGCTTACGAAAGTATGAGGTTTCTACATGACAGGGATCAAGCAAGGAAAACCAGAAGCGTAAGTGTTTACAGAGTGTTTTATTAAGAGTACGAATGTTATTAAATCGAAGATTAAATTTATGCGTAATGATTTTGCCAAGGGACTGCGCCCGTTGGATTAAAATATTGACAAAATTCTTCTCTAATTTCGTTGGCCGAAAGCGGTGCTCGACGTGGTGTGTTTGTAAGAGACATGAGTGAAGACGATGGCAGGTCACTGCGCCAACTTCCTGGCACAATATGTCCATTAACTTCCTCATCTAGACTACCTGGAGGGGTGTATACATTTCTAGAAGTTCTACTTTTACGTAGAAAATTATGCAAACACTCTATTGCCATGACTATCAATTGTGCCTTTTCTGGTTCTAAAAGCATCGGTTTTCGTAAAACTCGAAATACACTAGAGGCTATTCCAAACGCGTTCTCAACGACGCGGCGAGCTCTGCTCAAACGGTAGTTAAAAATTCGCTTCATAGATCCTCTTTCGTGATTCCCAGAATAAGGTTTTATTAAATAATCACATAGAGGAAAAGCTGCGTCTCCTATCAATACATACGATGCCTGTTTTGTGCGACCAGGTAATGGTGAATTTTGAGAAAAATTTAAAGTTCCATTGGCATTTTTTTGATAAAGATCACATCGTTTAAACACACCGCCATCAGAAATTCGCCCTTGGCAACCTATGTCCACAAATGTGAAATTGTAGTCCGCGTCCACCACAGCCATCAAAAAAATCACTTCCACTTTTCATCGGGGCTTGCAAAAGTACATGTTTTCCATCAATTGCCCCTACACAATGTGGGAAGTTCCAAACTTCTTCAAATCGTTTTGATATTTCTTTCCATTCCTCTGTAGACGACGGTACCTATAAAAAAAATAAAATAAAGCTCGCAAGAGTAATATACAAATATTTTTGTAGAATTCACAAATGGCCGATGATGACGTTAAGGGAAATAATGAAGACGACACCGATAGCTTACACTACGACAGCAGTAACGAAGGTGCAGAAAATGCGATTATTCATTTGGACAGTTCTCATGAAGAAATTCATTCGGATAGACACACGTCACCAATTGCAGAAGTTAAGAAGAAAGTATTTGTATCTCCAAAAAAATCTGCCCCAAAACGAAAAGCCGGGGAAGATCCGCGTATAAATGCTGCATATCAATATTTAAAGAAAGCTGCTGAAAGGCCTCAAGAAAGTAAAGATGAATGTGCATCATATGGTGAATATGTGGCACATAAACTGAGAAAACTAGATGACCGCCACCGAGCTATTGCACAACATAAGATTAATAATAATTTGTTTGAAGTAGAAATGATGCAGTTGTCAGCCCACGCACAGACCTCTCAGCATACCCAAGTTTTCCCATCCATGTCCTCAACCCAAGTTTTCGAACCACCAATTACACAGACTCATATAGCACGCTCTCCTTCATTTGAAACGTATAACATGCCAAGATACCAATGTACAGCGCAAGCTCCCGCATTTATTCAAAGTCAGAACCTGACAAATTTGGACATAGAAATCCCCACACAATCGTCTACTCCTGCAAGTACCCAGTCTTCAATAGGCAGTACATCGTCGAATCTTTCTAATTTTGTAGAAAATTTCAGCCCCGATTACGACGATTAATTGTTCCAGATAAATATTAGAATTGTACTTTTGTGGTTTAGTAAAACAATAAATAAATAATAATGTAGATTTTGCTTTGAAATATATTTATTTACATACCTGAACAAGATCCCCAAGACAGTGTATAATGGCTTCACACACCTCTGGAATTATACGGGATATTGCTTGTTTTGAAATCTTAAATAAATACTGGAGACTCACATAGGAATCTCCAGTAGCAAGAAAGCGAAGAGTCACTGCAAGTCTTTCATCGCATGGTATTGCTTTTCTAAATTTGGTGTCACTTTTGGATATTCTCTCTCTTATGTGGTTTAAAATAAAATTGAAGTCTTCCATAGACATTCTTGTAAAATTTTTAAATCGGCATTGGAATTCTTCCGACAGTAAATCTTGCAATAAAAAACTGCTATTGACGTCTGGTTCTCTGCTCCTCATTAAAAACAATGGCGATGTCCAACTGCGCCTCTTTTTCTTCTTGCTTTTCTTTAATAAATTATATAAAACTATGAAACTCGCACTGACTAGTTGCATGTCTGCCATTTTAAAACGGGTAGATCCGAATAACTGGAGCGGTTGCGAACAGGATGTTCATTCGTGCTCGTACCGATTTCAATTCTGATCCCGAACAGAGGATAAGCTCGTTCGGGTTGTGCTCATTCATATTCGTGCTCAAATGTATACGCGGCTTAATATGTTTAATTTGTCACACGGTATTGAGGCCAGCCCTTCTGTTCTGGGTTCTGAAGAGGTAATTATTAATTTGGTCGTAGTTATTATTAATGGTGTCGTAATGCAAGTTATATTGTTGCTTTGAAAATCGCAAAAAGTGGGAGACTGTTTACTGACGGTGCACTTGTCAAAGAATGCTTAGTGGAGTGTGCAGAAATATTGTGCCCATTTCCTGTAAGCAACTTTGAGACAATTAGTATGTCCGAGCAATTTCTCGTCTGATACTTGAACTTGGTGCAGATTTAAAAGAACAACTGCAGGAAAATGTGCCCATTTTGTTCAGTATTCTATAGCTCTCGATGAAAGTAAAGACATTTCTGACACAGCAGAGGTTAGAGGTGTCGAAATAGTCTTTACTATCACCGACGAACTACTAGACGTTATCCCGCTGAAACATACAATGGCTGGAGAAGATATTTTTGATGCTGTAGAATAATACACAATGAATGACATGGGTATACTACTCAAAAGTTTGCGTAGTGTTGTTACTGATGGAGCGCCAGCAATGTTGTCGGAAGCACAAGGTTTTACTGGGCGAATGAAAATAAAAGTACGCGACGCTGGGCTACCTCCGATATCATCGGTACACTGCATATTACATCAGGACCAACTATGTGCAAAAACCTTCCGTAATTTCAAATCTGTTATGGATGTAGTAATAACATGTGTCAATTTCTGCAGAAAGCAAGGTCTCAACCACGGCAGTTTGAAGTATTTTTCAAAGACCTGGAAGCAAAGTTACGGTGATATACCCTTTTACTGTGTTACGCGCTGGTTAAGCTGCGCAAAAATGCTAACGATTTTTTTTTAAATCATTGACGACTTGAGATGTTTATGCAAATGAGATTTTCACGCCATCTTCAGTGCTTTTCGAAACATAATCGGCGCAGTTCCAAATGTAGCTGATTAAGCGATACGATCCTTAAGGATAGATACTACCACTACAATAGTAATTTAATTTCGTTTTATCAAGGTGTTAAGCAGCAAGATTTTCCCAAAATTCTTGCACTGGCCTTGGAAGCTTGCTCCATGTTCGGTAGAACGTACTTCTCCGAGCAGATCTTTTCTTTAATGAATTTGAACAAAACTAAAAACAGGTCCTTTGTCTGATGTGTCCTTAGAGGCGATACTCAGAATTTCCACTGCTCAAGCCACTGTACCAAATATTAGAAAACTTGTTGAATCGAAACGCTGTCAAAGATCATCTTAAGAATAAATGTGTTTACGTCTAAATTATGAACATTATTCCGACCAATTCAAATGTCAATACAAATGTCACTCCACTCATTTTCCGTTGGGACTGGGAGCCGGCAAAATTAAACCTTATCGCGGACTCGACTAAACTTAGGCCCGTATCGTCAGTCGCCCCTACAATTGTAGGGCGCCTTTATGGCCTCCTTGATTGTCATAGTTTTCTACTTCTCCCTGTGAGCACTCTATTTGCATCAAATTGTGCTTGCTTTTGAGTTATATCATGTTTTATCAGCCTGAAATTTCCTACAATTTAAAAAGAAAAGATATCTTCACAATAGGAGAGCGCTGACGCTGACACGGGACAAGTGTAATCTAGAAATTTTTGAAGGAAAGAAAGGAGTATGACAATCAAGGAGACCATAAACGCGCCCTACAATTGTAGGGACGACTGACGATATGGGCCTTAGTAATAATATGTAGTTTTTAAGTAAATGAACAAAAAGGGCTTGGTATGCCGATGAAAGTACCTGTCATATCGACTTGAAGATACAACGTGACGGTAGGATTTTACCATAACCTATTCGTATATAAACGGTCAAGACGTTTCATATCCATTTTACATATACTTTCAGTAGCCTGGTGCCAAACTGACAGACTCAAATGAGCTTTTAAATGCAAGCATGAAGCATACAAACAGGGTGTATTATTTGTATCTATTTGCATTGCCTGCTATAGCTTTCAGTCGGGATGACAGAAACTTCTGGCGGAAATCAGTTTGTCATACCATGTTTTTCAAAAAGAGCCTAAGATTTCCATCAAACCTTGTAGGCTTCATTGGATTCGGTGATGACGGTGAAATTCTCTTGTCACGCTGTATCTTTAAGTCGGTATGACAGGTACTTCTGGCAGGATGCGCCCCGCCTTACTGAGCTCTTCTTGTTCATTTACTTAAAAACTACATATTATTACTAAATTTAGTCGAATCCGCGATGAAGGTATACCCAATGCCACCAGGTCCCGGGTCATTTCTATTCGCAGGGTGCTACGGTTAGCACAACACCTTCCTCGCGATGCGTATGCCGCTGCCTAATCGCTCCCCCACCTTCACGGAGTCACTCCGCAGCACAGTGCTGCGAGCGGTGCTCGGCGCTGCACTGCTAGCACTTGAGGAGTTGGAGAGGCCTGCTCTAGGGGATAAGTTGAGCTCTTTACCTTTTTTCGTAAGCACTTTTCCCCATCAACAGATGCAGATGGTCCAGGTGATGATAGAGACTTGGGTAAATTTTCCATAGGAATCCCATCATCTTTTAGAGCACGATATCTTTTAGGGGTGTAACCCAAAAGGGTTATGTTTCAATTTGACCTTATAGGTACTTTCACAAAAATGCTTCGAGCAAACCCCAGCGCTTTTTACATTGACTTAGATTTTTCTTTTTGTATGATGTAGCCATTTTTTGCTAAGGTTTGGGTCTTGAGGAAAACTGTGGAATTTCGTTTAGATTGGCTGTCGGAATTACATCCCACAACAGCACACCGCATTTTTATCAATTTACTAACCTCACAGGGTATATAAAGTATGTATATGACTAATACAACAAGTCACAAAATCACCAATAAACCGCACTATATAGTTTTAACCGTGATACACGTGCACTGCAGTAACGTTACGACAATCCTGCCGCTGGTAACCACGAGTCGACAACTCTCTGGGTGACGTCACGAAGCTCCGCCAACATGCGCAACATCCTATCTTCAGTGTATGTGTATCGTGGTTGACACCATCGACCACATCGTTTATCACCATATCACCATCGACTATTTATCACGTTGTTTCTGATAAAAAAGCCCTAGGCATAGTGAATGTTTTGCACGTTAAGCTTAATCACAGTTAACTGTAATTAACATGCATAAACAATTGGAAAGAAGTGTGTGCAATTAGAAGTGCAAAAGTAAATATTACAGTTGCAAGAAAAGTTTTTTGGTTTCCCAGTAGTCCATTTACATAGGTTTAGATAATATTTACTCGATTCTGTTGAAATTTGGCAATATTATTTGTTGTATTAAGAACCTAATTTAGGCCTAAACAGATTAAAATTATTAGGACCAGTGGCGTCCCGGGGACATCTTAGCGACCGTTAGTGACAAAAAAATGTACGCCTCTGCCAGTTTTGTAACTTTATTATGTTTTTATTAAGCATCTAAAAAATACAACTTCTTTGCCTCTTGTATTTTTTCGTATCTCACTTCGTTTCCGAGAAAAAAAATCCGTTATATTGCATGGGTCACTGGACAAAAGACATTAATAAAAAAATTAAATTCATCACCCTGTATCTTGAAAACTCTGCATTTCCAGACCCATATTTATATAAACTATTTTTTTATATTTTTTAAGAGGGAATCTCCCTCTAAAATATCTGTGTCTATTTTTCGAAAACCCTGTATAAATACAGTTTTATATGTATACTAAACAGTGTTTTTCCTATTTCCATTATGTTTACCTACTAGTCTAAGTTTTATTGTCATAATACTACTATATAGTATATGTATATTTTAGGCATGGACGCCCAGCAAAATCAGAGATACACAGTTTAGACTTATACTAAGTGACTTATAAATCCGAACACCCAGTTTAAATGGTTTTATTTTAATAAAATTTTGTATAAGTACTTAATGAAGCATAATAAGTAAATAATAAAAATTTCAAAATGATTGCACTGCTTTAAAGCCCTTTGACCTTTAATAATGTGTGGATGCACCCTGATGTGCTACGCATTCTCCAACGCATGCTTCTGATCAGGTGGTCAATGTCCTCCTGTGGTATCTCATTCCAGGCAACCACCAACTCCTCTCGAAGTGCTTCTAGAGTCTGAGGAGGACGTTGCAAATTGAGCAATCTCCTACCCATCATATCCCACACGTGCTCAATTGGGGATAAGTCGGGAGATCTTGGTGGCCATGGTAACAATGTGACATCATTATGTTGAAAGAAGTCTATTGTGACTCTTGCAACATGTAGTCGGGCATTATCTTGTTGGAAAGTTGGATCTGCCAGGGTGTCAAGATAGGGTAAAAGATGGGGTTCTAGAACTTCGTGGATATAACGCTGCGCGTTCATGTTACCTCTGATGAAGATTAAAGGTGACCTGGAACCATAACCTATAGCACCCCAAACCATAACTCCAACAGTGTGATGAACATGTTTTTCAACAAAAAACTGTGGATTCCTCCTTTCACCACGTCGCCTTCTAACCCTGGCACGACCATCGTGCATGCCTAAACAAAATCGAGACTCGTCACTAAAGACAATACTGTTCCATTCCTGATCCCAGAGTGACCGTTGTCTGCACCACTCAAGGCGATTACGTCGGTGTTCTCGAGTTAAAGGGAGGACCCAGTGTGGCCGGTATGAAAACAAGCCAAAACTTCTCATTCGTCGGTAAACACTTCGCATGCCAATAGGTCTTCCGTGTTCTGCAAACCATTCATCTGCAATGGACCTGGTAGTGGAGAAACGGTCCCTTAAGGCCAATAATCTTAGGCAGCGATCTTCACGGTCTGTTGTTCTACGGCGGCGTCCAGTGCCCCTTGCTCTTTGCGTACGGCCTCCTCGAAGCCATGCCTGACAACACCTAACCACAGTGTCTACACTTCTTAGCACTCTAACTGCAATTGTCCGAAAAGAAAGTTCAGCTTCCCGAAGTCGCACTATACGGCCCCTATCAAACTCACGAAGTTGACGAAATCGTACAGGTCTCCGTACTCTAGGCATCGTAAAGGATGTCAAGAACCAAAATCCGCCAACGTTGATTCTTTACTGCGGCTGAAATATTCATTTTTAGAGCGTTAGTGAATTAAAAAAAGCAGTATAAAAACCGGAATGTGCAACTGATAAGGCTGAAAATTTTTTCACTTGTTATCTACAGTAAGATAAATACATTCACCAACTTTTATTAAAATAAAACCATTTAAACTGGGTGTTCGGATTTATATGTCACTTAGTATACATTCCACAAGGGCGGACTTAGGAATCTGCCTACAGGAAGGCAGCGTTGATGTTCTTTTTCGCAAGGGGGGTTCGTTATTGCTGATTAAGAACGGAGGTGGCGGATGCATGCTTAAGCATCGTTTCTGAGAGCAATATATACGGTTTTCTAAAAAAAAATGGACTGGCGTCTAGGAGGCAGGGTGGTGGTCGCGAGCGCTCTGCCCATATAAATCCGCCCTTGACAGGCCCAGTCAACCACTTGAGTTGAGAGAAAAAATTATTTCTAGGAAGGGCTGTTTTGAGGAGTAAAACACTCACCATTCATCCAAGAAACGGGTACTCTATTAAGAATATTTTACTCCAGCATATGCCCCCTCTCCTCCTGATGGTCGCCCATGCTTAGAGATGATTAAAAATTGTCCTCATTTTCGTTTTTTGCCATGTAGGTAACACGTAATTTTCGTGCGGATATAAAATAATATTACGAACTGCTTTCAACTGACTGATAAATGAAACCAACTTTACTGGCTACTACATTTCAAGAGTTACTTTACAAATTTATATTACACTATATACACTTTTGTTCGTGGAGTAGAGTGGTGAATCACCTAATACTACTTGCCGCCAAATAAAACGACAGAAGTGGGTTTAAAGATTTTCTAACGTTTCAGCCACCTTGGGGGCCTTTTTTGAAATAAAAATAAAAAATATGAAAAAATGATAAAAGACGAAATGCAGTCATTTCAAGTATTCTTTATTGTAGAAATTGTACAATTTGTAAAACCAATGCATTAATATATGCCAACAATGATCTAATCCGAGTCACTTTTTGATTTACTGCCTGAACGCGATCCGCTTTTTCCTCTAGAACCACTTCTAGATCTTGAATCGCTCTTCGACCTAGATTTGCTTTTAGCCCTAGATCCACTTCTAGATCTAGATTTGCTCTTTTCTCTTGATTCGCTCCTAGATCTAGAACCGCTCTTAGCCCTGGAGCCGCTACGAGATCTAGAACCGCTTTTTGCTCTAGAACCGCTCCGAGATCTTGATCCGCTTTTAGCCCTAGACCCGCTGCGAGACCTTGACCCGCTTTTAGCTCTAGAGCCACTTCGAGATCTAGATCCACTTTTAGCCCTAGATCCGCTTCGGGATCTAGATCCGTGTTTACCTCTGGAGCCGCTTCTAGATCTAGATCCGCTTTTGGAACGGCTCTTGGATTTAGACCTAGAACGGCTTCTAGACTTTGATCTGGATCTGCTTTTGGAACGTGAACCACTCCTGGATCTAGAGCCAGAACCGCTTCTAGACCTTGACCTGGAGCTTTTTGAACCACTTCTCGACCTGGAAAAAAATAAATTTTGAACATAAAGAATTGACAAATTTATTCAGAATATAAAATGAAATGGTTATGGTAAACATAGGGTAAAATATTTCTTTTTTTAATACATAAACTAATCATATTAGACGAAAATTACCCTGGTTTGAGAAATAATTGTGAAGACTGGTTTTTTTGATACAAGTTGTTCAACGGAATATTTTTATTTAAAACATGGATGCAAAAATGGGTACACCAGTTTTTGTGGAAAACTTTCTATTCGACAACAAAGCATGAGCAAACGTGTTTTTTTGGATTCAATCAAAAGTGTTGGCAGTAATGAAAAAACTCTTCAAATAAGATTTTTAGGTATTTACGAGACCTTCAAAACGAGACCACACGTAAAAAGATCAGACTAATAACAAAAAAGTTATGGCCGAAAACCGAGGCAAAATGGAGGTTTTAGCACTTTTTGGTAAAATGCGAGGATAGTTTCACAAATTGGAGTAGATTGGTCAAGTAGTTTTTGAGAATTTCTAATTGTTTAGCCCAAACACCTGTTTTCGGGGCACCACTACTAGTTTATTGAGCAATATTCAGGGTTCGTTCAAAGGGCATTTTATAGCAGAATACACTAGTTTACCTTGCCGATATGAATGACAAACCAAACCGAAAAGTAAATGTTATTTTTATGCGAAAAAAAGGGTTACGTTACATTTCATATTTGTGACTTATTGATTAGATGCGCTACGAGATTCGAAAAACATACGCTATTATACACATTTTAAAACAAAGCGGATGTGTCTATCACTATTTGTTGTGAAGAATAATTTTTTTCAAGATTTGTTCATACTCTTATACATATTCAGAGCGGAATTTTTTACACGGTCACAAGTGAACCTTATAGTTTATGAAAAAATTATTTAATACTGAAATGCACTGAACTGTTTATAAAGTTAGCACGCAAACTGGAGACACGACTATGTTTCAAACCGTCTTAGCCTTGTTAGTATGTAGCATGTGTAGCTACATTATTCATGACTTTGTTAGATAAGAAGGTCACGAAATTCAGTTTCTTTATGAAGAAATATAATTCCCTGTACCTTTTTTCTAGAAGTATTAATATAGTACACGTTTGTTTTCAAAATTTCGTAAGATTAAAACGACTGTGAGTTCAAAATGTTGGAAAATAAACTCGAGAAAATTAAAACACACAAAACAACAACAAAAAATATTGTTACTTGAGATGGAAGGTTGCTCAATAAAGAGATACTTACCTGTTGGATTCAGATCCTGAAGAAATCTTCCTCTTTCTTCCTCTAGGAGCATTGTCACTTTCATCTCCACTAGCTATTCTATGCTTGTCATCATCGCTATCATCTGAAGATGATATGGTGGCTTTTGACACAATTCTGCTCTTCTGTTTTGCACTGAGACCTTCTTCCTTCTTTGGCTTCTTTGGCTCCTTCTCTTTCCTGTAGACAATTACTTTTGCTGAAGAAGTTTTCAAAATATGAACGTGTTAAATCGCTTCAAAGTTCAATTGTCTGTCTATAAAAATGTTTGGGGGCAATTAGATATTGTATGAGAGGCAAAGTTAGGTCGTCTGCGATATCAAATGCGGCTCTGCTTCTAGCAGAAGATTAGGTAAAAAGATACGACGTGCGCCAGGCTCCAACCAAGACGTCGCGCGCCGAGTATGCAAGAAACAAAAATGGCACATTACTTATTATAGTAATAAAAAGCTTGTTGTTAGTTCGATATCTTAAGATACTGCCGATGCTTCGTAAGTGTATTCAGATCGTTTACATCCAGAGCTGCGAAGGTTTGTTAATCTCGTACAAAGGCCGCCTGCAGGAACGTCGTGATAGGTACAAGAGAATACTCAGCCAGTCCCAAATGTCACATATTGATAATTCTTATCAACTTTTTTTGTTACTTTTTCTGCTGTTTCATCAGTTTTGTTATTTCAAGCATAGTTGTTCCTTAGAAAGACAGTCAAAACCGCTTATGCATGTGCGGCTTGGTGTTTTCTTGCCAAGACACACATGCAAAGTCTTCAAGTACTGCAAAGCAGAACTTTTCGAACAACTTGCAACGCTCCATCGTATATCTCAAATGAGACACTACACAGAGACCATGACATTGCTTGCTTGAGGAAATATGTCAAGCTTCAGGCGCAGCGACGTTATAGTTAAGCGGAATCGCATAGCAACCCTCTGTTGCATGACTCAGTGGACTATACAGTGGAGCAAGTTCGTAAGTATTCAAGGCCATGGCTGTGATAAAAAAATAGCGCGAGCTTTCTATCTCAAAATTAATCAGTGTACCAAGTCAAGAAGCCTAGGTGTATCAATCCTCTTAGGCTAACACTTCTGTTTTTCTTTGCTTTTCTCCTTTTTTTCCTATCTTTTCCTTTCTCTTTTTCATTGACACGGTTTCTGGGCAACCGGGACTGCCAGATTCGACCACCCTACATTAGAAATGGGCAAAGGTCCTACGGACCGCCCAGACAAACAAATAACGAATAGTAACAGTCAAAACTACCGTACTGCATAGACATAGACAATGGAATTCCGAAATATAACGAATGAAAAGTTCAGAGAGTTTTGGCGGATTAAGAAATACCTTTTCCTCTTCCTCTTTGGTTTATCACTGCCGTCAGAATCAGAACCAATCTGTTTTTCTTTGCGCTTTCTACCACCACCTTTTTCTCTCTTTCTGCCATCTCCTCTTTGCTTCTTACGGCCTCGTTCTTTCTTCTCCTTTCGTGGAGCTTCACCACCCTCAACATTTTCCTGAAAAAAAAAATGATTTTCAGATTCACGGTCTTATTATATTTATAGCGTACAAATCCGTCAAAGCGACATGCGTTTATGTTTTGCACATCTTAGCCGGGTTGTTTCTGGAAATATTTGTTTCGTGTACTATTTTTTTCCTGTGGTTTGCAAGTAAACATGGTCTCTTGTGCTGTGGGCGATCCGCTGCGGATACTAAGAAATCGTCAGACTTAACGTGTGACAGGCCAGTGTATCGTAAAGTTGCAGAACTGAAGTTTTCCGATTGTTGAATTTCTACTGATGCATACAGATTCCTTAGTTCCAGGCCAGTGGAGCCGGCAGGGTTATTACCTAAAAAAACCCTATAATGTCAAAAATCGGCTAAATGTCAACCTGCTGACTATATAGTTCCTAGCGTGCAAATAGTTTATTCCGCTACACGCTCAATGACCAGCTGCGAGGCAGTTCCCCAGCATGATTTGCTGGTTGCAGAATGCCGAGATAGTGTATAGAGTATATATCTGAAAAGACATGATTGAAATTGGTTGAGTAGCAAAATCGCAACTGGATGATTCCTTGGTGATTGAGCGTATTGGTCTACATGAGTATAAAATCAGTGATATTAGATATGTGATAAACTTGTTACTGAATGTGCTGCTCATGAAATATGTATATCTATTAGCTGTACCAGACGGGTTATTTGTGTTGTCCTTTCGGAAGAGAGGTTATGTTCAAAGTTATGAATTACGATTTTCCAGGATTTTTTTGCGTTTTTAAAAACTTTCAGAAGCATTACAGGAAATCACCACCGCGCCCGCTTTGAATATAATATAAATTAGATCATTTATGAAGAGCCGATATACAATTAGTTTCAAAATAAAATAGGAGGCCTTGATACCAAATCTTGGGAGATTGTTTGGCAAAGTTATGTGTTATACGGTTGTTTCGTTACTACTACATTTTTTTTTGTAAAAGTGAAGTCAAAAGTTTCTTTTTTTCATTTTTGAGTGTTGTGAAATGGAATTTAGCAATGATGAGTACACCGATATTACTTCTGTGTACGGGTTATGCGATGGTAATGCTTTAGCGGGTTTTCGGGAGTATCAACGTAGATTTCCTAACAGACGCCAACCTACCCCAAAGGTTTTTACGCGTTAATTTCTAAGACCAAACCTCCCGGAGTTAGAGGTCATGGTGTCCGTCATACTGTTCAAGAGGAACTGGAAGTCATAAATTTGGCGTTGGATGATCCTAGTACAAGTACTAGGCGGATTGCAGCCCAGTTACCATGTTCCCAAAGTCTCGCATGGAGAATTTTAAGTCGGGAAGTTTTACATTCTTACCATCGGCAAAATGTGCAATGGCTGCAACCCGGCGATGAAGTGCAACACTGTGTTAAAATTTTAAACGTTCCATTTGCATTTGTATATTCAGATTTTGTTACTTACGTTATGTTTTTGTTATATACATAAATATATGTATGTATTTGTATTTTTGTATAACATTTTTGTATGAAAATTTCTTTGGAAATCGAAATTTTATTTTTTAAAGTATCGCTAGGTCATTAAAGAATGTAATAAAAAATACAAAGACGTATAGTCATTCCTAACGGGAAGCGGATAGATCAGCGCGACGTAAAATGTTGATTTGGAACGGGAAGTGGATAAATCAGCAAGCGGCGTTTTCCCCGTAAGGACAGACAGATTTCGTAACAAGTCCTCGGTTGAGAAAGGGTTAAATTTCCGATTACCTCATAGATCTCGCAGTATCTATTCTAGAGGTTATACAACTGAAACCAAAACGATATAAGCAAAAACCAAATGCAATTTTGAATACCGCATAATATCCCTATAATGATCATGGATCAATTACCCACTAAAAATATTTTGTTTTTTTGGGTTTTGTTCAGGTATTTCGGGCTTCGGCTCCACCGTGCGCGCTTTGACTCGGTTTTGTAGATCCAAAAGAGATTCGTCTCTCTAGATAATAAGTCGATGATTAAAAATCGTCAAATGTGTCAACAGGAAGCATCATTTGTCGTTAACAGGTATATAACCAAAATCGCTTCTACCACTATATCTTGCCGCAAGGGACAATCATACACATAGGCACGCAAATATTTGCAAAGTTGAACTTATAACTAGCGATGCACCAAGTACTAATTTTTCCAAACAGCCGAGTCCCGAGTACTCGGCGAGATTGAGTTATTTGCGGTGGATTATTTAAGCTACTGCTCCTAGTGGTATTTAAAGTATATTTGCATTTTTGAAAGGTATCTTTATCCCTACATTTTAATGACTTTTCAAAAAATTAAAGAAACAAAACAGTTGTGCAACTTAGACGATGTTTTGTGTGTAAAGTGATGTGTAGGTAGTGTATGTCACAAGTTTTGTTCTTAAAATATTATGAGAGTGGCTTATATTTCTCACTGTGAAATTAAGCAGCTACAATATTGAGATAATATTGGAACCATATTTTGAAGTTATTTTTTTGGAACATTTGATGTTTTGATATTTTTTTAAATCTCTCTCATTTCGAGAGAAGCATATTTGTAAAGATTCAAAATTCACAGTTTATTGAGAGGTAGGCAAGGTGAAACCCCTTGCCTCTCAATTTTCGGAATATTACCTGATAGAACAGTTGCCATGTCATGCTAATCACGAAATGAATTTAAATTCTATAGGTTTCCAGGGATGAGGTTACAAACAAACAAAACTGCTTGATGACGCTAAATTATCCTTACGTATGAGCTAAGGTTTTCTTCGTTGTTCACGTTACTTTCATATTTCTGCTGCATTTGTTTACTTTGTTCTTTGGTTTTGGTGTTTTTTGCGTATTCATGAGAAATATAAAAAAGCAAATTATAATGCAGGAAAATACTGTAATGTGGTTTCACAACGCATCTGCAATTCTATGAACTAACAAGCCCTAGGTCTTGCGTTCCGACCAAATAATTAGCCGACCGAGTAATTCGTTACTCAGCGAAACCGAACGCTTGATGAAATGGTCCGGGTACACAGTGTACCGCGTACATGCCGAGAACTTGGTGCACCTTTACTTCATCAAAACTGTTATTTTTTTTTATCTAACCTGATCACTGTCAGATCCCGACAGAATATCTCCAGTTCTACCTCTACCTCTTCCACCTTTGTTTTTCTTCTCGGATGGCATATCGTTGAAAATAAGCGCATTCTTTGTTTTTTCCTTGTACTCTTGTCGTTTCTGTAACATTTGCTCCTTGGACAGTCTTTGTTCCTCCTCCATTCTACAAAAGAAACATACGTTAGATTATAGATATATTTAGTATGAAACTATTTCAACGTTACCCTAAGCCCTATTTGAGACTGCTAAAATTCTCTCTCAATTTACAACAAAACTGAAATGTTCTACTATAACTCCTGTTGAAAAAGTCTTTGACGAAATTATTTACGAACAGATCATCGAATTTATTGAGGGACATAAAATTTTAACCAAATTTCAAGGTGGATTCAGGAAGAAACACTCAACTGAAACGGCAATACAAATAGCTTTTGAGAACTGGAAGAGATGTATGGACAATAGGAAACATGCAGTGACAGTGTTTTTGGACGTCAAAAGGGTGTTTGAGACTATTGACAGGGATAAATTATTTACAACATTGCATCACTAAAGAAAATTAAAGGAATATTTCATTTACAGTGAAAATTCTTAGAGATGCAATTTTTGTTTTTTCTAAATCTAATTGTTTAGTTTTTTAAAAGAATGCAATTGTAGCAATCATACTAAATAAATCTTAAACAAACAAACAAATCAAAACCAGTGGCTGCCATATTCTCTAAGAAAAAGGTCGCTACCCCCTGTTGTATTCGGACGTTCGCAGATCATTTCTATCGTCGCAGCTAGAGATGCACCGAGTACTACTTTTTTCAAAATACCAAGTACTCGGTCAGATGCGAATTCAGTGCTCTAGGTTAATTCAGCGAGCGTTTAACATTAAAAAATGAAGGTTTACAATAAAAATACCCCATAAAACGTTTTAAGATTTGATCAATGGGTGTTTGAAGAATATTTAGGAACTTTGGAAACATTAAAATGTTTCTTTTTTCTTTCCATGTTGGTTCTCAGGGTCGAAAATGGCGTATTTCACACTTATTAATTAATTAAATATTAAACCTCGAAAACTATAACCTTTAGAGAAAAGTTCATATGTTCAGAATCATTATTGTTCAGAATGACCCAAAAACTTTTTGTCCAGAAAGAACAAAATTTGGGCCTGGCGACATGCAGATTCGTTAAAGGGATCCTTTTTGAATAAGATTATGTGATAAACGGGATCAGAATGGTCTACCGAGCCGATGCGAAGATACTTTCTTGGATTAGTATGAAACTACTATGAGATAAAAAAGCATTACCTTTTGAGTTCTTCTATCTGTCTCATCTTGAAAGCTGCCCTCTCTTCTTCCTGTTTCCTCTTGATCAACCTTTCTTCCTCGTCAACTCTCCTTGCTCTGGCCACATGGTATTGAGCTTGGGACAGCAGATCTTTACATTGGCGAGCTTCCAGCTCTGCCAAACTGACGTCATATTTGGTTTTATCACCCAACTCCACTAGATAGTTGAAGTACCTGCCAAAACAAAAACGTAATATTTGGAATAGCTCACAAAATCATTGAAATGTTCTATTTTAGCAATTATTTGATACTAGAATTCTACTTGGAAATTGTAACAACACTGAGGAAACAAATCTAACTTACTTCAAAGAAAGTCCCAATTCGTGTACAGCTTGTAGTACAGTGGACAAAGTAGACTTTTCATCCTTCAAGATCTGTGTAGCCAGTCTCTGCATTATGAAAGCAATGTTATACAGTAAAATGCTGTCTTGTGGTGCAACTCTTCTGGCTCTTAACAAAACCATTTTCGCTTCTTTGAATTTTCCTGCTTTGTGATAGGCCCTTGCTAGATATTGCAACACTTCCACATTGTTGTACTTGTAGAACTTCCTCAGACAATTTTCATACTGACGTAAAAAGAATAACACTTCTATAATTCTACAGCACTAAATTAAGAGGGTTTCAGGCAATAGTTCTAGCGTAAAGTGGATGGAGCTGAATTACCGTGATTCAGGGTGTAGAAATTATAATTTTTATATCAAACACAATTATACTGAGTTAAAAAAGGTAAACACCTACGTATGTTTATCCGATTTTAATAATTTTTGGCATATACATATGTTCAGTGTCCCTTACTAGTAAAATGATTGAATTTTCAGCTTGATTCGTAAACTGACTGCAGAGGCTGGTTCAATATTGTGTTGAGGATCCAGGATTTCTTATACACTCATTGACATGCCTGGGCATCGCGCTGTCTATATCCTACTGGGGAATCTCATTCCAGGCTATTGCAACTTCGTGAGTAAGAGCTGCTAAAGTCTGTGGAGGGTGTTACAAACTTAAGGAGCCTGCGACCTATCATGTCCCAGACATGTTCAATTGGAGATAGGTCAGGCGATCGTGGTAGCCAAGGTAAACGGTTGATCCATGAAGGCTAACGATGCTCTGGCAACATGCGGCCTGGCATTGTATTTCTGAAAAATCAGGTTTTCGATGGTGTTTAGGTATGGAATATGATGCTCCACTACTTCCTGAATATAGCGTCGGGCTGTCATATTACCTCTGATGAAAATATTAGGGGTGATCTGCTACCATAAGCAAAAGCACCCCATACCATAACTCCCACAGTGTGGTGAACGTAACGCTCTCTGTCAAACTGTGGGTCACGTCTTTCACCACGTTTCCTTCTCACTCTTGCCCGACCATCGTGCATCCCCAGACAGAAGCGGGATTCGTCATTAAAGACCGCCTCATTCCATTCGCGGTCCCTTAGAATTATTTTTCAACACCAGAGCCGATGTTCAGCTGTTGGCGATAAAAAATCGATATGTAAAAAATTCTTGAATTCTAATAAACATACCTTTTTTGTCACTCAGTATATATCTGTGAGTGGATTAACACGTTCGCGGACACTGACGGCATATCACGTCAATGAACTGTTTTCTAGCGGGGCACTGAGAAATGTTGAGGTGTGCTCAAAATGTCACGTTGATAAATTATTTCATATCAAACATAGAAAAGTGAATCAAATAGCATTCAAACAGGAATTTTTCACACATGCAGATATGATGAAAAAAAATCATGCGGTATATGACGTCATGTCCCCCTACGCACCCATTTCACTCACATGGGATACTTGACGGCATATGCCGCATGCGAATAGCTGCTTGTTTAACTCATTTAAATTACCTGTTTTCTATTGAAGTCATGAACAATAACAAGAGCAGTACAGAAACAAGTTTTATTATGAATAAGTATGTGTACAAACACAAAATAAATACATATTCCTTAAATTTTATTCATTGTCAAACAGCAAAATAAATATTTAGGTGCTTTCAATATAAGCGATCAAGCTTTATGCCAAACCTGAAAACAGTCTCCAACACAAAGAGATGGTTTTCCTATACAATCACGGCATTGCCATGCAGTCTCCTTCCTCCTTTGTTCTAGGTAGCACTGTTTACAGCGTTTGTAAATCTTTTGTTTACCTTTTTTGTTTTCTGGCACAGGTATAGCCTCCAAAACGTGGCCCACATTTTCTCTACTTTTTTTGGATGGCATAAACTTTGTTTTTTTCATCAAGTTGACAAATTCCCTTCCATCTCTCTGATCCGGAGACATCCCAAGTAAGGATTTTATTAAATCATTTCGGAACTCTTTGAACGTCTTGTTATCTTTGTGGCTACGATTATATAAATAATGGGAATTCCAGACAGCTATATCAAGAAGATGAAATATAACCTTTTTGTGCCACCTGATTGTTTTTCTAGGACATGAATAATAGCTAATCATTTGATCTGCACGATCAATACCTGACATATTGTCATTATAGCAACTGATCATTAGTGGCTTGGATTTTTTATGACCATACCTGTTTGCAGTTTCAACCAATTCATATAGCCCGTCGTGATGGATAAGACATCACGTTTGTCGCGCCATTTGGAAACATACACATTTCCCTTTCTTCTCCAAATATGCTGCCCGGATTTCAATTTGGCTCCAGTAACCTCTTTGGGATTACCTTTCCTATTCGACCGTAATGTCTCCGTGCTGTGAGTTTTCCTTTGCAATAGGATTTCCGATAACTGGACACTGTTATAAAAGTTATCCATGTATATATGGTGGCCTTTATCTAGAAATGGCTCCAGAAGCCTAAGAACTAAAGAATTTATTTTAGAACTGCCCCTGACATCTTCTCTATTAGATTTACCTTTATAAATTTCTATATTTAGGACATATCCGTCATTGGAACACAGCTCATAGAACTTAATCCCATATTTACTTTTTTTGTTTTTTATGTAAACCCGAAACCGTAATCGGCCTCGGAAAAGTAACAGTGATTCATCTAGAGATAAGGCTTCTGGCGGAGAAAACATATTTTGGCTTGACTTAATGATAGATTCCACAAGCCAACTAACTTTATAGAGATTATCCTCCTTATTTTCATCATCTGCACAATTCAAGCACCTCAGAATCTGTTCAAATCGTCTACCTGACATAGTAGCCGGGAATATCGGATGATAATTGAGAGGATCCATTGAAAACATGTCCCTAATAGACTTGAACTTCAACTGGCCAGCAAGGAGACACAAACCGAGAAAACCTTTCATTTCTTTTACGGAAATATGTTGAAATGTCTTGAATCGCTCGTTTCTGGACTTAGGCCTATTGCCCACAAATAATAATTCACCATATTTATTTGACTTTTGAACAATGTAATTAGTCACATCCACAGTCCAAATTTTTTCAAAAACCTCAATTGGGGAAGTGCCTGCTAGCTGTTCTTTCAAACCAACTGATATGGAATCAAAGGAAAACTCTAAACAATCGATTATATTATCTTCCCATTTTTGTTCATCGTTGTCTGGATCTAATAGAACATCGATATCATCAGAGCCCTCGCTATCGACATGTCCTGACGGCAAATCAACTTTTGATTTAGGTTCTTGCCGTTTACGTTTTTTTCGTGATGTTCCAGCTAAAATTTACAAATAAACGTAACTAATGTGTATGGGAAAAATGCGCAACAACTTACGCTCATCATTGTTTGGAGTATTCTCGTATTCTGAATCAGTACAAGAGTCTGAGTCCTGTTGCATATATTCTGGATCAGCAATGGAGTCATCTGTACTATATGGATCATGTCTGCTTTCATCTTCGCTCTCACACTCTTCATACCAGCGCATCCACTGCTCTCTATATTTATCGTCCATTTTGCTGTAGCTCGAATGCGTACATCCGCTCTCGATAACGAACAGACTCATACTGCCAACACGTATACGTATGACTACCGATGTCCGAAGATGTACCCCTCCCCCTCTTAAAAAAATCTACTTCACTTATTATTTGGCAGTAGGTTTCCAGCGGGACACCAAACCTCCTAATATACGCAGAATTGACGTGATGTACAGCAAAATGAAGTTAGGCCACTATATGTAGTTGACGGCAAGTGCCGTCACTGTCCCAATAGGCACACTGACTAGTGCGGCTTATAGCGTCAGCGCCTCATTAGGACACATAGAGTGTCCGCGAACGTGTTAAGATATTGACTTAAAATGTACATGTTGTAGTGCCATTGAACCACCAGATACACAAAATCCCGTCTATACCAGTGGCGTAGAAATTGGGAAATTTTAACCTCTACAGAAGAAAACGCCAGTTATTTGTTACGCCACTGACTTGGAACATACTGATTAAGATATTCAATTTCACATGAATTGCCTGTCTTGAGAAATTTTTGTTAGACTACCCTTTTTGAGGAAAAATTGGTTTGAAGATGAAATTGGCGTGAAAACACTTCAACCCATTCTACTTTGAAAATGCGCCGCAGTTAATGAACATTGTATGTATTAGTAGCTTATTTGAACAATGATCATGTTTTGTCTTTATTCAGTGTCATCAGTGGCGTAGAAATCTACAACACCCTGTATCTTGACAATGTGACATTTAGGACCTATTTTTTATCATTTTTTTATGTATTTTCTTTCCTAGACATATTGCCATGTATTCTGACTTCAGAGAAGTAAGATCGCTAAATATCTTCCATTTTCAGACTTCTTAAGCGATGCGCGATGCCAGAATGAAAATAGTGTTCGAGTTATTTAAAATTTACAAACAACAAAATACAAAGATTTAAAAGACTTAGAACATTTACTGATGCATACCATTTGTATAGCACTGACGAACTGTTTTTGTTCAACATAGATGTGTGCTATATTTAACCAAACATCGGAAAAATCAGCTGTAGCTTCTCTGACTTGGGCGAATATATCTCTTGCTTCATTCACAGCCCCTTTGTGGGCCAAAACTGCGCCTACACCGTTTGCGGCGAAGATATTTTTCGGATCTATCTTCAATACCTGTATTAAAAGAAAACATAAACATATAAAAAGTGGAGTGACTTGAAAACTCCGAGTCGACTCAATACTTATGCAATTTCAAGTTAATATTTTATTTATTATTAACGTATGCTATTTTCACATTACTCCATCAGTTATACTCAAATTTAAACCATAACCAAATTTGAGATGTCATTTTTTGTGATGTTTTCAAAGCTTTTGGCTCTGTAAATCATGATATTAACAAAATTTAACCAATATCGATGTAATGGAACTTTGTCCAATTGGTTTAAACGATATTTAAATAATAATCCCAAATTGTAAAAGTATTAATAGATTACATTTCAGACAAATTAAATATACAGGCGGGTAACCTCAAGGATCAATACTGGGTCCGATTCTATTCTTAGTGTATATCAACGATTTAATAAATTTAAATGGCAAATATAGAAACAGATACAAATGAAAAACAAGGTGATGATAATGACATATTTTACTGTAAATAAGACAAAGTTTATGAGTTTTAAATGCACCCTTGTTTCAATTTTAATAGTGATTTAATACATAGAAGACAGCAGTAAATTTTTAGAGCAATTGATTACTCAATTGGCAAAGGTTCCCCCATATTATGAGAACAATTAGTTACAAGGTAGGGAAAAACACATATGTTATCAAAATTATTTGAAAATGGTGCGTATACTTCAAAAACGATCAGTTAAGTATGACGAGTTCTACAATTCATTTCATTTGTTATATTTTAGTATTAAGATAGCTTTCCATCAAAAATGGTTGTATTGTTCAGACAATAAAGCATATTTATTTATCTATTACAGATTGAATGAAAAATATATTTTGTATCCCCATTCATAAATGTCCAAACAAAAGTAAATTTAAACAAAAAATGTATAATAATAATAATATATAATATAATAATCCTTTGCTACAAATAATGTACAATTAATTTATATCAAAAGGATTATCTATCTGGCAAGATCATCTGAATCTATTGCCAAATATCAACACGTGGTTGGACAGTATCAGCTGTCTATCGCTGTCTAATTTATTCACTTTATATCTAACTGTCTTCTCTTTGGTTCAAGTTTGAGCTATTCAAAACATGTTTTAAATACCTGTTTGTACAATGCTAGTGCTCGTTCTTGATGTCTCTTCATTTTTTCCTTGTCCTTTGTGGGCTGATGCAAAGATTGTAACCACACATTAGCAAGTGCTATCAAAGAGTAAGCATCTTGCGAAGTAGCAGGGTTCTGGAATTATATTTACAATGAAATCATGTTTCTTTCTCATTTATGCTTATTCTCCTACCTTCAGAATCATTTCGAATTTCTTCTGTCCAGGTCCCCATTCTTGTTTAGCAAAATGAAGATTTGCCATCAATGACCAAGCATCTGGGTGCTCTGTATTCACTTTCAACGCTTCTTTGTACCAATCAGAAGCCTCATAAATGAGGCCTCTGTCTCTTGCCATACATCCCAATCTGCGAATAATTTTTTTTTGAATATGTCTGAACCTATAGAGATCGGCCGATATAGGACTTTCGCACATACCTATAACCGGCCGATATATTTTTTTTATTATTGGCACTAGGATCTAGTCCCATTGGCCAGACACTTCATCTTTATTGAGAGCTATCGTTGTTATTCAAATGGAAGGAAACACAGAGTAGGCATGTGCAGACATTAAAGCCTTTCTAAAGGGTGGAAAAAAAACTTCCGCTTTGGGGATACATAAAGCTTATACCTTGTGTACAACCCTATCATGAGGATTTGACAGAGACACAAATTCTTCTCGCCCAGGGACCCGTCAGAGCATTTATTGGTAGACACACAATACATAAACCACGGTACGTAGGGATATAATAACAGAGGTGTACAACACAGGATATCTAGTAACAAGCCCTAGATTACCATGCCTGAATTTTTAATAAATTGGACGATATAGATATATCAGACCTATTTAACGAAAATATATACGCCGTGTTTAGTGGAGCAGCTAGACCACATTTGAGAAGATTGTTGTAGAGTATATTGGAGTCAATTAGAAACCTGGAGCAGCCAAAGTAATAATGATCCAGATCTCCATGCTCTTCACAAGCATCACACAAATCAGATGAGCGCAGATTGAGTCTAGCTCGGTGTGAAGGAAATGTACCATGTCCAATTTTTGTTTGGATGATGATGGATAAATATTTCCTAGGAATTTTATAGTTATTGTGCCAGTAAGATTCTGGAAGCGTTGGATATAACATGGTATATCGTGTGGGATTAGTTTGACAGATTTACTCCATTCAACACGTCATCTCATCTTCAGATTACGTTTAAGAACTAATTGTTGATCTTGGGTGTTTAAAGGAATGTCTATTGCAGAGCCATCGATAATACTGTCTTTCGCTAATTGATCAACAATTTCATTATAAGTGATTCCACAGTGGGCCTTCACCCATACCATTGTAACTTTATGCCCTTTTCTATCTAAACGGCATATTTTATTTCTTATGCTCATGATGTGTTTATTGTTAAAGTCATGAGGTTTCAAGTTTTTGAGGCTGTTCAGGACTGACAGTGAGTCTGAAAAAATGGATACATCACCTAGATTATTGTCATCTGCGAAGGAAAGAGCTTGCAAAATCGCAACAGCTTCAGCAGAGAATATTGAGATTTCAGGTTCCAGTTTGTACTTGCGAGAAAGATCCAAGGAAGGTATATAAAAGGCGCATCCCGATCCTAAATCTGATTTTGATGCGTATCTGTGTATATACAGATGCTACCTGATAAACTGTTCTGGACGTCTCGAAATTGATTCATAATTAACTGTTGTTGTAGGCTGTAGGGAGGAATTAAAATGTTGATCTCTTGAATTGGGGATAAGTGCCAGTTATAGTGTTGTGCAAAATAGTTGTAGACTGAATAGCACTGCATATAGGCGGCGAATTCCTTTTGGTCCAGTATTTACATATTAGATCAAGTGAATTAAGCTGGTAAGTTTTGTGTAGTATAGCAGAATTGTTTTGATGCATTTTCAGTAGGAATCTGCTCGCTAACATATCTCTACGAAGATGTAATGGAGGCTCTTGAGCTTCTGCCCGTAGTGGTTCAACTGGTGAAGATCTCATAGCACCAAGACATTTTCTGATAAACTTATTCTGAATAATGTCTAACCTTTTAAGTAGATTTCTGCTTGCCGAGCCATAAAGAATACTACCATAATCAAGAATGGATCTAACATAAGAGCGATAGAACATAATTGCTATTTTCTGCTTTGCAGATCATTTGGAAAAAGTTGAATGCCTTTTCACACCTGCAAACTATCTGCTCTATAAATGGTTTCCATGAGAGCTTTTTGTCAAGTAAGATGCCAAGGTATTTCATACAGGTTTCCACCTTGAATGAAAGTCCTCCTAACGAAATATTATTTTTGATTGACACATTATGCCGCGAAAAAAAGCAAACAGACGATTTCGTTAGTGATATGGAAAAACCGTTTTCGAAAAACCACTTTTTGAGGGACACCATAGACGAGTCAAGTGCTGTAATACAATGGTCAAGTAGGCGGTTTTCCGAATAGATGCAAATGTCATCTGCATATTGGATCAATTGACAACTGGTTTGTAGGTCATGAAGGTCAGACGAAAGAATGTTAAACAGAACAGGGCTAAGGACCGGACCTTGTGGGATACCTATGGATAACTGACGAGGACCTAATTTACCACCACAGTTATTTCTCAAGTAAATATTTCTTGAATAATAAAGGTTTGTTATAACAAAAGAGAAACGCGAAGGAACTTTCAAGTTTTAGATAGAGCATGTTCAAGTTGACATTATCGTAGGTCTTCATGAGGCAAGACAGTAGCGAGATAGCTCTATATGAATCTGCACAGTTTGGATCCTTATTGGGTTTTAAAATTGGAACTATTATTAAGTTTTCCACTGATCTATGGTATCTGCATTCAGCCACACGTTGTTGTATATATCCAAAAGGAATCGTTTGGTATTGATCGGGAGGTTGATCAACATGATATATCTGATATCATCAACTCCAGGAGCAGTGTTCGATGAGCTTTTTAAAGCCCAATTCAATTCTTCAAGGGTAAACGGTCTGCTGAAAAAACTGTCTTGTGCTAAAGGTGGTGCAGGTTCAATTTCTTGTGCTACAGAGGATGGTGCGGATTTTGTGTGAAACTCGTGTAACCACTCGAAACTTGATGCTGTCCTTTGTGTGAAAAGGATTCTTTTTGCAACTCTAGCCTGGTTCCATAGCTCTCTGGCTGGAGTGTTCTTATTTAGTTTCGAGACCCATAATTTCCAGACTTTTTCTTAAACAATTTTTTGGTTTCAGCAAACACTTTTTTGCAGTATATAAAGTTAGCTAAAGAACTATCATGCTTGTATGCTGCCAGTGCGTTAGTTCTTCGTTCAATAGCATTTGTGCATTCCTCGTCCCACCACGGAGAAGGAGGCCGTTTTTTTGGTTTAAATGGCTTTAGTACTGGGATAGTAGCTTCACTGACATCGTTCACTTTTTGAATGAAATAGTCATATTTGCTGTTGTTAGATTGCAGTATAGGCAACGAGTTAAATATGTCTCCTAACAAGCTTTGATATAATTGCCAATTGGCCTTTTTGATATTCCATTTATAGTTAAGATAAATGATGTTAGCTTTTGGTATAGATTTTTGGATAGACATAATAATTGGGAAATGATCAGATCCTAGGGTATCTAATGTAACTTGCCAGTAACACAGCTGTGCAATGTCTGGAGAACAAAAGGTGATATCTGGTGCCGATTGCTGCTGATTTGGAGATGTGAGACGAGTGGAAGATCCATCGTTCATTATCACTAAACTCCTTGATTCAGAAATATCAATCAACTGATTACCTGTTGCGTTGGAACTAGTGTATCCCCAAAGCTGAGAGTGAGCATTGAAATCATCCCCTATAATGCAAGATGTGTTAGAATAAGCAAAAATAGCTTCCCAATCACTAATAGAAGAATTTATGTGAGGAGGTTTGTAGATTGACAAAATTGATAGATCACATATTAATTTTACTCCACAAACAAGAATATCTTCATTGTAATTATTCTGGAATATTATTTCACTGAATTTAATACCTTTTTTAACAAAGATAGCTACACCTGCCTTTCCATCCACTCTGTCCCTCCTAACAATGTTATAACCACGAAATCTGATGACTTGATTAGGCTTAAACCACGTTTCACATACTATAGCTACATCAATATTATTCTTTGAAAGAAATTCAGAGAGGCTGTTACGATTTAATACGGCGGAACGTGCGTTCCACTGCATCACCTTTAATAGATTGTTTGTATGAGCGAATGTATTAAGTAAGATTAGATAGATTATCTATTATGGATGTTACTTCATCTCTCAATGTCTGGCTATCAATTCTCTTCAGGTCATCAAAATTATTAAAATTACTAATGATGTGGAAAAAAGTTTTCGAAAAAATTTCTACAATATCATTCTTTTCTGCTAAATTTAACTGATATGTTTTACTAGATGTAATAAGGGTGGAAGGTCCCGCATAGAAAGAAAACTGTTCATTGGGGAAATTTATTGGAGGAGATTGGACTTTGCGTTTTTTATTGGAACTAGTGGGGGTAGATGTTCGGTTAGATATATGTGAAGAAGTGTTGCTTGAAGGCTTAGCTTGAGGATGGCTGGGCAAAGAGGGAAAATTTGCTTCGCTGATGGTGTGTAGGCTTTCAAACTTGTTAGAGGTTGCCACGTGACTTGAGTAAGAGTGTTCAGTCAATTCCTTGGCTTCTATGAAAGTCATGTTAGACAATGCCATATTTTTTTTGATTTTTTGTTGTGTCTGAAAGGAAGGGCAGTCCTTTGAGGTGGATCGGTGGTTGGAATTCTTACAGTATAGGCAATATGTGTTACTGTCATCACAGTTATGGCCTTCTTCTTTTATTTGACAACATACGACACATCGGGTGTGAGTGCTACGACACTGACCAGAAACGTGTCCAAAGCGCAAACATTTGTAGCATTGAATAACTCTTTGGACAAAAGGCTCTACTTGAAATAATACGCTATTAATACTTATTTCGTTTGGTAATAAATTACCGTCAAACGTTACGACAGCCATTTGCCTCGCGAAAAATTCCTGTACGCCATTGTTGTTTATCCTTCTTTTTAATCTTTTTACATCCAATACACTGATTTTAGATGTTATGTTACCCTTCAGGTATTCCTCGGTAACATAAGTGTCTACTCCTTTAATCAAACCCTTTCTTATGAGCAAATTACTTGGAATGTAAGCCTTTAGATTTTCAGATTTAAGCGCATCACTGCAAACTAGATCATTAGCATCCTCAAAATTCCTGAGCCCTACTTTGGTTCGATTTAATCCCGCGCGACTTATAGTTGTTATTTTACTGCTCATTTTGAGTTTATTATGTAATAAATCTCCCACAAACTATGGACGTACTCTACCTATATTCTGATCGTTTGTCTTTTCTATAAATACGTAAATATCTTTATTGGAATAATACTTAGCATTTTCCTTTTTGAATAGTCGTGGCTGTGTGTTTACAGCACCGGCATCCGAATTACCAGGTACGGGCGATTTATTCCCATTCCTGGTGGCATTGTGGTCATCGTGTTCCATTTGCAGGTCATCACTATGCGTTAGGTCATAAATTGCAATATTTGTACCGTTTCCGGTTAATGGAGGGCCTCCCACCCCCGTGGGAGGTGGAGGCATCATAATGATTACTAAACGTCTTTTGTTCGCTACTTCTCACGTTTCACCCGTAAATTAATCGCTACGAGATACACGTCTGTCTTCGTAGACGGCCGAAGCAATACTGAACCGGCCGATATCGATATATCTGAAGCCGATACATCATCGGCGTTATCGGCCGTTCGTTTCTGTTCATACACAATCGAGTACGAGGACCGCAAACAATTCTATTGGCGACTACACACATAACTTACAGTACTTAAAAAAAAAACACTTATTTTTTGAAGGGGTCAAGTTAGTCACGTTCTTGGCGGGTCAAAGTAAGACTACCAGTATCCCTTTATATATCTCCATCTTCCTCATACCTACACATGCAAGCTACCCCTGTGTGTGAACGTTTGTTCGGTAAGCTCAAAGACATACGCTTTTTAGTTGTATGTCTCCGTTTCGAAATCTTTGTCGTTACGTATGGCCATTCAATCATATTTGTCAGAGTGACAACTTACTTGACATCGGCGTGCAATTCGAGTTGTCCCGTTATCAATCTTCAATATAAAATTGTACAATGCTCGGAAATACGATCAATGGAGAAGGCCGACTGCTCGTGCTAAATTTATTAGAGTATTTAAAAGGAAGAGAATGAAAACAACGGTCCCCTGTTACCCACTTCATGCGTACTGGAGAGAGTAGCAGTTGCGCTGAAGATCAGTCTGCACAGTGTTCCGCCCATGGTACGGAGACTCGATCTGTTTACTTATTCCATATGGCGTTGATGACCTAACCACCAAGAACGGTGACTATAACTATAGAAAGACTGCGCCGAAGGCGTCCGTGGCCTCGTACTTGTTGCTAGGCAACGAGGTGCTTCTATCTCTTTCTAACACGTTTTCTTGATCTAAATAAAAGTTAAAACCTTCGCCTACAATACTCTGAAGAGCATTTTAATAACAGTTTATTTTTAAAGAATTTTTAACCTTGTTTACTAAGCCAAAATTGGCGAACTTTTGATTTTCGTAGACTGTATGTACATATAAACGATAATGAATTAGGTTTTGTCTTCCAGAAAATATTGTGTGACAGCACTGGGATATTGGATTATAAGGCAAATACAGTGATCTGCTTGGCAATATGGATATGGCAAATACCTCATAGGGTTATGCATCTTCTTGGAGAATAAATACATTAATCAACGGCTATTATTCTTACTAAAATATATTGTTACCTTAGGTAGCAGTCAACATAGTTTGGATGTGCCTTGATAATATCCTTATAATGTTTCTCAGCTTTGTCAAACAGACACAGCGCCTCATTCAGCCTGGACAAGTTGTAGGTCATGGTGACTGATACAGAATTGTAATACTGAGGATCGTGAGCTGCTTCAGTTTTGGCACGGGACAGAGCTTCTTCTATGTGTTTTTTGGCCTCTTCCAGATTACCCAACCTACAAAAATATGGTAAAATAGCTAATTTCACAATTAAAATGCTAAAGTCTAATGCGTGAGTTCACGAGAGGGGAGAAATGAAACCATGGAATCAAATCTCTAAAAGGAAGTGACATATAAAATGCAACAACCAGAATTATTTATTGAATTTTGATAAAAACTTGTAAGCATACTATATGTACATGCTGATAAAACGTTAAAGGCATTCCGAGCAGTACGTTTTTGTTATATCAGGATCCAAATAATATGAACATGTTAACTTAATGTTCAGTCATTTTTCTGTGTTAGTTCCATTTGTTTCATTGCATTTTCATGCCGATAGTTCGCAGTTCGGTGAATCGAAAGTACTGTAATAAGATGTTGTCAGGCGTGGTTCCAAAAAGGCCGAAATCGACGAGTTAGAGGTACTGGACGTCAAAGACTGACTACAGAGCTACATGATCGTTATTTGAGGCAACTAGCACTTAGAGATCGATTTTCCACAGCAAGGGCACTTGCGAACCAGTGGTTCGACGCTGTCGGAAGGGCAATAACGATGAAGACAGTTTATCGCCCAATAAGATCTTTTGTACTATTTTCATACCGTGCCCATCTTGTACTACCTCTGACCCCACAACATCGTCGGCAACGACTGGTATGGAGTAGGGAGAGACTTGAATGGAATATGGAATGGACCTCAGCCGTGTTCAGCGATGAGTCCAGCTTCTGTTTGGTACACATGATGGCCGTGCAAGAGTAAGAAGGAGACGTGGTGAAATGGTCCAATATTCCATCAAACAGTATATTCGTCGCACTGTCGGTGTTATGGTATGGGGTGCCATTGCTTACGGCAGCAGGACACGATTAGTGTTCATTCGAGGTAGCATGACTGCCCAGCGCTATATCCACGAAGTTTTACAACCACATCAGATTCCTTTTTTGGAAACATTGCAAGATCCACTTTTTCAACAAGACAATGCAAGAGCTCATGTCGCACGTGCTACTTCGAACATGTATGGGAAGAAGGTTGCAAAATTCACAAACATTGGAGGCTCTACGAAACCAAATTCAGATGGCCTGGGATACAATACACTAAGAAGAAATCAATAACCTAATCCAATCAATGCCGCGACGTCTTGACGAATGTGTAGCGAACAGAGGAGCTTCAAGACATAAATTTAACGTTAAAATCCATGGAAGCACCAAGTGAATCATTTTTAACCTCAAATTTGACTCCATCACACTTCCCAGTTTTTGGATCTTCAGATTATCGGACCAATTTACCTGTATTGTAGTGCTCCAACATTATTCAACAGCTCAACAGGTATGTCAGCTTGCACATTTTTCTTCAACAGTTGCATGGCAGTTTCATAAGCGTTCAGTGAAGCGTGCAAGTCGCTCTGCTCCAAAATCTGCGCCAACTCAATCCAGGCTTCAATGTCATCTGGGAATTGGTCTGTGACTTTTTTCAAATGAACCTTGGCAATGTCTCTTTTTGACTGTGAAGTCGAGTTTGCATAGAGTGAACCCAGGATCTTCATTGTTTCATAGTTGCCAGGCTGGACTTTCAGAACTTTCTCAAAGCATTGTGCAGCCTAGAAATAGGGTTATTCTATCTAATAAAAAATAATCAGTCGAAAACGAATCAAGAACATTCATATTGCATGTAAGCATCCTCAGTACCTTCATAGTACTATATACAGGGTGTGCCTTAATGATAAGCGAATATTTAAGGGTGTGAATCTACATGAAAAATTAATGTTTGCTTCCTAAACTATGGTCCAAAAAGGTTTCCTTACAAAAAGTATTAGGAAAGAAAATGGAAATTAATTAATATTTTTAGAACCGCTTCAGATATCGCACTGATATTTAGTATGTAGTGAAAGTTAATAAAGTTGCATATTTTTCAATGCAAAAATAATTTTTAGCTTTAACTGTGGCGTGCGTACGGGCATTGATTTCGATATTTTTCAAGGAAAAAATTATACGCCAATGGTTTTTTGCCAAATGAAAATTATTTCTGAATTCCCCGTTCAATTTAAAACAATTGATCTCGCTTGAATTATTTTCCTTCGATGCGCCATTTTTGAGTAAAAAAATAAAAACCGTTCTATTGTCCGAGAAAATTAATGTAATAATTGAAGAATGCAATTTAGCAATAAATATCTAGTTTGCTCTGGAATATGTCACTGGCTTTTGACATCTGACAAGTCTCTGTTATTCAAATCTGTTAGCTTTGACATCTTTTTCATTATTTAGTTTTTACAATCTTGTTAATAATGGTGAATTATTCAAATGCATAAATGGCGGAAATGCATTACGTATATGGCCTTGCCGACAGTAATGGTGATCAAGCCAGACGGATCTGTCACACCCTTAATATTCGCATATCATTAAGGAACACCCTGTATAAGTCGAATAAAAATTTTACATTCTTAAATTTCTATAGTATATGAAACGATACGAAAAAACATTCTCTGTAGCATACATTTCTCTAAGATCTGCTCTTTATCTCGATGCAAAATCTTCATCGATAACTAAAAAATTATGCGCTTAAGTTGATCCACTAAACACCCGATGTTTAGTGGATTCCCCCTCCAGCTCGGTTAAAGAGCCGGCGGCCGCGTGCCACTTCCCCTCTCGAGCGTGTCAGGGGTAATCTTAGGTCTAGGGATATATTCTTAGTGCTATAGACAATTGGCATCTATAATTTTATCTTATAACTTATATGTTTCGTAAAAATCATAAGTTTAATTTGTTTTAACGCCTATCCGAAAGATCATATGCAATTAACATATTCAACAAGCAGTGCCTGCGTGAGAATAAACATACGTGCGTCAACCACTTACAACTGTATGCCTATCGAGTATCAACTTTAGGTATCAGCGTTACTACCTCTCGGACTCGTTGTTGAAAGTTTATGAGAGTGCAAAGTCTTGGGAATAATTGCGAGGTAAGTTGAGGAATGACATTTCCTTGAAAATTTGATGCCAGGTTAAAAAACAAACAATTCGGCGTGGCGCGGCTGCAGCGGTAGCGACAACACCGCCGCCATGTCGTCTAGTTCCGATATTTGAACCTTCTCACTTCCCCTGTTTAGCTTACGGAGGAAGCAGAAGAGACGAAATGAAGACGCCCCTTGACTAATTCGGAAATGCACATCTCACTTCAAATTACAAGGTTGTGCTGGGTTCTGTGGAGCCTTATAGTTTTCATCATACATTATTGGAACAATAATCAAAATGAGTTGTTTAAGAGAAAGGTGGGCACATTGAGTCAGCACTTCATCTGTGCTAAAAATTACTATGTCCTTAAAGTAACAATATAATGTTGATTTCACTCGCTCATTACTAGTATTGATTAGGACAGTCCACCAGAAGATACCCAATTCAACTGAAAGCTACACCTGGACTTATGTACTGTGGAATTGCCAAACACATGCTTACAATTGTATATGTTGACCACCATCTTTAGGTGTCAGGTTTACTATCTATCAGATTGTTGTCGTGAACTGTGGCATTGATCAACCTATTCTACCTGAAGATAGACAACCTAACACTATTCGCGCGTCCGAAAAGTTGTCCGAGATGAAATGAGAAAATGTAGCGTCATCTGTGAAAATGTATCGCAGCTATGTTTCTCCCTTTCACAATAATTTGAAGTCTACTTTGAAAAGGTTAGTGTCTTGTCTCTATGAGATATTAACCTTTTCAAAGAAGATTCCTAATTATTGTAGAGAGAAGACAGATATGTATTTGTAACAAAATTTGATATATGACTCTACACTATCTCATTAAATTTCGGACGCGCGAATATAGCATTAAGTTGGCTATCTTCAGATAAAATCCGCAAATCAATGATTATGGGATTTCTTTTTCCATTGTTGAGGATATATTAGAAATAATTATGAGGAAGGTTGAGGACTAATATTTCCTTGAAAGGTTGATATGTTTAGGAATTAATAATTTGCTGTTATCATTACTTCTAAGGGAACTACTTTGCACATGGATATAATGATAGAAATTGTATGTGAATGAATTAAAATTTACAAATACAATGGACATTGTGGAGAATATGTTAATCAATGATAATATATATAATGAATGAATATTTTTTATGTAAAAATGCTTACATTTTCAGTGTCTCCTCTGTAGATATACATCTGTCCAAGTCCAAAATGCGGAAGCACAAAAGATGGTGGAGAGAACTGTGTAGCCTGATAATAATATTGGAAAGCTTGGTCATAGTCTCCTTGCACTTGGAAAGCTCTGGCTAACTGGTAACAGCTTTCTGCTCTCATGGCCTCATTTTCTGTGTTGTGGAAGGCATGTAGTGCTAGATGTTGAACTTTGCTATAATCCTAAAGATAAATCAGAAGAAATATAAAAGAAAGAACTATTTTATCGTTTCACATTATAAAGAGTAAAATAAGTGATTCAGATTCGCAGCTATCAGATACTATATTTTTGAACTAATTTAATACAAAGCTCACCTTTTTGAAGAAGAAATGATTTGCTAGATGATTCAACACCATGGGATCTGATGAATCTATAGTGTAAGCTTTTGACAACATTTGCACTCCTTCCCTAATAGATTCTGGTTGCTGCAAATTCAATTTTAGTATGGCTAAGCCCACTAAAGCTCCCACACATTTTGGGTCCAGCTGCAAGGCCCTCTCAAAAGCCAGTCTGGCCTTTTCAAGATTGTTTAGTTTAATAAAACAATGACCCATACCCAACCTACAGAATGGTACAAAAATAAATCTGTTTCTTTTCTTGAAAAATCTTAACACAAAAATATAGCACCAAAACAAAAAACATGCCTAACAACACACCACATTAAAGGTGGAGTAACAAGAAGCTGACACTACCATCTATGACTGACTTACAGAAGCCATAAATTGTCATATTGATTAAAATATTCTACACCTAAATATACCTAATTAAAGTAAGCATTAGAAGGGCCTCCAAGTGAATGAAGATCCTAGTGCTATCTGTGAGACAGTAAAAGAATCAAGCACTCTTCAACTTTTTTCAAATTTTCTAAAATTATTTTTGCATTGTTCAATTGTCTCACTACTATATTTCAAATTACTTTTTGGATTACTAGAATACATTACATGATTAGCAATCATCAGGTAAAATATGTTAATCAAAGGTATGAGCAACATAGCTTTCAAACAAATATTTAAAAAAAAAGTGTTTCAGTGAGGACTGCAACCACTTATTAATTTGATATGAGTTTAAAAGAAAAATATTAATGTCAAGAGCTTAATTAATAAAATTATTACCTGACAGCTGCAGGGCAGTTAGGATTGGTTCTCAGTGCTTTTTTATAAAAAGCTAGAGCAGCCCTATAGTCTTTCTTATTATAAGCAATGCATGCTTTACCAAGAAGAGAAGGTATATTATTTGGTGACTGGTTCAAAACAAAATTGAATTGGGCATCAGCTTGGTCCATTTTATCACCTTCCAAGAGGCAAAAGTATGCTCTTCCCAAGAGATGGTTCTAAAATAAAAGTTTGGTTTTGAAGTTAAAATGAGTCCAAAGTTATATTTAACTCTAACTATAGCAAATTACCAATGAAAGATTGTAATATTGATCATACAGTTTGAAAAATACAGTAGACAGCACTTATAATGTAGAGCACAGAATGGTACACCTGTCTGAATATGTCATTTGTTCATTATGAACCAAATCCATATTGAACGAGCCATGAAAATTTAATGACAATTATTCTTACCTGATCATACATGATAATTTTATCAGCTGTAGTATAGAGAAGGGTGGCTTTAGTGAATAGTTCTCTTCTCTTGTCCTTTCCCTTTTCTTTATTAGCCCTTTGGACATAATATGCTGCAAGCATATCCAGTGCTCGCATCTGATCTTTCTCATAGTCGCGATAGCTGACATTTGCCTCAGTTCGGGATGCTTCCAAAATCTTAATGAAGTCATCAATCTTGCCTTGTTTGTAATACTCCAACTGAAAAATTATTAGGGTGTTGTAATATCAAATTCAGGGTATGTTAATTTGCGGAATATTGTAGAAATTTTTACTTACAGCCAAGTTAACCCATACGGATAGCTGCGACTTTTCTTGACGCAGTATACCAAGGACTTCATCTCCATCGGGTAGTTGGTCTGAATACAACTCGATCACCTGAAACGACGAACATATTTTGGCATATTTAGGATCTTCCTAGATGTTCACGACAGACTTACCTCATCGGTGTTGAGAGGAATTTCGATAACTGTGGCCATTTTGATGGTTAAATGGGTCCACTAGATCTTCATTTAGACGGTTTTGGGGCTTAAACTAAATCAGAAGTGTTAAAAAATCGAATACGTATTCGTAAACAATAATGGACACTTCCATTGAACAAAACACACACAGCACACACACAGAACATAACCTCAAAATGCGCTTACCGACAAATGACAGAAGAGAGGATCTGTCAAAAAACGATAGCAACAAAAAATCTTCCACCTCTTTTTCAAAAACGGTGAATGCATTGACCGCTCGAATTTAAAACAAATGGTGCATGATGCCATCACTTGTACAATTAGTCCATTTTAGAAAATTCAGTGTATTTTGAATATTCTGGTAAAGCAGCCTTATATTATTCCTATTATTTGACCATTCCTTTCGGCAACACCCTGTATTCAGTATTTCAGCAGGTCATTTTCAAAAAATATCGCCCATGATCCATAGAGAAACTCGATATTTTCTCATATTTCTTTTTTCATAAAAAATAGATGGTAAATCGGGTGCTGTTCCTGCTAAGCATGTTTTATTTGCATGCCGGACGATTAGACGAAAACTTTACTTTCGACTACTCGTATTGTGCTTCCTAAATTTGGGTGGACTTTCTCTACAGCCAACCTTTCATTAAGATCGCATGTGTATCAAGTACACAAAGCCATTACAAACAATTTTTTGAAAACCTATGCCGTACATGCGCCAAAGTACGGCTGCACTACACTGTATAAAGCAATAAAAAAGCGGGACCTCAAGTGAGGCACCTGAAAAAAAGGATCCGAGTTCTTAGAAAAATGTCGGCATCTTCAGAGGTCAGAAGGTCAAAGGCTTTTTGGCGAGTGCCCCTTCTACTGGTAACTCTGTATTCTCTGGTGGTAACATACTTTATATTGTTCTGATTCTAAGCACGTTGTTTAAAACGCCCAGACACTGATATTGCGGCGCGGGTGTCGCGCTTTTCATTTTCTAATTTGATCGCAGGCGGCGGCGGCGCAATTGTAAACTTATCATTTAGTCGCGATCGTCAGTTGTTTGATCCACAGCCTACTCTGAATTTAACTGCAAACACCTGTGCTTGAAGTCTAAGAAATCGCATGCAGAACTTGTTACTTATATTCTTGTTTTCAAAGTTACTAAAGAGCGTTTTAATTTGAAATTTGATCAACCGTGAAGAGAGACAAAGATCAAGGTAATATTATTCATCATTAACAGATAGATAAATTTACATTATCAGAAAACCACCACTTATCTTTTTTTACTGTTATTTGTCCCGATCTTAACAAAACGTTTTTATACCATTTCTGTAATTAGGTAGGGCATTGAAAATTATTTTGGCTACGATATTTTATGTGAACGAAAAAATTAGAACACCGGATTAGAATATGACAATTACCGTTCAAAAAATTGTAAAACCAAGCTAAATCCAGAATTTCAGAAAAACACATAGTGCGATTACACTAAGAAATATATTTTTGAGGCTACCAAAAGATTTCCCATCTAGACATATGTGAAAACATTTGCTGGGTAATGTTTTATTATATACACGTAAAAGTTTTAAAAATCACTTTTTGCGTATGTCCAAAAAAGCGGTCCACAAAAAAATTCAAAATGAGACACTTTCTGTACAATTTTCAGCGGTTACATTATGGTTGCAAAAAATCTAAGATTGTGGATTTTCAAATTAGTTTTGCACCAAAAAATGGAAAGCACACTAATCTAATTTAAAACCCAAAAGCATTAGGCAGCAGCGGTGGCCGCAGTAGTAGACTCTTCGGTCTCCTGATCAGTCGCCGAGCGCTGTGCGGGTTCGAGTCCCGTCCCAGGAGAAATTTTTCTCTTGGCTATGGATGTTGTGATTGTCCGTAGGTGGTAGATGTTCTCTGACTGTCGAACGCGGAGGTACCACCCGGCGGTTCTCGTAGGCGGAGCCAGAATGTGTGCATGTTGCATGCACACGTGTTCCCTCGCCAGAGTCCGTGTGGCGTCCCCCCTTTTCCATGTATCCCCCTATAGCCCCACGATACCCCATGGGTGCTTAGGCCTTAGGCCTTCGTGGTAGTTGGAATATAAAAAAAAAACGTATTCCACCTGCTAAAAGTTAGCGCTTTCCCAGTGATTGACATCGAAAAACATATTAAAAAAAAAACAAAAAATGCATAAAACATTTAAAACGTTTGGTAATTTTTGTAAAGATCTCATTTGGAGGTCTCTTTTCTCCCTACAACTCTTCTCCAGACTACTTCTGAAAATTTTCATAATTTATTGAATACACGCGAAAACGTGTTTTTTCCACAATGGCCAATGGCATAGGGCAATGTCGTTCTAATCCAGCATATTCTGCAATCAAACATTGCCTCCTACTTTTCCCTGATACACAATGAAATAATGGAAGTGCTTTAAAAATTGCTCAATTTGAGGCACAAACACCAATGTGATTCTTATGTCCTTGATATCATTATTTGCATATAAAATTATATTTATATCTTTTATTGTTTAACAAGTTTGATAATGGAACTGAGATAATTGGATAATTCAAAAAATAAATTGCTGAGATGTGTAAACAATAAATATATCTATATGCATAGCTGCATACATTTGATCATAAGAGAATAAAGATTAAACATAAGCTCAGTGCGTAAATAGTGATTTAATATCATCTAAGTTGACCTGCTTTGTCTTGCGTGATAGTTTGTTGAAAATAAGCATCTTGATTAGAAAATTGGGGCTATTATATTTGTTTATTTTTAACATAAGACTCGTGCATTGTGTGAAACTGGATATTCAATAGAGAAAAGTAAGTTTGAAGTTCAAATGACTACTATTATTTTGAAATTTTACGTAAGCGTGAACATACTTTTAGTAGTTAGGAATCCCATATATCAGGAAGTCTCTATTCTGTGTTAAAGGATGTAAATTAGGAAAGTTATACAGGGTGTCCCAGAATAACATGTTAAACACAAAAAATTATGCGTCAAGTTTTTCTGGAGACTCTATTGAACGAAATTTTGACAACTTGTAGTAACTGGTTGGGACATTACTTGATGGTGATAGATTAGTCCTAATGCGATTTTGTTGACACTTTTACACACTGATTTGAATGGTTCAAAATAAAATTTTTGAAAAGCATAATCCTGTGGCCGAAAAAATGTTTGATTTCGATAAAAAGAGCCGTTTTTGACAAAAACTGTCTTGTTCCAATGCCGTTCCTATCGAGCTATACTACAGACATTCTCTAAACAGTCCGAGAAAAATCTGAGGATTGAAAAAGTCATTTGAAAATTCATATCCTGTTTTTTTGTGTCTTTGATTACGAATCTGTTATAATAATTACGATATTTCCAGAATTACTGAACCAGTATACTGGACTCCGCACCAAAATTATTAGCATGTAGTGAAACTAGCGCTGTTGTTACTTATCATATTATTCGAATGCCCCAAAGTTCCATGGTTTTTGATTTCAATATTTATATGCTCGGATGCACTTTTTGAAATTTTTCCAGTGTTTTAGAATAAACATTGCAAATAAAGTGCAAAAATAGTTCACCTTTTGATCACCCACAATGTCAAGGATATGCAGGAAACATTACCGTGGTCAATATTTTTTTGTTTTTTCCTAGTCAAAATGAAATGTGGGTATTTTTAAAAAAAGTGCTTGGCATAGTGTTTTCTTCTTCGAAATGTCAATGACACAGGATATATAGATAGTATTTTTAGCTTCAAACTGTTTTATAAAAATAAATCCATTCAGCTCTCGGTCTTTGGGTTCTCGACACATGCTGTTTCTTGACTAAATCTTTGTTAATTCATAATGTGAGAAGTAGCCTAAAATAATTAGGGAAGCATTCGCCAACCAGACAATGAAAGACTGCGATTGTAAGTTAAAAAGCTCCAACAGGTTTGGTACAATATTTATGCAACATTAGGATTCCTTCCCAGAAGAGGAAGTCTGGAAAGCTGTCAAAATATTCATCTACACAGCCCTCTCTACTTTTTAATCGGATTCCAAGCGGTTTCTAGAAAGATATTCCTTCAATTCTGAGAATTAGCCTTAACATGCTTTTGTGAGCGATATAACATGATTTTTTCTGCTTTAAGCCAGGAGTCTTCTCACAAATTTTGACATTCATTGATCAGGAAGGTTGGAATTGTATTCGTCCATGAAAAAATCCCTTTCGTATCCCAAAACCCACTGGCCATGACTTTTTTGGCATGACTAATCGACTTTCTGTTCTTCGGGAGAATTTCATTAGGAGTTAATCATCCAAAATATAGAATTCGATAACAGCACCATATTCAAGGTTATTCATCTTAATACAAAGAAACACAAGTAGTCTTGCGGAAACGAAGGACAATAGTCGGCTTGTCCGCAATAAAGGAACAGTAGCAGGATTGGTAAGGCCCCCGTCAAGGGCCGTTGCCCCCCGCCCTAAAGACCCTGAAAGATGTAGTGAAATGCAAATCAATAAAATTCATAAGTACTCTCACTTAACGTGCTTCATCGATCATTCCCACACGTCGAAACGAATCCACCATTTCCATTCCAGGTATTCAAGCTCTGAGTTACAATAAATTAATATGAAAACATAATTTAATTCAAGTTCCATTGACCGTACAGCTCAGAGCTCGTAGACATTCACACATTGGACTTTATACTGTTCTTATCACAATCACCATACTACACGTGTAACATTTGATGTGCTATTCACTTTACCTACAATTTATACATTTCTCAATCATCGTATGCAGTTGCCCCCCCCCCTTCTAGGCCTTTGGCTGTCGACGCCCTTGGCCACCGTGTCGACCTTAGTTGATATCTCGTAAACATGAGGCTTTCTGGCCGAAGCCGGCTCTAGTTGGTGGCTTCTAGTTGTTCTAGTTTTCCTTTCCATTCTTGTTTTCCTTCGTTTTACACCCATACCCAGAATTGTGCTTCACTTCGGTGTTTTCGATGCACATCTATTTTGACCTGATGACCAATAAGCAGAAACGTACGTCGCTCGGGTTACAATTTCTGCTCCTGTTCCTTTATTGCGGCCATGCCAAGATTGGTTGTATTTCCCTTTCCATCCTTGTTTTCCTTCAGGTTACACCCATATCCAGATGTGATGGGCATATGCTTCCAGTTCGGTATTTTCGTTGCACATCCATTTGGGCCTGATGAACCCAATAAGCAGAAACGTAGTTCGCTCGGGGACAAATCCTTCAACTTCTGCTCCTGTTCCTTTATTGCGGACATGTCCATGATTTATTGTATTCCCCTTTCCATCCTTGTTTTCCTTCAGGTTACACCCATATCCAGATGTGACGGCCATATGTTATTACTCCGTTGTTTTAGATGCACATTCATTTGGGCCTGATGGAGCCAATAAGCAGAAACGGGTTACCAATCCTTCTATTTCTGTTCCTGTTTCTTTATTGCGGACATGCCCACGATTGTCATTTGTTTTCCACGCATCTCATTAAAAATCATGCTGGACGAGCACTAAAAACATTCGTGTAGACAAACTACTTGAGATAATAAGTTGAAACTTGTCATACGAACGTGTCCGGCCGAAACATTTTACCTTTATCATCGCAAATTCTTTCAGGCTACTTCTGACATACCAGCTTAATTAAGCAAGAATTGCTACGAAATTAACGCGAATTTTGGTTGTAAACAGAAAAGTTCTCGGTGCACACATGTTTTAATGTGCTAGAAAATACAGTGATGTATACGTCAGCTTGTACACCAAACACTTGGTAAAAATAGCTTCATGCGAACGATATACTCATATTTTGTGAAAATATTTAGGATATGTATAGGTTACCTGATAGCGTATTGATGAAAAACATGGCTAGAAGCATTGAGGTCAATGTTATGGAGGTTGGAAAATATCCAAAAAGCTACAATTGAAATTAGAGAAAACATTTCTCGGAAAGGTGTTGTGGATGTGTTTAAAAATATGATTTTTCCGGGTGTCCTATTTTTCGTAAAAGTATCGTCCTTTTTTCATACCAAAGCAGCAAGCAGAAATATATATATTTACTATAAGTAAACAAAATTAAAGCTAACTTCACAATTTCGGCGATGGCATCTGTCAGAACTCAATCGCTTATACCACTTTTTGATGAATTTTGTATTAAAATGCCATGACAAATGTCGATATAACATGATTTTCAACTGTCTCATGACAACGTACTTCCATGTTGATTCTTTTTTAAAAGTTAATTGGAAAACTATTTTTTCCGCTGTTTGACGTATCTCAGAGGATTGCGAAACCTTGTACGAGTATGCATCTCCACAACATGCAGCGTCCATGATACATAATCTACAAATCGCATGGCATAATTAGTTCAAAAATATTCTCATTAGTTGCCAGGCAGTCTGAGTGAGTCCTTGCATACTGAGAGTCGCGATCCAATATGTTTGTTTAAAAATATTATTATCGCTAAAAATCATTAGTATATCAGCGTACAGTGACTACGTTCAATTCTCGCATAAAAACGTAGTCTACCGCGCAACATTGAATATTACATAAAACCTGAGTTTATTTTTTTTAGTAGCTTTCCGAGAGTGAGGTGGGTAGATCTAGTAAAATCCCCAAATTACGATAACTGCTGAAAACGTTGTAGGAGATTGTACTCTGTATCAAACTAAAAGTTTATAAGGAGATATCGGTGATATACGATATAAGAGATAAATAATCGTTATTTCTATAGACCCAGAATTGAGTTAAGTACGAGTTGAAATCAAAAATATTATGACTGGCGTTGGAAGTGTGTGAAAGATAGATTTTTGAGCTGGAGTACGAGGCAAATATGGGAGTTCTGGAGAGCATGGGTGTTCCTGAACCTCAATGGATATTGGAAAGAACTGAAGGTGGGAGTCTTTTTTGGAGAAGAGATACAGACCAGAAACGGAGGTAAAGGCTTTATAGTGATAAGGTATTAAGAATGAAAGGCAAATGTTAATTTCTTTTAAAATCTATGATACCTCATAGCTTTTTCTGCACTCCAAATTTTATTAAAATAGCAGAAGTATTATTGTATATTGGTGATTGAACATTGAAAAGCTGGGGGTGAGATACGTTGAGGGTTTCGTCGGTTTTTCTACCTATCCGCCTGTCCGGTAATTTTCGGCTCCTCTTTATCTCGAAAAATACTACTCGGAATTCAATAACACTCTCAAACAAAATTGCTACTAGGGAGTAATGGGAAAAACTTTGGTGGGTTGCTATATTTCTCTTATCACCAATGTTCACTTATAATGTTGTCGTAGCTAGAATATTGAATAGATATGGAAAGTACTCAGTCAATCTACTTGATGCTATTTTCAAAAATCACTCCCTTTCTGCTTCACAGATGACGCAAAAGTAAATGATTTTTATACTTTTCACTTTAGTCGTCTATTTTATAAAGCACAAAAGCTAATTCGCATTTCATCGTATTGTTACTACTATTCATGAGAAAAACCTTTGACCTGACATCTGTAATGGCCATTACACGTCATTATCATAAATAAGTGTTAATCAGTAGAGGTTGGCTCATTGAAAATGTGCCAAAACTTTTAGCCAAAGACTTATTATTTCATCCTGATGACATTCACAGAGCGACGAATCTTGTTCATGCTTGACTCAAGTATTCTTCTATAGAAAGTTGCAAAGTCGCTTAGAAACGGAAAGCGAGAACAACTCCCGCACGACCACGGTCCTGGTGGCATGGTCTTTAGGACAGAAGAAAAAGCCGAGGTTTTCGCTGATGCAATGGAAAGTCAGTTCTCTCCCAAATATGATCTTGACGAGGAGCAACACGTTGTATGCGTCTTCAGAAGATTTCTCAACTGAAGAGTTGCTGGGCAGATCATCGGGTTCTCTCGAAATCCCGCATTGCAGACCACCAAATCTTCAAGTTTATATTAAAGACCACAAGGTGCGTAAAGCACCTGGACAGAATCGAATCACTAATAAGGCGCTGCTTCCGCTTGAGTCCTCAACTTCTGGTGGCAATAAATATTCAATGCCATGCTAAGTAAGAACTCAGTACTTCCCAGCAGCGTGGAAGACCGCTAATGTTATAATGATTCCAAAGAGGGGTTCGACATTAGTCTACTGTCAGCTCCTTCTAAGCTCGCTGAAAAGGTGATTCTACGTCACCTTGAACATTTCTCGTCAGACCAGAATGTGATTCCTGAAGTGCAATTTGGATTTCGGTCTGGGCATAGTATGGAGTTACAGGCGGTTAGGCTTATTGAGTGAGTAACCAAGGGATCTGCCCTTAATGAAAGTACTGGCATCTTGCTTCTGGATATCTCAAAGGCATTTGACAAGGTGTTGCACAGGGACCTCCTCTACAAATTGATCCATAAGGGCTTCCTATTCTGGCTCCTGAAACTTTGGAATCCTTTCTTGAGGGTAGGAAATTTCGGATCGGTGTCCCTCAGAGTTTGGGTCTTGGACCAATCCCTTATGCACTTTTTATTCATGACGTCCTTTGACCCATCAACTGAGAAATCTTTCTCTATGCTGATGATACCGCCCTGGTGGTTCAGTCGTGTTCTGAGAATCTGGTTCACGACAGGCTGCAAAGTGTGCTGGACGAGGTATTGGAGTGGGTGAATCGGCGGCTGAGGTTTCAGCGAATGGTGCTCGGGTACCATGGGAAAGTAGCACACTGAAGCGTTAAAAACTAAATCCCAAATCACGTTTCGGCAAAATTTGATCAACAAAGTTCGACTACACAAGATGGTTGGAGTCAGTAGACCAGTCGAGCAAGTTCGCAAGCACTCAAACGCGCGACTCACACTGTGAACAACCAATCTCTAAATTTTATGATCAGTTTAAAATTCGCGAATACAGATTAGCTAAGGCACCCTTCTTGCTCCTTCCTTTCTATCTTCTTCCCTTATTTCTCTCTGACTTTGGTCTCTGGGCAACCAGACCTTTTAGACCTACTGTATTACAGTACTTTAACTAAGAGTAAAGGTCTTACGCACCTATGAATACTGAATTTTGTAAAACAAAAAATAGGACTGCTATAATTTTATCCGTTATTTACACATTTTTATTGATTAATTCACTATAAGTACCTATACTTTTTCAACGATAAACAGTAATTTTGCCAATGTACGTTCTTAAGACAAAAAAGCGTTAATATATAACTTTAACATCGAAGCATATATAACGTAAATTATATTCACCTTCGGGATTTGGTAAAAGCTACATTTCGCTATGATTATAGTTGAGAACGTAATATTATCTTCTGTCCTATCAACAAAAATTATCTAGTAGAAGCGCAGTATTGATTTTTTCTTTGTATCAGACCATTGGATTTAGGCTAAAGACTGCAATTTTTTCAATAAAATGGTAAATACTGTTGCATTTTGGCCTTATTAGACCTGAATCGAGGGCATGCAGCACCTCCGCTCTTTCTGGTCAAATCGAATTGACCAGAAAATAATTTATTGAGTGAGTTTTCTAGTCTGTAGGAAACAGTGCAGTCATTTATGTACGTGAGAACGTATGTAGCCTCATTTCTTCCACTCTTACCAGTGTTATCCTAGCATACTCCAAAGTATGCTATACATTTCATTTACTATAGCGCGTAGCATATATCGTGTCAATATTTGCGCTTTACTATACAAATATATATGTTACAATGAATTCTTAATCTGGCATGTTTTTAAACACCAAAATAGTTTCCTAGGTTTAATTTGTCATTTTGCGTAGTAAAATTCTGTATTCATAGAATAAATGGAATAATGTGTATTATCTTTAACTAAAGGAAAAAATGCCCCTTGGTAAAAACTGTATATAATAGAGGACATCAAACTGTACTGTGCCTTTCTTCAAAAGGAATTACGTATCTGTACTAGAATGCCTTTGTTTCAAAGATCCTGTATCTTTAGGAAACATTGTCTTTTGATATCTAAAATGATAAAAGCAGTGTATACTAACTGTACTTTGCCCCTCTTCAAAATAAATGTGTTGTTATATTTTTATGAGTATACAGGGTGTTTCAGAACTAACTTGTAGGGGTTATTCAGTGTAACAGTAGAAAACATTTGAGTATAGGGACCCATATTCGGAAAAGTGTCACTACGGCACTACGGCCCTAAGACGCGTTAAAATTTAGAAAGACGATGAATTGCCTACATAGGATTTAATGCATTTAATTTTTACCTTTTGTACATGATATCATCGCAACAATTGTTTAAAATGTCTTCCTCCAACCTGAATATACCGATTTAAACGTCGCACATGATTTCGGCGGACTTGACTAAAAATTTGATACTCGTTTTGAGTGATTTCAAATGCTGCTGTAATTCGTCCAATTAAGTCTTGCTCTGTTTCTACTGGAGTTTAGTAAACCAAAAACTTTACATGTCCCCGCAGGAAAAAGTCTAGCGACGTTAAATAGGGTGACATAGGAGGCCAAGAAACTGCTCCACCTCTGGCAATCCAACGTTGCCCAAACCGCTGAGCCAAATACGTACTTGTACAGCAAAGTGAGCCGGCGCTCCATCATGCTGAAACCACATTTGCTGTCGAACGTTCAATGGAACATTTTCAAGAAGTTCTGGAAGAACTTCCTCCAAGAAACGCCGGTAAATAGGTCCTGCTAACTGTTCCGGTAGAAGATATGGCCCAATCAAATAATCATCAACATTGCCTGCCTATACGTTGACAGACCAACGTTGTTGATGTTTTCTAGAAAAAATTGCATGGGGATTTACTTTGTCCCAAACGTGGCTATTCCTACTATTAAAAATACCGTCTCTTGTGAAAGAGGCTTCATCGGTCCATAAAACAGCGTAAAAAATTTGGTTGTGCAGCGATTTGATGAAGAAGCCATTGACAAAATTGAACTCCAGGATGATAATCGGCTGCAGTTAATCCTTGAACTTTCTGGAAGTGTTAAGGATAAAGTTGTTGCTCGTGAAGCACCCGCCAGACGGAAGCGATACTCGTACAGGGATTGTCCGGAAAGTAATAGGACTCATTTTCTGCCGCCAAGACTGTACTTGACTGGATTCGGTAGAGGGCGTTCCTAGCTAACGAATGAGCGGCTGGTCAGTTGTCTCCAAACACTTGGAGAGTCAGGACAGGCATTTTCGCGCGACGTGTTTCTGTGAGTGGTGCAAGCCGAAAATGCAGCGTTCGTTAGAGCAGAGGTACGCGATTAAATTCTGTGTGAAACTCGGTAAATCTGCGACAGAGACGTTTGATATGATCAAGCAGGCTTACCCAGGTGTTGCATTAGCAAGAAGTGGTGTGTTTCGGTGGCACCAGGCCTTTTTGGAGTGCCGGGAAGAGGTCGCTGATGAAGACCGTGCTGGAAGACCTTCGACTTCGACAAACACCGATAATGTGACTCGTGTGCGCAAAGTTTTGAACTCAGACCGTCGACTAAGTATTCATTTAATTGCCCAGATGTTAAATTTACCAAAATCTGTGGTTCATGACATTGTGACACAGCATTTGAACATGCGCAGGGTGTGCACGAAGATGGTCAAAAAAGTGCTCACTGACGACCAGAAATTGCGGCGAGTGGAAGTGTGCAAAGAAAATTTGAACATGTGTGAAAGTGACCCCCAATTTTTGAATAACGTAATCACAGGTGACGAGTCGTGTATCTTTGAGTATGATCCCGAGACAAAGGGGCAATCTTCCGAGTGGCACACGACGGCGTCTCCTCGCCCAAAAAAGGGAAGAATGAGCAAATCCAAAGTGAAAACGATGCTCATTGTCTTTTTTGGCATCAAAGGCATCGTCCACCATGAATTTGTTCCTCTTGGACAAACCGTCAACGCCAAGTTTTACGTGGAAGTGAGACTCAAACGAAGGGTCAGTCGGGTCCGACAAGACATCGCAGCCGACTGGAAGTTGCACCACGACAACGCCCCGGCTCACACCGCCTTTCTTGTGAACAGCTACCTGACCAAGGCCGGCATCCCAACGCTTCCGCAGCCGCCCTACAGCCCAGATGTGCCCCCCGGATTTTTTTGTTTCCTCGCCGATGAAAGGCAAGCATTTTGAGACGACAGAGGTGATCCAAGCAGCATGCACCGCGGCTTTCAAGGCTATTCCGGAGAATGCCTTCCGTGACGCCTTCAATGCTTGGAAATCGCGCTGGCAGCGCTGCATCGACGCAGAAGGAGCCTATTTTGAAAGTTTCTAAAGAATTGTAACGATTGGCTCAATAAATTTTTTTAAATCGACTCAGTCCTATTACTTTCCGGACAAACCCTGTATTCATATCCTCAGCAATGTGACGTGTGCTACTTGAAGGTTCGTCAGCAACTCACTGAAGGTCATATTCTTCAAATTCCACCATTCTTACGGTTCGAGCAACACCAGTATCATGCATGTTGGTTTTAAACATGCCTCTTTTGGAGAGCCGCCGATGAATAGCAATAAACTTTTTGTATCCAGGATGCTGTCGTTCGGGATAACGTACTTGATTCAACCGCGCTGCTGCTCGTGCATTGCGCTTGTTGCTCCGTATGCCAAATGCATATTCTTCACAAATACGATAGCACGACTAAGACGATATGGAATGCAACTACAAAAAACAATATCTGTTATCGTTTTTAACGATAACAACACACAAGCACCGGATATGGGTCCCTATACTCAAATGTTTTCTACTGTTATGAATAACCCCTACAAGTTTGGTTCCATAGTTCTGAAATACCCTGTATACATAATAGGTAAGTACATAACAATAAAAATGGACTCTCCAATCGCAGAATGTCTACTTGTGTGACAACCAATCTTATATATAAATTGATAAACTGATTTGTGATAATTAGAATAACAATCGTATGTGGGCTTACATGGTGGACAATCTGATTACGTGTACAAGCATGATGAAACAGTTTTCTTCTTTGATGACCTTTATTATATTAATGTTCGGTTTTGTATTTAGATATTTATTTCGGACTTCCATTGTTTTAAACAGATGTTGAGTGAATGGAAGTCCGAAATAAATCCTTTGAAACATCTACCTTGTCTACAAATTTCAAACAAAAGTAAAAAAATTAACATGCTCCAGATAGCTCCAAATATCACAATCACTTACTTTTATGTGTTGCTTTAAAAAGTACTTTTGGGCAAATATTTGCATAAGCAGACCTGAATTACTTCTAAGAAGGGATTCTTGTAACATGTTATGAAAGTATAGTTGTAGTCAAGGTTCATTTTATAATATCATTATTATTTCAGAGTCAAATTTCGTTGTGACGTGGATGTGAAAGAGTTCCATAGAGATGCACATGAGTTAGAAGAGTGTGATTGGTCTAGCGAACTACCTTATGGCTACCAGTTCCTGAACGTCAGTCTTACGTGTGTGTTTTGCCTCACAATAACTGTCATGCTCCCCTGGTATATACTTTTAGGCAAAATGAGCTAATAATTGCTGGACTTGTAACAAAAATTGGTTTTAACATATGTGATAGATATTTCAACAGTCTACAATAAGTATTGCACTGCTAACTCTGAATGATGCAAGTCTTATGATAAGTATATACGAGTACAGTGCAAAATTGCAAAAAAAAATTTGTTGAGCTCAGGAAAGGGGTATAATTTTATTCGGTTCTTATTTACCAGTGATGTTAATTTTTGTACTGCTATTTTGAAAGATACGAATCCAAACCAAAACAGACATTTGCAAAGCATATAATAAAATAGTCGTTACATTCCAGACTTACATCGTCAGAGACAAAAATTCACATCATTATTACATAATTAATATTCTGTGATTGACGTTGAATGTGATATGTATGAACGTATAGATGGCGTGACCTTATAACCTTTTAATGATATAAATTCATAAATTGATTTAAAATCATATCCAAGTCACATTAGCTTAGCATGAGCGATTGTATTGGAAAACTTTGAGATGAAACATATAATCCGGGTAATTCTCTGTAAAGAATGATTTGTAAATATTCTTTTTATAGATATTATGATCTGTAGAAGGCATTCTTAAAAGTTGAATACAGTCTGTTGAGTGTTAGGTACACTGTGCCTTCGTATATAGGGTGTCCAATAAGTACCACGACAAACTTAAGGAGAAGGTAGGCTTTGAACTGACCTCCCAAATAACAAAAACTTACCCACATAAAAGTGTCACCGTTAATGAGATATTGGATTTTTTCTTAAATTTAAAAAAAACGAACCTTTTCACCTGTGGTCTTTAGCTGCATGTACAAATAAGGTTATACTTTGTTCATTTTTTCTATAAAATACTTCTAGATAGTTGCTTTATCCTATACAAATGCAATGTAGTTAAAAGATATTAAGGAAACATGATAAAATAAGGACAGATTTATAACCTTCTGATGTTGTTTCCTCAACTTTCATAGAATCATATCAGGAACAGGTAATAATAATGTAGCTTTGTACTATTTAGCATGTCACTGATCGGTAACCAGTGCAACTTGAATTTAAATCAAATAATTACATTGTCGTGTGTGTCAGTCACTTACAAAAGCAGCTATCACTTTTTTCTATTCCAAATAGTACGTGTGGTGCCTTTCTGAAATCCGTATTCAATGAGCAATATTTTTATTCAATATAATGCAGTTATAGCCCAGTACATTTTTGTTTCACCACAGATGGTTAAAGTTGAGGAAAAAATATCAGAAGGTTATAAATCCTTATTTGATCATGGTTCCTTAATATCTTTTAACTACATTGCATTTGTATATGATAAAGCACTATCTAGAAGTATTTTATAGAAAAAATGAACAAAGTATAACCTTATTTGTATATACAGCTAAAGACCACAGATGAAAAGGTTTAGGTTTTTTAAAATTTAAGAAAAAATTCCATATCTCAAAAACGGTGACACTTTTATATAGGTAAGTTTTTGTTATTTTTGAGGTCAGCCCAAAGCCTACCTTATCCTTAAGTTTGTCGTGGTACTTATTCGACACCCTGTATACAGTTTCTATCTTCTTTGGACATAATTTGCAAACATATATATTATCATCAAGTATAGTATATACTTTAAATAATTAAATTTATTTTAATTATCTGAAAACATGCTTATTCGTTTACAGCCAGTGACCTCGCTTGTATGTATCATAGATTGCGTACACCTACCTTCGTGATATCTGTTTTTTTAATGTACCTTAATCTGTATATATGTTTAAGTATATTTATTTTGCTCATAATATTGTTTGAAAGCACGTCATTTTGTGTGGTAGAGAGGAAATGTATATATGTAATGTGTTGAATAAAAAAAGTTTTTTGTGCACGAACATATTTTATTATACCAAAAATGTGTATTTACAATAAAATAAAAATAAGTTTCTACATACAAAGAGGTGTACAACTATATCTAGATCCATCCATAGATAATAATCATAAATATGTTTAACAGGAAATAATGAAGATTAGTGTTGAACAGTCACACGCATGTATATTTACATGGTAGCCCAAAAAGATAGTGGCATTTTATTCTTAGGATATATCTGCAGTCTCCGAATATTTAGTATTCGTAATATTAAGTTTTTCACATTCACTGATTTTAATTTTCCTAAAATAACGATCATACAAATTACTATGTCAACTTTTTTTTGAGATTTATGACTTATGTTAGTGTTTTTTTTTATGAAGATCTGCATCATTTTGAGTCTGTCTTACTGACTTGGATACATCTTTCAGTAGCTGCCTGTATCGCACCTATCACAGCCGATCTGAAACCTGGAAAAAAGTATGATGTATGCAAACGAAAAAGACATAAAAGATTCATGTCTACAGTTTAACAGTCTCTCATGTGATTTTTGCTAGAGAAATATGGTCAAAAATGTTTTCTTCTCGTCTTCACGTTTTTTCAAGAATCATTGTCAGGTGAAATACTTAAAGGATAGAATAAATAATAGATAGATAGACCGAGACGAATAGGATCAGTGAGTGAATCGGCTCAAAATAAGAAATCCGTTATTTAATATTTTGAATAACGAATTGAGATGGTTATTTCGATCCGATTAACCCATTAATCCGCAGAGATCGTATCTTGAACAGTGACAGCATCGTTTTTTTTGACATTACATACGTTTTTTTGTGGCATTATGCAGGTTTTTTTACAAGATTTCAACCAAGACCTAGCACAATCACTCAGATGCGATCTTGCTACTCAATCAATTTTCTTTCTGTCACTTCTCATAGATATGTTCTACATACTATGTCGGCATTCTGCAACCAATAAAGCATGCTGGGAAATTGACTTGCAGCATGTTCATTGATCGTGTCACTCAGTCATTCTTCCATAGATGACGCTTTTGGTGACGCTTACAGCGCTCATAGCGAGCAAACGTTGAATGAACTATTTGCATATTAGGAAGCATCTAACCAGCAAGTTGACATTTGTCGTTTTTTTTTTGATATTATTTAAGTCTTTACGTAATAACTTTGCCGGTTTGCCTTAGTTTTTTTTATACCGAAACAGCCGTGCAGGCAGAAGCTTAAATGCCAGGACACCGCAGCTGCTATGAGAATCCCAAAGAAATTTTGTTAATCCGATTTTTGAAATGCCCAATCGGCAATCTCTACACCCTTGCGACAAAGGAGCAGTTCTGAATGTACGAAGTTCGGCACGGTTACGATAGGAGGCCGAAGTCAGGCGGGTCTGTCTGGCAAGCACATGATGGAGGGAGAGCTTGAAGAGCGAAGCCCATTGGTATAGCGGTAGAAGAAAGCTAGATCGCCGACTGTCCACCCGTACGATACGGTCCCGAGACTGTCCGTTAGAGAAAAGTCATCGATCAGTCGGGCGGCCCTCCTCTGAACCTCATCGAGCATGGATAATGTAGTAGGGCCCGCAACACCCCCAAACATGTAAGCAATACTCCAAGCTATGTCGTATCTGGGTCTTGTATGGAGTGAGCAGGTCATGCGGAGAAAAGTACTTCTTCGCTCGAAACAAATAGCCTAGATTTTTACCAGCAGCTGCCGATATTGACGAGATGTGCTCATGCCAGATCTATTCCTCGGTGATCTGGACTCCGACCATCCAAAATAAACGACTCTTTGGCAGAACTCGGCCATCCATCCGGATGAGTGCTAGGACGCTTTTTGTTCGTCAAGTTCGAACAGGATTGTGTTTTGGAAGGATTAAACTACAAGATTGTTGTGTCCCCAAGCAGTGATAACGTCCAGGTCTCTCGTCGGAGTGGAAGTCGCCGGTAGACTTCTTTTTTCAGGCTCACCAGCAGAGATCGGCTTGTCGCTCTGAATTCATGCATGTGGAGTGCTATCATCAGCAAAGCTGTGGATTGGATGCATCGTACAAGAAAGGAGATTTGAGGAGAGGTTGATTTTCAAGAGAAATAGTGTCGGAACCAAGATCGATCCCTGGGGAACATCCGCGTTGACGCGTTGTGGTATGAAGAGGACAACCCGTGCTACAGCTGATCGAATGCTTTCGTTATATCAATAGCAACGACATAAGCCTCACCATAAGACTAGATGAGTTTACTCCACAATTGCGTGACGTAAGCTAGGAGGTCCCCTGTGGATCCGGAAGCCATACTGCCTATCGCTGATCAAGCCGAGTAGTTCAGGAGCTCGCAATTTTTGCACCCCTCCATCACCTTATTTATAGTATATATATATATATATTAGCTATAGGTCTATAGTTGTAAGGGTCAGTCTTAGATCCTTTTATTTTGGGATAGGTTTGACATGAGAAAATTTCCAGTTTTCTGAGACGGTGCCGGATTTGTGAGATATCCGGAAGAGACCCAAAAGAACTGGAGCAAGCTCCGCTGCACACCTCTTCAATACAGCGGCAAGAATCAAGTCCAGACCAGAAGCTTTATTGATGTCCAACGGCAAAAGCACTGAATATTAATTCCCGCATAGTGTAGTTCGAATCGACGTCGTGGGGATAAGCCCATGGTGGAGTTGGCAGCAAAGACCTTAGCAAGCACTTCCGCCTTAGCCTTTGAGCCGGTTACAATCATTCCATCCTGACACGTAAGTGGTCGAAGGCTCTTAAGCGGTACTTTATTGGTTCTTTGTCAGAATTGTTATCTCCACGGAATATCAATATTTTACTTTTCCCTATGAACCAATTGTGACAAAACTCGCCCGGCAAAGTTCACACAAAATTTCACGCCATGCCTCTATGTCCCATCTTTCTCTCTCTTCTTTCTCTCCCTATATCTGTCGTGGAGGTTAGGATGCCATCACATGAAAAGAAAGTAGGATTCTTTCGGCGGGATATACAGAGGATTTAAAAGAGTTCCATTCCAGAGTCCGATTTTTTATTAAATACGCAATTTTCTCTAGTTAGGGACACGTTACTCAAAATACGTATGAAAGTACCTTGTTGTTCTAAGAAATGCAACCCAGCAGCTGTAGACCCAGCAGGTGACGTCACATCGTCCTTCAATACTCCAGGATGGATCTTTGTATCTCTCACCATCTTTCCAGCACCAAGAACTGTTTGAGAGGCCAATCTGTACGCCAGATCTCTCGGCATTCCCATTTTAACTGCTCCATCAGCTAAGGCTTCTATCAACACGTAAATCTGGAAAATATAAATCTGTATAAATTCAAAAATGGCGACATTTTTACCAAAACATTACTGATGATGTGCTAAAAAAGTCGCGGTTTTTGCATCGCGCCAATTTCGGTGTGCAAAGCAGTGTAGCTAATAATCTGTGGTGCAAATTATATGATTGACAATCATGTCAGCACGCTGTATAAAGGCCTTAATATATCTCCAGAGATCCCGCATTGCACACAAGCAGAGCCCCAAGGTCATATTAAGGACCTCAAGGTGCGTAAAGCACCTGGGGAGCATCAAATCTCTAATAATGCGCTGATCTCTAATAATGCGCTGGAGCTGCATTCACGGAAGTCATTGTCTTATATCGTGGCTATAATCAATGTCATGCTAAGGAACCAGTACTTCCCATCTGCGTGGAACACTGCAGAGGTTATAATGATTTCAAAGAAGATGGGTTCAATATTTCCCCGTCCTATTAGCCTGATGTCTGTTCCATCTAAGCTCCCTGAAAAGGGAGAATTTCTCATCAGACCACCATGGGGTTCCAGACGTGCAATTTGTATTTCGGTCGGAGAATAGTACGGAGTTACACGTGGTTAAGCTTGTTGGGCGAGTAATCAGGGGCTTCACCTTAACAAAAGTACTGACAACTTGCTTCTGAATGTCTCGAAGGGTGGTGTCCCTCGGGTTCAGTTCTCGAGCCAATCCTGTATTCATGACGTCTCTTGACTCAGCGGCCGTGAAGTCTATCACGCTGATGATACTGTACTGGTGGCCCATTTTTGTTGCGGGAATCTGGTTCACGGCAGCTTATAAAGTGCGGGTGCAATATTGGAACGGGCAAATCGGTGGCTGATCAAAATTAATTATTCGAAAACGCAGGCTACCTATTTTGCTAAAAAACGTAGCGTTTGAGTGAATGGAGCTCGTGTACTCGTATCATGGAGAAATTCTGCTAAGTATCTTGGTCTCTTGACAGGGGGGATGGCCTGGCAGAAACTCGCTAAAGTTTGATCAACAAAGTTCAGCTATATAAGATGGTTATTAGGCGAGCAATCACTTACGCATGTGCTACATGGTGTTTTCTCGCCCAAACGCACATGGGTCGTCTGCAGGTCCTGCAGAACAGAACATTGCGCACTATTACTAATGCCCCATGGTGTTTCTAGCGAGACCATTCACAGAGACCTCGACATCCCTTACCTACATCAAACAACAGGCGCAGTTACGTTATAGTCAAGCGCAATCGCACAGCAACTCTCTGTTACGTGAGTCAGTAGACTACATAAGACCGCGGCTCGCTCTGTGAGTGCAATTTAGTCAGATTTTTGGGTCTGCACGTTGAAGACCGGTTATCATGAAAGGTTTAATGTGAAAAGTTAACAGCCAAATTAAATTCCCTTATTTTTATGTTCAAAAACCTACGTACATTATTAAATGCACTTCAAATAACCTCTAATTACGCCCAGGTCGAATCTCGACTCCGTTATGGAATTTCGTTATGGGCTAGTTCGACCCATCCTTTAAATGTTTTTATTGCGCAGAAGAAGATTATTAGAAATATTGTTGGTATCCCTAGCAGTGAGTCATGTTTAAGCAGTTTTATAATTTTTAAAATATTAGCTCTTATGTGCCTATATATTTTTAAGTTATGTTTATACGTGTTTGACTTAGAATACAGATTTCCATTAGTAGGTAGTATACACGATATAAATACGATACAAAAAAATTATTTGCTTCTTCATTTGCCAGATGTAATACAACTACAAGTTCACCCACTGTAATGGGACCGAAAGTTTTCAATCGTCTGTCCGATTATATAAAAGTAAACACCAGTAAGAAATCCTTTAAGAAAGAGTTGAAAAGTTATCTGTTGGAGAACAGTATTTACAGTCTGTCAGAGTTTTTGTAGTTTTTATATTAATTACCTTTATTTTTTAGTCTTAGGATTTATTGTATTGACAATTTCTATACAGTATTGTCTGTCTATGGAAAATGAATGGAATTTAATTGTGAACAAAATGAAATCGTGCAATTCTAGTTCCAACCAAAATTACAATTTTTCCCACATACACATATTTCTAAATTAATTTTTGGATCAATTTAAAATTACTGAATACTAGTTAACAATGCCAAGGCACCCCTTTAACTGACGTAATTCCTCCTCTTTGATCTTCTCACTCCCATTTTGTCTTTCTTCCTGACCTCGTCTGGTATCTGCAACCAGATCTGATAGACCTACTGACATATGATACTTTAACCAAGAGCAAATGTCGGCTCTGACGGACAATGACGAATAGAAGGCCATAATTCACTGTCACTACTACAAACTGATTGACACTCAGCATTGCTCCAAACAACTGATATGTCTATTGTCTATTCAAACCTCACTTACTCCGCCTCAAAACAAACATGAGCTTCTATTCGCTTGTTGCTGCCAGCCCAGGCATTTATGACCTGCTGGCCAATATAGGGGCGCGCGGATTTGAACGTCGCGCGCTGGCGTTTGTTTTGACGAGGACTCAATGAGATTTGAATACACTTTACGTTTGCGAATAGTTTGTGTTTATTGTTGACCAGTGCTTGAAGGAACTGGAGTACATGTTGTCGTGCCACAGCGTCTTTGGATTCGTTATTCAAACATCGCATCCTTTTGCAACCGCACCTACTGTCGCTTTTTTAGCGTCCATATAACGTATCACTAAGTTTTTGTCATTCTAGAGATTAAGAAGGTTGAACTTTTTTGAGAATCACTTATAGATTGATGTTAAACATTACGACACGCAACGTGATATTTAAAAAAAAACAATATCCCTTTAGGAAGAACAATACAACAGCAAGGTATACTTACATATGCGGGCCCAGAACCACTAAGGGCAGTAATAGGGTCTAGAAGGCTCTCAGGGACCTCCTCACAAGTTCCTACGGATTCCAGTAACTGCTTGGTAATCGCGGAGTCCTCTTTAGTTGCTTTACTACCCTTTACAAAGACTGAAGCTCCAGTCCTTACGAGCGCTGGCGTGTTTGGCATTACTCGCATTACCCTGGATACGCTTGGGAGTAACTATGAAAATTTGACAGTCATTTTTTGATCTGATTACCCATTTCGTGATCTATCTACGTGACCACAAAAAAGGTTACTTGTATCAAAAGTAGGAGCAATAAGTAATTATTCCGATTACATAATCGATAATCTAGCCAGACTATTTCAGAAATAATAGGAAAAACTGTTGTACGTCATAAATACAATTTTCTGCAATTGGAGCTTGAAAGACTTGTCAAAGTGAACAGTATCATTTTGTGACTTCTCGTAAATAAATACTTTTTAATAGCACCAATTAAGGGTGGCGAGCACCAACCAAGAGAATTCAAAACCTAGTTTGTTGTTGGAAATATTTGAAATTGGCGGTAAGACTAGTTTCGTATATAGGTGTTACAGAACTGCATAGCCTCAGGATTAAACATATATTATCTCATTAACGCCGCCCTAAGTGTTTTAACAACGGACCATTTTATTTAAGGTGATACTTGATATCAATTTATACAAGCACTTTTGGAAAGTTTGAATAAAATCAACGGTTTTGTTCCTGGTATAATTAATATAACACATTATTTTCCCGTATTCTTTCAATTTTCGTCAAAAATAAATTTAAAGAAATTTAAAAAACTGATTTTATGAAACTTCTGGGGGGTTTTAAATATTTCTTCAAATATCGAGATGCCTCCAAATATGAAGAAAGCTGTCAAATCCATTGTTTCTATCGTATTTGAGAGCATGGTATGGAAACTTATTATGGAGCATGTACAGTTCGATTTAGTCGCTGTTAAGCATATTATGTGTGATTGTATGTACAAGGACTTATAAAAATGTGACCCCAACTCTTACGTTAGTACCATGGTTACAATATTAAGTCGCTTCAATAGGAATAAGACGATTGATATTTAGTAGCGATATAAGTAAGTATGCTAAGTAGGAATTATTAGCAATTGCTATATTTATTTTATCAATATAATAATAATTAACGTCTTTTATTTGTAATATTCTTACAGGAGGCGAGATTTAGATTATATATCTATTCTACCATCTAACCCCCTTAACAATACGAGATGTAAAAAAAAATATTTACCATTTTATTAAGAAAAACCTAATGCTATATTCCTACGACCAAACATTATTCAAGAATAAAAGAAACCGTCATTTATGAGAAATTGACACAGCTGTTTCTATAATGTTATATGTACTTTGAAAAGGTTAGTGTCTCATAATTTGCGTTGTAGCCACTTTACGCTTGTATATTTTCAAAGAATTTATAGTCAATAGAGAAACAACTGTGACAAATTCTCATAGATGACGCTGCGGTATCTCATTTTCTGTCGAATAATTTTTTTGGTCGCGGGGATGGCCAATCGAGTGGGCCATTTTCGTGAGGAATATATCAATCGTATTTCTTACCGTCTCTAACTGTTTGATCGTCACCCCCATAGCGATAGAAAGGAACAACTTATCAGCTTTAATACCAGCTTGTTTGATAGGTTCCAAAGCTACAGGTACTATCGTTGGTTTTACGGAAATAATCACTACTTCAGACTTTTCAACTACCGGGACATTCTCGAAGATCGATTCTGCTCCCAATTCCTGTGTAAAAAAACTATTATATATATGTATATACAGGGTGTCCGCAAAGTTGGGGTTTTCCTTTACACGACGTGTAGATCTTGAAAACATAAGCAATTTTTCTTAGTACCATATACACCAATGTCTTAAGGGAACCGAGATAAAGGGCTCTGCAACATCAAAAATATCTGAATACCGTCCTGTAGCCGCGACATCCCCGACTGGTACTAGGACACTAGCTCATCCCGTCGACAGAACTGGGTCGGGGTCAGTGTGGCAGGCTGTCAGGTCAGTATGCAACCTTCAACCGACGGTTACGGTCACGCGTCTAGAGGTAATCGCGTAGACGAGAATCGCTCAACAAGCACTAGAGAAGTGCAAGTATCAAAAACTAAAGTGTTTCAAATGCTGCGTGAAGAGGGGCTGTACCCGTTTCACGTCCAACGTGTACAAGCCCTTCAACCTGACGATTTTCCAGCAAGAGTGCGGTTTTGTGAGTGGTTGTTGCATCAACATGACAATAATCCGGACTTTTTGAAGTGCATATTGGTGACAGACGAATCTACGTTCACGCGTAAAGGGGTGAAAATCCGCACGCTGTCCGTCGGGCACATTTTCAACAAACATTTTCGGTGAATGTTTGGGCTGGCATGGTGAACGGTATGCTCATTGGACCATTTATTCTCCCAAATCGATTGGACGGGATGCAATATCTAGACTTTTTACGCAACATTTTGCCTTCCTTGTTTGCCTGCGTCTGCTCGGTAGCGCATCAGCTGATTTCATTTTCTGTTGGAGCGATATGATTTCGGGCAGAGACATACTTAGCCCTTCTCGTTACTGGAGAGTGAGTACTTTTTCCTTTATTTTTTTTTTACTTGGTCGCCCTCGTTTCACTACACATCACCTTTGTTATTTCAAGGGTAGTTGTTTCTGAAAAGGAAAACCCCAACTTTGCGGACACCCTGTATATATAATATAATATAATTTCGTCAATTGATGGTTACTTGTAAAAATCAGACACATGGTTTTGGCCTTTTGTAATTGAACACATACATAGTTTTTGTAATATGGTTTACCTGCCTTAAAAGCCTTTGCAGACGCTAAATCCGAAGGGTGACAACTAGAGATCATGGTTTCGCCCTTTGCTAATCCTATGGGTTAGAAAATAGGCCTTTAAAGTCATGTGACACAAAATATTCATCAAATATTAACAAAACTAAACTCGGTAGACCAAAGGTATTTGATTTAAGGTGACAAGTGCGACTAGACATGCGTTCAAAGTTCTTCTTTCTATTCGTCATTGTCTGTCAGAGCGGTTCGTAGGTGCTTTACTCTTGGTTAAAGCATCGTAAGTTAGTAAATCTGTCAGGTCTGGTTGCCCAGATATCAGATAAAGTCAGAGCGAAAGGTGGGAAGAAGCGAGAAAGGAAGGAAGGAGGAAGACCACAGAGGAAAAATAACGTCAATTTGAGGGGCGCCCTGGCATTATGGGAATTTTAAATTAATGTAGAGATTTGTTATCTTAGAACAATTGTAATTTGGCTGGACCTCAGTCGCACGATTTAATTTCGATTTAAGTGCGAGCCGCGGTCTTGTGTGCCTGCGAACTTGTTCGACTGTGAACTATACTAACTACCGCAACCACGGGTTGCTATAAGATTTCGTTTGACTATAACGGAGTCTAATAACTATCTTGTATAGCCGAACTTGCTCGACTGTGTACTCTACTAACTACCGCAACAACGGGTTGCTATAAGATTTCGTTTGACTATAACGGAGTCTACTAACTATCTTGTATAGCCGAACTTTATTGATCAAACCTCATTTTAGTACCATAGATAGCCTGTGTTTTCGAATGCTTGATTTTGATCGGCTGCCGATCCGCCCATTCCAATACCTCGTCCACTGTACTTTTCAGCACATGGTGAACTGAATTCCCAGAACACGACTGGGACACCAGAACAGTGTCATCAGCATAGAGATAGACTTCACAGTCTCTGGAGCAAGGGTCGTCATGAATAATCAGCGAATAAGAGATTAGTCCAAGAAGCGAACCCTGAGGAACACCGGCTTGAATGGGCCGTGTTGTCGACAAAACATTATTAATTTTGATCTGAAATTTCCTACCTTTAAGGAAGAATTCCAAAAGTCTTAGGAGACAGAATTGGAATCCCTTTAGATCAAACTACAGAGGAGGTCCTTGTGCCACACCTTGCCCAATGCCTCCGAGACATCCAGAAGTAAGATGCCTGGTACTGTTGTTAAGGGTGAAGCTCCTGGTTACTCGCTCCACAAGCGTAATCGCTTGTAACAATGTACTAGGCTCAGACCGGCAGTCTACATTCTCAAGGTGGTGTAAAATCACCTTTTCTTCGAGCTTAGAAGGAACTGACTGTAGACCAGAGGGACGGTAATCCTGGGGGAATATCGAACCCGTCTTTTTTGGATCCTTATCATGGCATTGATAAGGTTAACGATTTCCACGAAAGCAGCTTCAGCACCTTATTAGTGATTTGATGATCCTCAGATGCTTTACGCACGTTGAGGTCTTTAATATGCCTTAAAACTCTGCTGGTGTGCAATGCGAGATCTCGGGAGATTCCGCGGAAGTGCTATGTAACTCTTCAGTTGAGGTATCTTCCGAAGAAGACTCTTCTGGGGAAAAATTACTAATGGAGGTGCCACTACCAATAACGCAATTGGCTCTAAAATATCTCTTGATGTGTTGCTCCTCGTCGAGGACATTTTCAAGATAATAGTTGGGAGAGAACTGTCTTTCCATAGAATTAGCGAAAACCTCGTAGTTTTTCTCTGTCCTAAATACTATGCCCCCATGACCGTGGATGTGCGGGAGTTGATCTCGCTTTCCGTTTCTGATCGACTTCGCAACTTTCTAGTGAGGAATACTTGAGTCAAGCATCCTCACCAGAAATTTGTTCCATTGCTCATTGTGGAATCCATGAAGAGCATTTCTCATTTCATGAACAAGATTCGTCGCTCTACGAATGTCAGCAGGATGTCCAACATTCATATACTAGCAGTTTTACTTTCCACGTAAATTGTCGAGGCAGTACTGTTATCGCAAAAAAATTTGAAATTGATATATTATGATTTTGGATTTTATACGACATATATTTGTACATCATGAAAAACCACTTGTTTCCGTCGGTATGTACATATGTCATCTGCTCTGTAAGGTTGGCCTCTCTGGAAGTCAGAAGCTCTGTTCGGATCTGAATGAGATTTTGAGCAAGGTTACTTCCATGTTCTATGCGTTGGATGAAAAAGCTCTGTACAGATTTTGGAGATCGGTCCAGCGGCTATTGAGATAATCGAAAAATTCCTATATCTGCCCCAACTTCGTTTTTGAGTTTCAATTTATTGGCGGAGCCAGTAGATATACTTGAGAGAAGTAGAATCCTTAAAAATTCCGAAGTATCGCTATTTGACATTTTCTACTTTCTGAACAGTTAAGGCGTAGTCGAAAAACATTATGGGGCTCCAAATGTTTTAAAAATGCTTATAAATTAGAAGGTTTGTGTGTGTGGAGGACTGAGCCAATCTGCGTGACAAATATTCTTATGGCTAAATGCGAAACATAGATGGAAGTGTATAGATTTATAGAAAAGATAATTATCGGTTTTCATCCATTTTTCAAAATGTACTACAGAAGAACTCTGGACCTATGTTTTAGACGTACATACTATCTTATTAGAATGTACAGAGTTGTATAATCTGCCAATTTGCGTCTCTTCAAAATACGATGTAGATTCTCTGATAAAAGTTGGCTCAAAAATGCATGCTGATACACAAAAATGAAGACTGTTGAAATAGAAGTTACAAATTTAAACAAAGTTTATCATGATATAAGTAGTAAATTGTCACCAAGTAATAGATCTCTACGTCAGTGACCTCTACCAATATTAGCAAAAATATATCTCGATTACATAAGTTTAGCTCTTACCTGCCGATATAAATCCTTTTGCCATAGCCTGGGCCATTTTTCCACCACCAATGAATCCAATTTTCAACAATTTACTAGCCATTTTACACCAATTTTTGAAATACTGATTTTCGAATATGTACTCCACTTAAATCTAATATCTTTAAAGAGTAACCTTTGCATCTGGATGTTGTGGAAAACTGTATAGTCTTATCAATATTCCTCATATTTGTAAACAGAGCTGTCGGTAGGTAATCAGTATCGAAGTTTGCTCTGATATTATATATTTTTTCCATGGGATGTTTGAAGAGTAATCGAAGTGGATATCAATCAATTAGCATTTGGTTAGCTTCAGATTTAACATTGGAGTGTTAATATTGGTATTATGAAAATAATTCTAGAGAAAAAAATTAATATAACCTTAAAGAGTTGTGGGGTGAAATCGAAGTAGAAAACGGGAAGATTGGGACCCATCATTTGTAATAGCGGCAAAATGACACGAGATTTGGAATCTGCGCATA